ACCCCTATTGTTCTTTTGAATGCAATTCCTGACTCTTATTCAGATGTTAAGTCTGCTATCAAATATGGTAGAGATAGTATAAATCTTGAAACTGTCATGAATGGATTAAAAAGCAAAGAACTTGACTTGCATGCAAATAAAAGTCATAAACATGCTAGTGATGAAGTGATGTTTGCTAGGGGTAGGTCACAAGTTAGAAAATACACAGAAAACCAAAAGAATAGGGGAAAGAGCAATGAGAGATCTAGGTCTAAGTCTAGGCCTAAGAACAGAAAGTGTTACAATTGTGGGGAACCCAATCATTATGCTAAGCAATGTCCACATCCTAAGAACTTTAGAAACCAACAAAATGAGCATGCTAATGTGACTATAGGAAATGAATATATAGGAGATGTTTTTATGGTTAAAGAAAGTTGTGCTGCTGTTAATACTATATGTGCTAACGAATGGTTGCTTGATTCTGCGTGTACCTTTCACATGTCTCCTTTGAAAAACTTGTTTTCAAACTATAGGTCTATCTCGCATGCTAGTGTTTCAATGGCAAATGAAAAACTTTGTAAAGTTGTTGGTATAGGTGATATTTGTCTAAAGTTCGACTCTGGCTATGTGTTAACCTTAAGGAATGTTAGACATGTTCCTGATTTGTGCAATAACTTGATTTCATGTGCTGCACTAGATGAAAGTGGATTAATAGGAAAATGGGGAAATGGCGTTATGAAAGCCTTAAAGGGTTCATTTGTTGCATTTAAGGCAGTTAGACAAAACAATTTGTACGTTGCTTATGCTGAATCAAATTGCATGCCAAATGTGAATTCTGTTGTTAATGATAAAACTGAATTATGGCATAGACGATTAGGTCACCTTAGTGATAAAGGTCTTGAAATCTTAAAGAAAAATGGTCTTCTTGAAAATGATAAGATTACTGTTGTGCCTTTTTTGTGACTCGTGCGTTTATGGTAAGCAGCATAGGGTAAAATTTGATTTGTCCCATGATCCTAAAGTGCCTAAATGTAAGGATGTACTTGAATATTTGCATGCTGATGTGTGGGGTCCAGCTCCTGTTCCTACTCAAGGTGGGAGTCGTTATTTTCTGTCGGTAATTGATGAATTTTCACGAAAAGTTTGGATTTTTCTATTAGAACAAAAATCAGATGTTTTTGAAATTTTTCAAGCATGGAAAAAGTTAATAGAAAATCAAACAGGTAAGCGCATTAAATTTTTGAGAACAGATAATGGTCTTGAGTTTTGCAATAAGTTACTTGATTCATTATGTGCTAAATCAGGTATAACTAGACATAAGACAGTTCCCTATACACCTCAGCAAAATGGGATAGCGGAACGAATGAATCGAACTCTTATTGAAAGGGTGAGGAGCATGTTAAACTCCTCGGGCCTTCCAAAGAGTTTTTGGGGGGAAGCTGTGACTACGGCTGCATATTTGATTAATAGGTCTCCCTCTGTGCCCCTTAGGGGCAAGTGTCCTGAATCTGTATGGTCGGGTAAGAAACTTGATCTTTCAAATTTGAAAGTATTTGGGTGTACAGCATATGCTTTATATAAAGGTGATAAACTTGAACCTAGAGCGGTGAAATGTGTTTTCTTAGGTTATCCTTTAGGAGTAAAAGGATATAGGCTATGGTTAAAAGATGAACCAGGTTTCAAAGTACTAATTAGTAGAGACGTCACCTTTAATGAAAACGAGATGCCTTGTCTGAATATGCTAAATACTGAAATAGATTTGACTTCCAATGAGGTAGAGCCAAATAAGGTAGAGCCAAATAAATTGGAAATTTCTGAAAAGTTGCATGACAAATCTGATTCTCATGATAAGTTGCTTGAAAATGACCTACCAAATGCTGAAAATTCTGAAGTAGAATATGAGGACATAGAAAACTACCAACTTACGAGAGATAGGACTAAGAGAACCACTAAGCAACCGTCTAGATTTGATGAATACGACTTGACTTCTTATGCTTTTAGTGTGTTCGAGACATTAGATGGAAATGAACCTAAGTCCTATGAAGAAGCTTTTAAATCTAAACATGCTGAAAAATGGTTAAATGCAATGCATGATGAAATGAATTCCTTGCATGTTAACAATACATGGATTCTTGTTCCTAGGCCAACAAATTGTTCTATTGTTGACTGCAAATGGATTTTCAAAGTAAAAAATGAAAATGATAATGTTAGATTTAAAGCTAGGTTGGTAGCAAAAGGATTCACTCAAAAGGAAGGGATTGATTACACTGAAATTTTCTCACCTGTGGTTAAATATACTACTGTTAGGATTATGCTTGCCTTAGTTGCTCACTTCAATTGGGAACTAAAACAAATGGATGTTAAAACTGCTTTCCTACATGGTGATCTAAGTGAGAAAATCTACATGAAACAACCTGATGGTTTTGTAGATAAAGCTAAGCCTGAACATGTTTGTCTTCTGAAGAAATCTTTGTATGGTTTGAAACAATCACCTAGACAGTGGAACATTAAATTCGATGAGTGCATGAGATCTTTAAAATTCACAAGAAGTAATTTTGATCATTGCTTGTATTTTATGAAATCAAATGATGTTCCTGTTTTCTTACTTATTTATGTGGATGACATGTTATTGATTAGTCCTTGTGTGAATACTATCAAGCATGTTAATGACTGTTTGAGCAATAAGTTTGACATGAAATATTTGGGTGATGCAAAGAATATTCTTGGTATGAACATTATCAGAGATAGGGCTGCTTTTACACTTGTGTTAAATCAATCTGCATATACTGAAAAAGTCTTGAAACGATTCTGTATGTCTAATGCAAAGTCAACTAATGTGCCTCTAGCTTCTCATTTTGTGTTAAGCAAAGATCAATGTCCTAAGTCTGAATCTGATATGAATTACATGAAAGATGTGCCATATTCGAATGCTATAGGCTCTGTGATGTACTTGATGATTTGCACTAGACCTGATATTGCATATTTTGTGAGTTGTTTGAGTCGCTTCATGTCTAATCCTGGAACTGATCATTGGAATGCAGTCAAGTGGTTACTTAGATATTTGTGTGGTTCTAGTAACCTAGGGCTAAAATTTGGAAAAGATATTGAAGGAGTAAAATTGAAAGGTTATGTGGATTCAAATTATGCGAACGATAGAGACAATAGAAAATCTACAACATCCTATGTGTTTACTTTGTGTGGCTCATGTATAAGTTGGAAATCACAACTCCAACATATTGTTGCTCTATCTACTACTGAATCAGAATATATTGCAATAACTGATGCTCTAAAGGAAGCGCTGTGGCTAAAAGGTTTGCTTTCTGAAATTGATATACTGCGTGACAATGTGACAGTCTATTCTGATAGTCAGTCTGGAATCCAATTATGCAAGAATCCTGTTTTTCATGATAGAACCAAACACATAGATGTTAGGTTTCATTTTATACGGGACATAGTTGCAAAAGGGTCAGTTAAGCTTGAAAAGATACCTTCTCAATTTAACCCTGCTGATATGGGAACCAAATGCTTGTCTGTTTCTAAGTTTCAGTCATGTTTAAATATATTAAATTTTGATACATTGGATTAGACCGTGTCTGCTCTTCATTGATAGCATGTATTATTTCTCTGTGATTAGTATATGCCTTACAGAATTGACTCCGTGTTGAGATTGCAGGAATAATGGCGATGATGATAGCATGTTCCCACTCTCGATTGCCCTCCAATGTAACCACGAGGGTCGACTAGAAACAAGGTAGAGATTGTTGGTGTGTTCCAGCGTCGACCCACACCTAAACCCAGATCCGACCCGACCCGGTCCAACCCAGATCCGACCCGACCCGATCCAACCCAGATCCGACCCGGTTTGTTTTTTATCTCCCTAAATCAAACCGATCTCTCCCATTCTGTTCGATCTTTTGAATCGGTCTTTCACCCCGTTCCGTCATTCACGGTGCTATCCCTATTTCTTCGGAAATTGATCGAGTCCACCATGGGTGTTGATAAGGTAAGGTTGTTCCCTACTTTTTTGGGTTCTATCCATCCGCCTCTCCTCTATATATTGGGTTTGGGATTTTTGGTAAAGCCTGGGATCGAGTTCGCTATTCTTCTCTGTTATGTGAGCGACGAACTACTGCCTAGCCTATCGACTTCTCTCGTTATTGTTCTGTCCTGATACTGCATGTGCGAGGAGCACTCTAGGGTTCTTAGGTCACTTCGTGTTAAGAACCACCGCAATCGACACCTTTGTGGGTCACCTCGTTGGACGACTTGGAGTTGGCGAAGGAGTGGCTGCGACCTGAGCCTACTCTACCGATTGACCTATTTCTTTTTCAATTCTTAATATATATTTCTGTTTTTACATTCTTAACTATCGTTTTATCCGCACTAATTATTTGGTTGAGAATCTGTGCAGATCACCCAACGTTTCAGAAAGATCGATAATCCCAACAATAATTTAACGTGTTTTTCGTTTTTGTCGGGTTATAAAAATTTAGAAAATAAATAACAGAAGATACTATAATTTTACATTTTTATTTATTTTAAAAAAGTAGAATAAAATTGATAGATAAGACAATTTCTAACTCATTAATTTTATTTATCTAGTTTTATTATAACAATTTTATTTAAATCATAACTCTATTTTTCACTATTATTTTTTAAATTATTCAATTTTTCTTATTATTTTAAATAATTTTTTTATTTTTATAATTTAAAATATAATTTTTTAAAAATTTAAAAAATAAAAAATAAATTAAAAATTAAAAATTAAAAAAAATTAAATAGAAAGCAAAGTCATATTTTGGTATTGCAACAGTGCAACGCCAACTGTAGCAACGCAAAAAAATAACGTATAATTTGACGTGGATTGGAAACAACCGACGCCAAATTTACTAACCTAGCGCCATTAATGGAGTTTGGTTGGAGATTGCCAAAGTAATACAAAGAAATCTGTATTCGTCATATTCTTCCTTTTCCACGTGTCATTATTTCATTTGTGGGTAGAATTTGATGCCTATAAATAGACACTAAATATTCCACACGAAAAAGCTAAGGACGACTTAGTGGAAAGAGGACCAAAAATGGAGTCAAGATGCTCGACGGAGAAGACAGTCGGTAAATCCATAAGATGCAGAGGTTAGTTCAATTCAACTCGTTTTCATGATTCGATTTCATGTTTAACCTAAATTTCTCCATCAATCGAACTTCAAACAAGCAAATTTGGAACGATTCTACAGCGGCAGTCGCCAGGAAAGCAGGGGAGCCACTAATCATAGAAGAAATCGACGTGTTACCGCCGATGGCTTGGGAAGTCAGAATTAGGATTCTCTGTACTTCGCTTTGCCATTCCGACGTTACGATGTGGAAAATCCCCTCTGTAAGTCAATATATATATATATAGATTATGTGTATGTATGACAGTATGAGAGGAAGGTTGATTTGAATCCGATCCTATGGTAGGGACCGGCGACGTTCTTCCCGAGGATTTTCGGCCACGAAGCCGCCGGGTGAGTTTTTGTTCTTCGTATTTGAAGGATTTGAAGAACAAATTAGCTTTCGTGGAATTAATCGCTATAGCTAATCATGCTAGGCAGTGATTTTCATAAATGATTTCGTAACAAACACAGAGTAGCGGAAAGCGTTGGGGATTATGAGTTTTTGTTCGTTGTGTTTTAAGGATTTGGAGAACAAATTAGGGTTTCGTGGAGCTAAAACCCCCAAATTAGAACTAATATTTTAATTTCCTGAATGATTTTGAAACGAACACAGAGTAGTGGAAAGCGTAGGGGACTATGTGGAGGAATTCGTACCTGGAGATTTGGTGTTGCCGGTGTTCGAGAGGAACTGCGGCGACTGCCGAGACTGCCGGTCGCCGAAGGGAAACGCCTGCTCGAAGTTCGCCGCCGAATTCTATGGCGGAATGCCGCGCGACGGATCGACGAGGTTTCTGGACGCCGGCGGGAATCCGATTCACCATTTTCTCTCCGTCTCGAGCTTCTCCGAATTCACGGTGGTCGACGTCGCTCACGTCGTGAAGATGAACCCTAATTTGCCGCCGGAGAAAGCCTGCCTGTTGAGCTGCGGCGTCACTACAGGTCAGTCCGCCTTTATACACGTGGTTGATGATATAGGGAGATCTGAGCCGTTTATCTTTTTCGGAGCCAAAATAAGTGGACGGTGTGGATCGTCCCTCCCTGTTGAATAAATTCGATTTAGTTAAATTTATAATATAATGAATTGATAACAATGTATTTTACGTATGTTTTTTTTCTAGAAAAAACTCCATCATTTCCGATAACAAACATTCTGCAATATTTTTTTTTTATTTATTCCAAATTCATTGCAATATTTTTAAATTTAAAAATAATTAATAATATTTATATACATATATTAATATACACTTTACTTTATCTAATCACATCACTCGAATAAAAAAAATAAATAATCATTTATCTCTCCAATCACATCACTTAATATTCAAATTATCTCAAATTACCATACTTAATATTTCCACCTAAATTTTCATGTCAAACACAAATGTTGCACAGTATTTGAGACGGAGAGAGTATTATTTAACCATCATAAATTTAAATTTTCGAATTAAATATATATTTTTTCATATGAAATAAATCATTTATCAATAATAATTCAGAATTAATATGTATACGGTAGGTCTGGGTGCAGTTTGGAAAACTGCTGACGTGGAAGAGGGCTCCACCGTGGCAATATTCGGACTCGGAACTGTTGGACTTGCAGTAATTATTTCTTTTCTTTTAATCCTATTTTAATTTTATTTTTTTCCATAAAAAAATAAAATTATGGCTACATTAAATTATGAAATATGCCCGAGTTTATATACTTATTTAAGGATTTTCTTTTTTTATTTTTTTTAATTAGCATTTTATTTAAAATTATATATATTATTTGTAGGTTGCTGAAGGGGCAAGATTGCGAGGAGCCTCGAAAATAATTGGTGTGGACATTAATCCTAATAAATTTGAAATAGGTATGCATATTTACTTATTTGTTTATTTATTTATATTATAATGTATGCTTATTTTAATTAAAAATATTCATAGGTAAGAAATTTGGAGTCACCCATTTCATCAATCCAACTTCATGCACAGAGAAGACTGTTTGCCAGGTTGGATAATGTTTTTCATATTTATTAATTTTTTTTTAAAAAAATCATATTGATATTTTACGTACCTACTCTCTGTTATGTAGATGTATATTTTATATACATGTTCCTTAAGGGATGGCTGATGGTGTAAGATTGGACTTGTGATCGTGAAGTCATAGGTTCAAATCCTCGACGTTTCAAATCATCTGCCACACATAGTGATCTTTTAAACATATCATATATAAAAATAATTAAATAAAATATAATAATATTTATATATATATATAATGTGGGAATCTACGGCTGGATTGCCTTTAGATTTAATTTAATAGTAATAATAATAATAAAGAAAAAGAACTGATGTGACAATAATGCATACACAGATGATAAAAGAATTAACAGGTGAAGGTGCAGATTACTGCTTTGAGTGCATTGGCTTGGCTCCATTGATGAATGAAGCATTCGTCAGTTCTAGGAAGGTAACACTTTATTTACTTTTATTGGAATTTAATTTATTTTTTAATCTGTTTATAGTTTTTATTTTTATTTTTTTTAAAAAAATAAAATCTATGAAAATATATTACTTTATAGTAAGTACAAATTATTATTGAAAATAAATTAAGAAACAAAACAAAACTTCAAATAACACACCATTTTGTGTAGATGTTGAATTTGATATATCTTGGAATAAAAGTATTTTTATTATAGAATATACAGTGCTATGAAAATGAGTGAGAGCACATAAATATATTTTTTTACTTAATATTTTTTATTAAAAAATAAATATTTGATTTAATATTGTTAGTAAGAGTGTGTTTTTTTTATATATAGTATTTTAAATACAATTCATATCAAATGTAGATTTTTTTTTTCAATTTTTTTTTAACATATTTTTCAAATTTTTTATTTTTATTATTTACCTAATCCTCTATACTTCACATCAAAAAAAGTTTCTCATAATAAAACACAAAACAATCACATCAGTATATTTTATAGGTTTTGATGATATTATTTTTAGAAACCCATATATTATTATCATTATTGTTTAATCATTTTAGAACAAAATATTGGGCAATATTATTTATTATATATAAATTTTAATAAATATATAATTTTTTTTATAAAATTTCATAGTTAAATACAAATTTAAATCAACATTCAATTTCAAATGAATTATGATTACAATTTTATTATTGGTAATTTTGTCTTGATTTAGGGCTGCGGAAAGACAATAATAATAGGTGTGGAAATGACGGGAACACCCCTGAGCATAAACACGTACGTGCTCTTGGAGGGTAGGGGCATTTCCGGGTGTCGACTTGGAGGATATAAGCCCAAATCAGATATTCCTATGCTCGCCAATAAATACATTCAAAAGGTATTATTATTATTAATCAATTTTTTTTAAAAAAATTATAAATTATAAAATTTAAAATATATTATTGACAACTTAGATAGACTAAAATGGGAATACCAACAAAAAAAATTTTGAAATGAAAAAATATTATATACACAATTACATTACTACACTATTTGACATTATTAATTCACTTTTTTTTAAAAAATAAAATAGAAAATATAATATTTTTTTAAAACTTGTTTATTTATTTGAAGTTTAAATATAACATAATGATATTTGAAATTAAAAAAATATATATATTTAATTTAATATTTTAAATAAACTTTAAAATTTTGAATAATAAAAAGACGTTAAATAAAAAAGGTATTTTAGCATTATTTTAAAAAATATATTATTAAATATTTATTTAATCTCACCAAATATTATATTGTACCGGATACTTAATCTTTTTATTATTTTTAAAAATTATATCTAAATGAGTTATATATATATATATATTAATGCAGGAGATAAATTTGGACAAATATATTTCACATGAGATAAATTTCGAGGAAATTAACAAAGCCTTCGAAATGCTTAAAGAGGGAACCTCCCTTAGGTGCATCGTATGGATGGACCGTTAATTGCGCGCATATTAGGTGCTGATACAATATTTATAATATATCTGATAGCACATGATTTAAATTAATACAATGTGTTTTATTAATATATATTTTGTGCTGAGATCAACTGTATTATGTATTATGCAAATTATTATCATATGTGCTACCAATTTATATTTTATGTGTTACCGATCTATATTTTATGTGCACAATCTTATTAGTGTATTGTATTGCATTATATTTTTCTTCATCTTAACTTAAAGTAACTTTTTTACCATTTGTTTGTCACACTCAAAAGTATCTCTTTTTTATTTTAGAAAAGTAATCATACGCTAATACCAAAATATCATTTAATTTTTACTTACATTACAAACATATCATTACACGTACAATTATTTTATACATAGAGTTAAAAGGGTAAAAATGTCAAAGCTCTTACATATTTATACCTACCAATAAGATATTATTATTTTTTAATCTGTTAGAACACTTCATATCCATCTTTCAATTGAGACAAGGAAATATGTTAATTTGAGATATAAGACATTATTTTGGTGGTCATACAAATATATGGTATTATGTCCGAATTTACAAACTACAATTTTCTTTTGGGTGTGTTTGTTTGAAAGTTTGAATTTTGAGTTGAGATTTGAATAATAAAAAATTTGAATTGGAATAATTGTATGACGTGATATACATAGATACTGATGCAATATTTTGAATGTAAAATTGATTTTTAGTATAATACTCCCTCAATCCAATTTTTATTGTCCTAAAGTATATTTGCACGATTTTTTAGGTGATTGTCTTTTTGTTATGAATTGACAAATTTACCCTTAATTGTATGGTAGAGATTAAAAGTAATAAATGAATGAATGGTAAAAATGTAAATAAAATTTGTGTTTAAAAAAAGGAAATAGGACAATAGTTGTTGGACGTCCCAAATAGGAAAATAGGACATTAGTTTGTGGACGGATGAAGTATAAAAAATGAAAAATAAATGTTTGATTTGATATTTTTGAAGAAAATTTTTTGTGCCAATAGTGGAAGTCTTCCGAAATGCTCCAAACATACATATATATATATATATTACTTATTGTATATAATTATAGAAGATACTATAAATATATATGGAAACAAAATCAAAATTAATCTTATTGATACTAAAATTAATTAATTTTGGTTTGATTGTAAGAAATTCATTAATTTCAATTTAAAAACAATATTAATCACTTTTGGTCTGTCATTACAGAAACTAATTGTATGACTACGGCTATATTGATTCGGATCACATGTCAATCTGTTATGACTACGTCAACTAGTTTGGTTAGTGTCATAAAAAATTGAAACAAAAAATAATTAAAATAATTTGTACTGAGATCAAAATTAATATTTTTCTAAAAAAAAATAAATTCAATCAAAAGTGATTGATATGTGCTATGTAGATTGATTTTATTTAAATAATAATATAATAATATGCTATTTTGTAAATATATATATATATCAAATATATTGAATTAGTAAAAATTATATAGAGACAAAAGAAAAAAAAAAAAGGTTTTAGGATGTGTTTGTCTGTCAAATTTTGATTTTGATTTTTACTATTCTATTTCATTTTTTTTCTTAAAAAAAGTGAAGGATTTGTTTGTTTAAGGTATATATATATTATGTGAGATATTACATTAAGCAAATGAAAGAGCTTAGATTCTGATATAATATTATATGCAAAATAATTGTTTCACTTAAAAATTTAAATTTATCTAAAAATATAGCAGTTAATTATTTATCAGCAAATTGAGTCCCAACTATGATTTTATTTAAGTGAAATAAATTGTGAAATAGTATATGTATTTTTATCATGTTTTTATTAAAAATAATAATGCATACAAAAATCTACTGCTAGCATTAGTAAAGAACTGTAATAATGAATAAATAAATAATATAAAATAATAAACCCTGACCCAATTGGATTTGTTTAGGGCATTCATTTAATCGGAGGTGCCGTTCGTTCGCATCTCAACTTTAGCTCCCTTCTTCGCTCTTCCATTTCGCTCCGATTCCTCTGCCGTCGCCCGGATTCCTCCTGCCATGGCGGATGTCGACTCCTCCAACAACCAGTCCTTAGCTAAGGTGCCGCTATTGATCGCTTTCTAGGCTCGGGTTTCATTTTTTGTTGACTCTTTTTACTCAATTTTCATTCTAAATCGATTTCGATTCTGTTCGTGCCGGATCCTGTAGGAATGAATCTGTGAGTATGTAGATGCTGTAGATTTCATCTTGGACGGACGGGATTGTGGCTGTTCTTAATTTTTTGGTCGAATTGGTTGGCTAGAGTTGAGTTAGGGTATTTGATCTGATTTTAGGGAAAATGATTGGGTAATTGTTATTGTGTCATGAGGAATTTCGATTTTAGGAACAAAATGTTGAATTGAATGGCGGAATCGAACTTTTATTTACCCAATTATATCGAGGTTTAAGATTGGGCAGACCTAATTAGGTTTTAAGTAAGACTTTGCAACAATCAAGAAAGGGAAATTACCGATTCCTTGATAATTTTGATAGCATAACCTGCCTCTGTATGACCAAAGAGTAGGCCGAGTTTTAACTAATTTTTTGGTTGGCTAATTTGTCACATTTTATTCATGAAATGGCTTCTATTGGTATTAGCCTGAGTATTCAAACTTGTGATGGAATATACACATTTGGTTTTTTAATAGAAAATTGAGAGATATTTCTTTATCTCTTTTTGTTGTTTTGAGCAGCTTAGGGTTCTCGCTCGGTGGTATCTGAGCAATTCTTCCAATAAAAATGATACTGTGATTCACATTTCGAACAGGAATTACATGTTCTTATTGAATCTAGCTGTTCTTATTTTGATATTGGGGAATGACTTTTAATATCTCTTTTAGTAAAAAACCTTGGTTGTGTCTGCTGGTGAGCTTCTGTGGCCGAACAACTCTGACTAATGTTACGTCGCATGTGCCACATGTGCGATTAGTTTTTCAAATTTGACTATGTAACCTAGAATGCTAATCAACAAGATCTCTTATTCATGTAACAAAAACCTGTTGTTTGGGTTCTTCCTAGGAGATACAGTGATAAAAAAAATATATATATTTAAAATTCACTGAGAAACAATCTTCATTTGAGTTTTTATGTTTGGCCATGGAGGGTCTAAACTAGTGATTTTATGGAGCTATAGTCCCAAATGGGGGTGAAGTTTTAATTTTTTGTTTTGGGCCTTGGCATGTTCACTTTGTTGGATAACAGTGATTATACTCCAAAGTTGTTATCTTGGGTGGGAAATTTATAATTTATTTCAATAGCCGGACTTAGTTATTTGTTACATCATGTATCGTTGTACTGGACAGGACTCTTTGTTGTAATTTCCCCAATTGTTGCATAATACATGTTACATCAGTGAAATTCCCAAATTGCTTTATTTGAGAATTGTGATAAAGTCGTCTTCCGAACAATCTATATGTTAAGATAGAAAGAGTATTTGATTGGATAGATATATTAGGTTTGTTTGGTTGTCTTTTTTTTTTTTTTTTCTTCCCACATGTTTGCACTATTCATCTATAATTATTTAATTTATTTTGCACTCAAGAATCACATCATACATTTAATGTTCATTTTATACAAAAAGAAAATTATCTAAAACATCGCATCAAATATATATGTATATCACATCAAACAATTATTACGATTTAAAATTTTTACTATTTCAAAATACACCAAAGCACAACAAACAATATGTAGATTAGTTTTTGTAAACATGTATTAATCCCTCATAGTAAACATGGCCTTTGTATCGTTCCTATGTGAGCTAAACCATTGTCGGATGTATTAGTCATTGCTTACACTCACCATTTGCTAGATCCAAGAATGGAAAATAGATTGTGGATATGTTTTACATGAAAAATAGGTGCTGGATATATTATTTTTGTGGGGAAAAATATTTATTGTTGATTACATAGTGTAAAAACAATTTACACTAACAATATGTTGGTTTTGTAATATGCTAAGGTTCGGTAACTATCTATTTCTCAATGCTTCTCTATTCACTATTCTGGTATTTTGAATGTTTTAATAGTGTTTGAAAATGTGAAGATTTGGGATATTAGAATTGTATTTTGGCTGACTCTCACAAAGAAGCTGGAGTATGTACAGTATATCATAATTTTCATCTTGTTCCATACTTCTATAAATTTTTAACGAGTGATTCGACTGATAGAATTTGGTATTTGCTACTTAGTCTTTTTTATTTCATACTCGATCGAATTTGTCGCTGCGCAGGACTATTTGCTGGAAGAGAAATTGCAGCAAGTTCAAGAAGTTGCAAAATCTGTGGAAGAATCAGTCGTCAAACCTGCAGCAGAAACCGCCGGCGAAATCGTGCAAAAAGCAGAGGAAGCCATCGGTGTTGCTGATAGCAAAGATGCTTCTGATTCTGTCGAAAAGGCTGCTGATTCCACCGATTCCGACGCTGGAGAAAACAAGGATATTGCTCCTGATGAATCCAGTGAACCCGAAAACACCGTTGGTGAAGAAGCCGAGGAAGCCGAGGAGGCTCCTCAGATCAAGGTTTAGCTAGATCAATCCTCCCCGAATAATGTTTTTTTACTTACCCGCTATTTCCCCGATTCATTTCAGATATTTTATTTTGTCTTGTAGCTCGAGACTGCGCCGGCGGACGTCCGCTTCCCCACCACTAACCAGACTAGGCACTGCTTCACCAGATATATTGAATATCACCGGTCTGTGATCTAATGATTGTCACAACATTACAGCAATATTATTCATGCTTTCAATCGAACTTCTATTTTTTTCAATTATATTTTTATTTATATATATATAAAAATTTTTGTAGGTGCGTTGCTGCGAAGGGTGAAGGTGCCCCCGAGTGCGACAAATTTGCTAAATACTATCGCTCCCTCTGCCCCGGCGAATGGGTATGTAATAACTTCACATCTGCAAGAATGTTGCTTTATTGTTTTTCGACATTATGGTGTAATATTCGAGCGACTTTGTTTGGTGTTTATAATTTTAAGCATTTTTGTTGTAAAAAATGAATTGTGGAAGTATTATGGAGATGATGTATCTTTTGAGTAATATATTTTGGAAGGGTAAATTGATTATTTAGTCCTTTAGCCGGACCTTTTTATCATTTTAGTTCAGTAATTGTAGTCGGTCGCAAACTAGTTCTGTAAATGGAAAATTTTCGCAATTTTAATCCTTTAGATGACACGTGTCTGCTAGGTCAGCGACACCCGGCGTTGGAGGACTAAAAGTGCGAAATTTTTTTACTTACAGGGCTAGTTTGCGATAGGCTCTAGTAGCGGGACTAAAATGATAACGGAGTTTAATTATGGGACAAAAAAAATCAGTTTACCATATTTGGAATCGTATATATGATAAACACTAAACAAACACACTCTTTGTTTGCATTCGTAGGTTGAGAGATGGAACGAGCAAAGAGAGAACGGTACCTTTCCGGGGCCTCTGTAAACCGAAATCTGCAGCTAACATTTCGCTCGCCGTCATGAAATAGGGAGTTTCTTCGTCTTCTTCCGAACTCCCCGAGATAATAAATATGTGTTTGGGTTTTGCTTAAAAAATTTTAAAAGCCCACGAAAACTTCAACGAGGCGGGTTTCTCGAACCGCATTTAATTCCTTTATTCTCGTAGAAATTTTGTTCGTCGTGCTTCGCTCTCGTGTCGGTCTCGGGACAGAACGGGACTGGACAGGATACCTTCTTGTCCCGGGATGTCCCTCTTACCCACCTACCCCACCCCCGAATAATGCATTTCGTTCTATCGTATAAAAAGTTATGAATCTTGATTTAGTCCCAATTGTCTAATAGTTGATGCAAGAATTGGACTTGTATGTCGAATGGAATCACGGGCGTGTTGCCATATAGGCCGATTGTGATCTTTTTCGACATACCCGTGTTGTGCGTCAAAATGAACTAGTTTGTTATAAAATATTTTGATTGTTATCATTACTCCCTCCTTACCATAAGAAGGGTTCTACTGAGCATTTTCGTCCGTCTCAAAATAAGAGTATTATTTTTTAATATAGTAATTATATTATTTATTTAATTTAATAAATATCATTTCAATTTACAATATATTACACAAATGTCATTGTATTTATATTATATAATATTAATAAGGGAATTTTTTGTCTTTTTTTTTACTATAATCAATATAATAATAATATTAAAAAATCGTGAAAAAAACAAATGTTAAGGAGTATTATTATTGGGTGTTAAAATTGAAAAAATTTGAATTTGATGTGATATTGATATGATTAAAAAAAATTCATTTTTATGATTTTTGTAAAGATCATATAACAGTGTTTAAAAAAATTATAAAATAAACGAATAATTATTTATTTATTTAAAAAAGAGTTTTAGATATTTTAGTCTTTGATTTGTATATAATTAGGTTAGTATTTACATCTAAATAAGAAAATATTTTGTTCAAAATTTAATTTAATCGCAATAGATTTAACGCAATAAATAAAGTATTTTATATATTTTTATTAAAAACAAGAGAGTTATATTAACATAATTTATACTTTTATTTTTTATTTCAAATTAAAAAAGAATATTACTTCTTCGGTTCTAATTAAATATTTTTATTTTTTTTCGTTATTCTCTCTCTAAATTATCTATTTTTAATTACAACAAAGTAATTATATATAAATAACAAATATTCTCAATTTTTATAAAAATGTATATAAAAGTGTCAAAATATTATACTATTTTAATAATCAATAAAACGGAGGGAGTAGTATTCAACCTTTTTAATATATGATTTTAATAAAGATATTTTTCTCCTATCCATTTAGTAAATATATATTATATTACTTTTTATTTTTCAAATACAAAATATCCATCTTTTTTTTTTAAAGTATGGATGCACTTCAAAATTTACTACAAATATTTTTATAATTATACTTATTTACACCAATACTCTTATATTAATTTATATATTATAAAGGTAAATAGTCTTATACACTAAAATACTTATAAAATATTTATAAGTGGACAAATAGAATATTATTTTTTTTAATAAAATATTACGTCAAAATACTATTTAAACAAAATTTTAAATAATTTTATCTCAAATCAATTTTAATCCACAATCAAACAAAATTAACAAAATTTTAATAGTTAATGGAAGAATTTTGACTATGCTTATTTATATTTTCAAATTTATATTATGTGATTTATTTACAAATCATTTTGAAATATTACTATTCATTATTTAATTTTTAAAAATATTATATTAAATATTTATTTATTTTTAAATATAAAAGCCATATACTTACCCGTGGTCTATTTTGGCAGAGGAAAATAAGAATATAAATGAAATCCTGATTTTTCTAGTTTATTTGAATGAATATTGAAATTTAAGATCATTCTTTCGTCAGTTCAAATCTATTTTTATTTTATTTTATTTTTTTTTCATTCAAATTTATTTTTATTTTCTTTTTTAGTAAAAAAAAATATTTTTTTTACCAAAAAAAGTATAAATTTATATTATTGTATATTTTTCTTAAAATCCGTGTCCGATTAAACGATCACACAATTGAACGACGGAGGGAGTACAATTTATTTCTCATTCTTTAATTTTATTCCGTGTTCATATTAATTCTTTTTTTTTTTTTTTTTTTTTCTGTTTCGTAATTTAATTTTTATATTGTTAAAATACATTATTTCAATCTCATAAAATTATTTTCTCCTAATCAATTAATTATTTTTCCCCACTCACAATACATCGTCCTCTCTGAATCTATTATATTTTTATATTTCTTAATTATTTTTTATTTTATTTTCCTCGACTAAATTATTCGCTTTACTAACTAGACAAATTAATTCTAATTGTATGTTGAATTCAATTTTTTTACAATTATATTTTCTATTATCATTTATCTACAATTTCATTCTACGTATCAAATGCACTTTAGCTTATTGATTTTTATTTATTTATTTATTTTTTTTTTTTTATGAGTATGTCTGGTTTGTATTTTTAATTTGACATATTTTTATGTTATTTCTGTCACAATTGAAAATACATTTTTTTATATTCTTTTCGTCTTGTAACAAAGTATCAATTTTTTTATTTTATTCCATTTCATAACAAAGTATCAATTTTTTTTTTTTTTTACTAATTGTACTATCTACTTAACATTACAAATATCCTTAGAACTTACAATATATTACACAAATGTCATTACCTTTATATCACACAATACTAATAAGGTTCTTTTAGTCATTTCTACTTTATTCCTACTACGTTCCAATATAATACTAATATTTCTAAAACTCTGTGCAAAAAACAAAGGAATACATAGTCATGGGACGGAGGGAGTATAGTTTTTGCCTCCATTCAAAAATATTTATTTTCTATTATAGTAAAATTATTTTTAATTTTTGCATAAATTACAAATATATCATTACACATATAATTAATTTATACATAAAGTATAAAAAACCAAAAATGTCAAATTTATATTACAGATTTACACTAACTAATAAAATACTATTATTCTTAATATATTAAAAAAAAAACGATTGGAGTGGAACAAAGATAATTTTAAATGTAGAGAAACATATTGATAATAGAAAAATTAAAATTTTATATTTAATTATTATATGTTTTTCGTAAGTCTAGAATATATAATATATATTTTTTATAATATTAAACGCTCAAAAATATCAATTTTTTTAGTGAAACACTTTTTATTTTTAGCTAATTTTAAAATACAAATAAGTATAATAAACTTAAAGTGAGTTATGGAGATAATTTTCCTCCAAATAAAACTTCAAAAAATAAAATGTGACACTTTTCTTTTTTTTTTTTTTCTTTTTTCTTATTATGACTTTTTTTTTAAAAAAAAAAATATTTCATCTATTTTTTATAATAAGCAAAAAGGTAAGTGAAGCAATGACAACTAACTAATATAATAGCTTCCAAAATAATAATACTAGTAATAATTAATAGAATAAATTACTTACTGAATTTTTATATTCAACTTTCCATATTGTCATATTTAAATTTCAATATCAATAATAAGGCCATTATAATAATACCACCTTCCTAAATAAGTGTAATAATAATTACAATATATTGAAAAAATATATATCTTAATCTAAAATTTTATTTACATTGATTTTGTACACAATTTAGCAGTATTTTTATATTGTAGTAATATTGAAAATTATACAATAAAATTTGGGAAATAAAAATAAAAAATAAAAATCCAAGAGTTGATATAAATTACTATACAGAGTTTTTTAAAAATATAAAAAATCTACATATAAAATTATAATTATATTTTTCCATACATTGAAATAATATCATACTTAATGTTACATGGATACTTAAATATATATGTTGGTAATTGTATTAATTGCCAATTAACCCATAATTAATTCTTATTCAATTATTTATTAGCATATATATATATATTTATGTATATATTCACACTAATTCTCAAATTTCAAAGAAAAATTAAAATAATTAAAAACAAAAAAAGCTTTGATTAATATTTACCAATGGCGAATTCTCCGACAGTGATGCTTCTTCTCGTCTTAACATTGGCGGCTAAATTAACGGCGGAACACACGCCGTCACCCGCGCCGAAGCTGACTCCATATCCGTCGGCGCTTCCTCCGAATCCGTCGTCATTAACGCCGTCACCGTCACCGTCACCGTTACCGTCACACCCGAACGCTCCGATTCCACCGCCGTCAATGACGCCGTCACCGTCACCGTCACACTCGAAGCCTCCGACTCCACCGCCGTCACACTCGAAGCCTCCGACTCCACCGCCGTCACACTCGAAGCCTCCGACTACACCGCCGTCAGTGACGCCGTCACCGTCACCGTCACACTCGACGCCTCCGGTTCCGTCGTCGCCGGTTTCGCCGCCGCCGACGTCCGCGGAGGCGCCGAAGTCTTCTCCGCCTGCTCCTCCGGCCTCTTCTCCCGTTTCTCCGTCGTTAACTCCGTCCGACGTCGAGGCGCCGTCGGTGACTCCGCCGCCGCGGAGCGCGGGGGCGGAGTTGAACGCCGTCGCCGCCGTTGGGTTCGCCGCTGCGGTTGCGATCGTCTCCGGCGCGGTGTTGGTGTAGTAGCAGATCTACGGCCTGGATTTACTCTAGCGTAGTAGATCGACGGTATGGATTTTCTGTTGTGATCATTTCTGGGCCATTGGATTCGATTACTTGCTTATGTTATGGATTCTTTTATATTTTATTTTTGAAAATATTATTATTAAGAATTATGAGTAATTATTCTTTTAGAGTTTATGTGTGTTATTATTGCCAAGGATAACACCTTTTTTTTTTTTTTTTTTTTTTTTTTCTCTTTTTCTCTTTTGATATAAAGATTACTATTTCTTTTTATTGATTTATTATATTTTTTTTTTCTTTAACAATTTATTTATTTTTTTATTTGAGTCTGTTACATAATAAAATATTTATTTCATTTTTAGTAACTGTCATTTTTTTTATCTTTATTTTTACTTACATCTCAATATAATATTAATTTTTTTAAAATTTTATAAAAAATTAATGAATAGATAAACATGGAACAGAGAGAGTATTATGTTATTATAATGTTGATTGGCATTAATTAGCACTGTGTTAATTAATTTTAGTTCGAATATTGTAATAATATACACAAATATATAATTATTATTGTTGAAATATATGTCGTATATATCACTAAAATTATTGGAACATGCTATTAGTAAATATATCACATTATACTTCTTATATTAATATAAGAAAAAATTATGTGCTATTTCATAAGATTTATGATTAGATAAATTATGTCTTGTATTTATGTGTTATATATTGAAATTGATATGATATGACATTTGTTGTCTGGACTATTGTCAATAAATATATGACATGTATACTAGTGTGTTTGTTTGGGGGTGTGGATTTTGGATTGAGATTTGAATAGTAAAAATTTTGAATTTGAATAGTTGTATGATGTGATATAAATAGGTGTTGATGTGATGTTTTGAATGTAAAATTGATTTTTAGTATAATATAAAAAATAAAAAATAGGTGTTTGATTTGATATTTTTGGGGGAAAAAAATAGAATAAATAGTGGAAATCCAAACAAATCCCTCAAACAAACACACCTCTAATACAGTGGAATGATGACAAACAATAGCATATATATTTTGTTCATTTTCTAATGTGCTATTTGATATTTACACGTATTTTTAGGTAATTAGGATTTTTGTTATAAAATGACAAATTTGTCTTTAATCTTGTATATGAAAAAGGAAATGGTGAATAAAGTAAGGATAAAAAAGTAAATTTTGTGTATAAAAATAGAAAGAGGACAATAATTATTGGACATTTCAAATAGGAAAGTAAGACGTTAATTTGTGGACAGAGGGAGTAATATTTTAATTATAGTTGGTAACTAAAAGTAGTGTGATGATATTTTTGTTCTTGTTTTTTTTGGTGTGATGCAAAATTAATGATGCAATGTAAAGTAAAGATATTTGTGAAAATAAAATAAAATTTTTACTTTGTAATTGGGTGTTTCAAAATAGAAATATGTATATTTTCTAACTGTACGGAGAAAATACTAAATATCCAAAAATGTGTTCGAAATATAGCGATTGCGGATTCCTATATTATCAAATTAAAAAAAAAGTAGCGGCGGCAGATTCTCATATTATATATATAAAATAAAAAGTTAACAATAATTTATACTATAAAAAAATTGACGAAAATTTTCAAAACATGATGTAAATTTTATATTCCTCGTCCGTCTATTAAAAAAATTAGGTATTTTTTATTTGGCACAGTAATTAAAAAAAATAAATATTTTATTGAAAAATAAATATTAAATAAAAATATTAACTAAATATTAAATTTGTTGATGTGGTCAAAATTAGGAATACCATCAATTTAACTGACAAACCAAAAAAATAAAAAAATAAAAAAATAAATATAGCGGACGAAGTATTAAGTAAATACTGTTTTATCTAAAACAATAGAAATGCATAATTTAAAAATAATTTACACCATAGTAAAAACTACTAAAAACAACATATAAAAAACAAAACACCATATCGGAAATCAAATTAAACAAGGTAATGATACAACAACGAGGCAATAATAACATCATAAATGGAAATTAAAATATTTAAAATTAAATAAAAAAGCCGTTGTGCACTGCCTCTTTCCTCTCCACCAATTAAACCGCCAGCCACTTAAAACCCGCCACGTAGGCAACCGCAATAACCGCCGCTACGTAAGGCGGCGCCGCCACCGCCGCCGCAGACTCCGCCGACGTTTTGGTGCTGTCCGTACGGCCGGAAGGGACTGCGCGGCCGACGGCGGGGGTCTCGGTGGCGGTGGGGGTGTCGGACGGCGGCGAAGTCGCTGCGGTGGTGTCGGTGCCTGTGGTGTCGGACGGCGGAGCCTCTCCGCCGGCCGTCGGAGGGGCGGCGGCGGCGCCGGCGCCGGTGGAGGAGGATGCTGCCTTTACGTTGACGGCGAGCTTCATACCGCCGGAGCAGTGGCCGGGAATGCCGCAGATGAAGTAGTGGGCGCCGGCGGTCTTGAGGGTGAGGGTGGTGGCGCCGCTGCTGTCGGAGGAGATGGAGTTTCCGGTGGCGCAATTTTTGTAGTCGTCGGCGCTCACTTCGTCCACCGTGTGCCCCGATGGATACTTGAATACTTCAAATATATACATACATATATATATATATATTAGAAATTAATACTATGTTTTTTACACAAATTTGTTCAAAATTTATTATTTGGAGTATGTGTTATTTGGAAAAAAAAATACATTTTTTTTTTTCTGTCAAAAAAATATTTCAATCAAATATTATTTTAATACTAAACATAAATCAAAATTTTTCAAACTCAAGTAAATAAATCACACTCTAAGGTTGTTAGCATGATATTTTGCTAAAAAATATATTCCATCACTTAAAAATGTGTTAAAATATTTTAGCACAAATTTTAATATAAATATATATTTTTTTATTACTTTTTATAGTTAAAAAATGTGCAATAATATAATTTTTTATTAAAAATTATGGCCAAAAAAGTAAATCGAATTTATATCGGTTGTTAAGATATTTATTTGGTCAAAACAATACCATGTTAGTTTGATCAAATCAGCAAATTATTGTATTGTATAAAACAAATTATCAATTTAGCACATTAACTTAAAATAATTAGCAAATTATATAATGTGATATACTATTATACTATTAATATTTGTTATTCTTTTTTATCAATATTTACTATAAAAAAATATTATTTTTGTAATAAAATTTTTTTTGTTTGTTTTCTTTAAATTCATTTTTTCCGTTATTAATGACATTAGGGATAAAATTTCGTTACAAATATATTATAATTTGTTGCAGTAATTTGCCAATTGGATCAATCTACTATTGTGTTGAAATCATAATATAATTTGCTGAAATTATATAACGTGCTATTCAAATATGTATTATATATTATATAAATATTGGTTATTATTTTATATATATATATAGATATTTAATAATTTGATCAAATTATTATAATGTTAATTTGACATAATCAATACATTAATAGGAACACAAATTTATATAGCTATATATATACTCCCTCCGTCCCAATATAATAGTATTGTTTATCAGTTTTGTCTGTCCAAAAATAATAATCTTATTTTCATAAATAATTATATCACCATAAAATTATTTTTACTTTTTTATTTTTATTACACAATTGTTGTTACTTTTTACACTAATACACTCACAAGAAGGAAAAAAAATCTTTTATCTATACTTTTTACCAACTATCAATAAAATATCAATACTTTTTAAATCTCGTACTCAACCAATTAAGACTATAGTTATGGGAGCGATGGAGTATATTATATGAGAGAGTCTTACCAAGGGAATCTCCGACGTTGAAGGTCTTGTCGGAAGCCCAGGTGGAGTAATCAGTAGCCATTCCCCACCCCGACGAGTCTCCCACTGTATAAACTTCTGCCAAAGCTCCTCTTCTACCAATCATCATCGCCATTGCCACTGCCAACCACATCATCATCTTCATCTTCATCATCCCCATTACTGTAAAACCCTAATTATCTTAATTAATTTTCTAGCTGTAGATATATATGTATTTGCAAATGCAAATGGAAATGAGGTTTTCTTCATCTTCTGATTCTACTTATATATATATATAGTGGAAATTAAAGTGGTGGTGTGAGTTGTTTTTTTTTTTTTTTTTTAATTTATTTAATTTAATTTAATTTAATTTTATATTAATTATTTGTTAATTAAATAATTAAAAATAGATATAAAGTTGGGTTGTTGTATATGTATATGGAGTTGAGAAGCAGGTAGAGGAGGAAAGGAGTTGAAGCTAACATGGGAGTCAGTGAGTTTGCAAAGTGGTTGAAGAACTTCCAACCAGATACTCTTTTCACTTGCTAATTTTAGATTATTATTATTATTATTATTATTATTATTATTATTATTATTAATTAATAATAATAATAATAATAATAAGTAATACCAAATGAATAATGTAAAGAAGATAAGGTGTGATGATTATTGGTAATGATGATACAAATTAAAAGCTCAAACCACTCAAAAACCAACCCACTTTTTATACAACTTTACAACCAATATTAGTATTAATATTCTATCCAATATATTGTTGTCTAGAATTATATTTACATAGTCCATCCGTCCCAAAAAAAGTATTCATTTGCTTTTTATACGTAGTTTTAAAAATATTAATATTATATTAGAATATAGTAGGAATAAAATAGAAATGACTAAAATAACCTTGTTAGTATGTATGGTACAAAGGTAATGACATTTGTGTAATATATTGTAAGTTGTAAGGATATTTGTAATGTTAGGTAAATAGTACAGTTATTAAAAAAGAAAATGGATACTTTGTTATAGAACGGACTAAAATGAAAAAATAGATACTTTGTTATAGGATGGAGGGAGTATAATATATTGAATTAAAAGTATGTATTAAATATTATATTTGTTCGTTAGAAAGGTATTTATTCTTTTATTTTGGGTCATTCAAATATAAAGTATTTCATCCTATATATAATTGTATGTTCGTGAATTTTAATAAAATATGTAATAGTTGCTATTTTTTTATAGTAAAAAATTTATAAAAATATAATAATTTTTTACTTAAAAACAAAATCAGAATATTTTTTTATTTTTAATTCAAAACAAAATTAACATAAATTTGAATAATGAAATGAGTACTTTATTTTATTTTTTTTTAGTATGTATAAATCTCACTAAATATTATATATATCTTCAAATATATAATTATTTACATTAATACAATTTTATTAAGTTACACATCAAGGGCAATATAGTTTGTATATAATAAAAAAATAACATCAATTATTATTAAAATATATTCTCTGTAAAATTAGAACACTTGAGTCTAAAATGAGGATTAAAAAATTGAATATTTTATTGTAAAAGTAATAAAAAAAAATAGGTAAGAGTATTTTTAAAAAATTAGTTAGTACTTAAAGAAAATAAAAGAGGAAGAATATAATAAAAGTAATAAAATTTGTTGTAAATAAGTGCGAAATTGAGAATAATAGGTAATTTTTGATTTGTTGATTTTGTTAAAATTAATAATAAAATAAATTTAATAAACATACTCAAAATAAAAGTAATGCTCCATCCGTTCCGAAACTATAGTCTGGGTTGTGTTTGACACAAAATTTAAGAAATATTGATATTATATTAGTAGTGGGTAAAAAATACGGGTAAAAGATTTTTTTGCCCTTGTAAGTGTATTAGTGTAAAAAGTAGTGTCAATTGTGTAATAATAATGAAAAAGTAAATGTAGTTTTATAGTAATACGGTTATTTATGAAAATGAGACTATTGTTTTGGGACGGACAAAAATGGTAAACAAGACTATTGTTTTGGGACGGACAAAAATGGTAAACAAGACTATTGTTTTGGAACGGACAAAAATGGTAACAAGACTATTGTATTGGGACGGAGGGAGTAATTAATTTGATTGACAGAATAAGTATTATTTATAAAGTTTCTTGTCAAAATTAAACACATTTCGAACGGCCGGAGAAGAAGTATAATACTCCCTCCGTCCCAAAATTATACTCTGGGTTGTGTTTGGCACGAGATTTAAAGAATATTGATATTATATTGATAGTGAATAAAAAGTACGGGTAAAAGATTTTTTTGCCTTTGTGAGTGTATTAGTGTAAAAAGTAGTGACAATTGTGTAATAATAATAAAAAAGTAAGGGTAGTTTTATAGTGATATAGTTATTTATGGAAATGAGACTATTGTTTTGAGACGGACAAAAATGGTAAATAAGACTATTGTATTGGGACGGAGCGAGAAGTATTCTTTTTTTAAAGAAACTATTTTTATGAGAATAAATAAATAAATAAATAAATAAAATCATAATGTAATCCAGTATATTTATATTTCCACTGATACACAATCCCTGGGAAAAAAAAATAAAAAAAATGAGTATTTTATATAATAATTTAATTAGAGAGTATATTTTATGTAATATTTTAAATAAATGATAAATATTTACTAATAATTTTTTTGTAGAAAAAAAAATTAATTAATGGATATTAAAAGAATATAATTGAAAATAAAAGGAAACAAAATTTTGGTATGCATCATTGTTGTTTGTTGAGAGAAGTTGATGAGTAGTTTTCAAATCAATGTTTCAAGTATGCATAAATAATTATAATTGTCCCTATTTATTTATTTATGTATGTATGATGATTATTATTACCTCCGTCCCACATACCATGTCCACGTTGCCGTTTCTGTCCGTCTCATATATCATGTCACTTTCTTTTTTTGAAAAATAATTACGCACTTTAATCTTATTTTAAAATTTTTAATTTTTTTTAATTTTAATTAAACTAATTAGTTATCTTAATCTTAATTTATAATTATTTATATTATAGGATAATTATTTTCATTAATATATTATTAATTATCTACTAATTATATATCTTCTAAAATATCGTGTCTACAGTGTAGCAGACACGATATTTGGGACGAATGAAGTATTATTTATTATTTATTTCTCACCTAAAATAAAATAAAAAACAATAAAGAGAGCCCAAAGCATTAGGACACCAAATCCTAACAAAATGACACCTACCCAAAAAGGGATGTTGGAGTGGAGGCTTTTTATATACACTCTTTTTTTTAAGTATTTAAAAAAAAAAGGTAATAACATAAAATATTCAAGTCTACCCCTTTGTCAAAAGAAAATCTTTTATTTATTTTGACTTTATATTTATATTTTATATTTAAATAATTTTTATGTAATTTTTACATTTCTTTATATAAAATAAAAAAATAAAAAATAAAAAACCAATGCTATGCTCTCTTTGGATTTTTTTTTTTCTCAAGTTTTTTTATATACTCACCAAAATTCTCTATATAAAAAAATATTATTCTTTTTTATTAATATACACCAAATAAAATATTTAAATATAAATACAAACTAAACCTACCATAAATAAAGGACACCGCTAATTTGGCAATTATGTTGCCTATGTCTGGGCCGGGCCGGGCCGGGCTCGACCAATATAAATTACTCTTTCCGTCTTACATATTTTGGATTTATTGCGGTAGATACGAGAATTTAGGTAAAATATAATTAATAAATAATTAAGAATTGTATTAGTAAAAATAATTATTATTTAGTAAAAATAGTTATAAATTAAGATTAAGATAAGTAAATAGTTTAATTAAAATTAAGAAAATTTTAAATGTGATTAAAGTGTATAATTATATTTTCAAAAATACAAAGAACAAATTATATGGGACGGACGAAAATAAAAAATATTAACAAATTATGTGATGGAGGAAGTAAATTTTAGTCCAGCCCATGAGTTGTTACAGTAGCCAACCGGGCTCCGGCCCGAGCCCTCAATAAACATTTTAAATAATTACTCCCTTCGTCCCACATAATTTGTCCTTATTTTCTATTTTTGTCCGTCCCACACTTAACTTGTCCTTTTTATTTTAGGAAATATAATTATGCACTTTAATCATATTTTAAATTTTAAATTTTATAATTTTCTCAATTTTAATTAAATTATTTGTTTATATTAGTCTTAATATATAATTATTTTTACTAATATGTTTCTTAATTACCTACTAATTATATTTTACCTAAGTATCTACGTTAAAATACCCAAAATATCTGGGACAGATGAACTATTTGTCAACATATACACAAAATTTATATCATTCCATCATCTAAAAACTATAATTTTATTTTAATTTTGTGAAAAAAAAAAAATAATAATAATTTGTTTTGTACTTTTTAATATAAAAATAATAATAACAATTATTACATATTTTTATTAAAGTCAGTGTCTAAATATTAAATTTAAATGAAAATAGAGTATTATATATATATTTAAAAATATTTACTAAAAGAAAGTAGTGCAATAAATCTCGGGCCAGACCGATTTTTTCTGTGGGCCGACACAGCCCAATTATGATACTAGGCCGGGCTAAACACAACCCGATTTTTACAAATATGATCCAAAATTCTTTTTTTACTCTAATTTTAAGTTAAAATTCAGGTTTTTTTTTTTTGAAAAAAAAAATAAAAAAATAGTACTGAAATCTAGTGTCTGTTTTTTTTTTATTTATTTAAAAAAACAAAAAACACGTATTAATTGACTTTATAAAAAATAATAATAAAAAAAGAAAACCATCAGTACTTTGTTAGTTGGAGCACAAAAAAGGTTTAGGCCCATGTTACTGTTGCAGGCCCACATAAATTAGACTTTGTATGATATAATTTACATTTTAAAAATATATAAATTTTTTAGTAAAATACTTTTTTTTATTCTTTTTAAATTAGAAATATTCTAATAATCCCAAAAATCTGATTTGGTGGTATATATGTTTTACATTCAATTAATCTTTTTTATTCAAAATTTTGAATTCCATGGTACAATAAATATATATGTCATATACTACTCCATCCATTATAGTAATTTTGTTATAATTATTGAGTTTATTCACTTGTGTTTTTAATTGTAAGTATTTTTTATTTTAGGTATGAGAATTTATATAATTTTATTTATATTTTTATTATATATAAAATATCGATATTATTTATTAATAATATTTTTATATAAGAAATATAATATTTATTTTTTAAAAAATTACTTCGTCTAGAAAGTATAAATATTTTTATTTTGGATAGTCCAATCACAAAGTAACTATTTAATTAAATACATTACTTTTTTTTTTTTCACAAATACCCTTATTTTACATCACATCATCGTTACTTTTACACACACAAAAATAATGACAAAAATATCATTACACTATTTTTAACTATCCACTATAATTAAAACTATTATTTTTTAAACATCGCACCAAAAATAAATGTTTACTTGTGGACGAGTATTATACTAAATACTTGTTCTTTTAATTTTCAATGATGTGTTTACTTGTAAGATTTTACCTCTGTTATACTATTACAATTTTATTTTTCTTCCAAAAATATCAAATCAAACATTCAATCTTTATTTATTTTATTATACTAAAATCTAATTTTTACATTCAAAATATCACATCAATACATATTTATATCACATCAAACAATTATTTCAATTTAAAAATTTACTATTTAAAATAAAAAATCAAAATCAAAACCTCACGAATAAATACACCACAAACTTTTCTACTCCTTCTGTCCCTTAACAATCTATTCATTTTTTTTATTTTTTTTCCTTTCATAACAACAAAGCATTCAATTTTTTTTTTTTTTTTTAGTAATTGTACTATCTACCTAACATTACAAATACCCTTTCAATTTACAATATAGTATTACACAAATGTCATTACATTTATATCATGTAATACTAATAGAGCTAATTTAGTATTTTTACTTTTATTTTAATATAATATTAATATTTTTAAAATTTAGTGTAAAAAGCAAATTAATATATAGATAAAGAACGAAAAGAATATAATTTTAAATTAAAAAGTCTTTGTGTGGGGACAAAAGTAAACAAACACATTAAAATAATATTTCTATTTGTGGCTGCTAATTGTGTGCGTCACTGTCTTTACTTTCCCTAAAAGGAAACAGTACTGCTGCTGTTACCACTATATGGCACATCTTAACTTCATTGAGTTAAATAATCAGAGTTGTTAACTTTGTGTTTTTTTATTCTAAATGTGAAAATTGGTATCGTTAATAGGAGTATAAAAATAATATTTAGTATTCATTTTTGTCCCAATTTAAAATATTATTTTATTATTTTTACATATCTAACTTAAAAGTTTTTTTTTTTTAATTTATAAAAAATAATCATACACTAATACTAAAATATTATACTCCCTTTGTCCCATAACAAAGTGTCTATTTTTTCATTTTAGTCCGTTCCATAACAAAATATCTATTTTCTTTTTTCAGTAACTGTACTATCTACCTAACATTACAAATACCCTTACAACTTACAATATATTACACAAATGTCATTACCTTTATATCACACATACTAATAAGGTTATTTTAGTCATTTCTACTTTATTTATACTATATCCCAATATAATACTAATATTTCTAAAACTACGTGCAAAAAACAAATGGATACTTATTTCTGGGACGGAGGGAGTAATTTTATTTAAATTATAAACACTGTACTACAAAATCTCAAATGGCTCATTTGATTTGGGACAGAAAAAGTATTAGATTTTTAAATTTTTTTTATGAATGTATAAAATACATATTATGTTAATATATATATTGTATATTTTAATGCTCCCTCTTTCCATCGAAAAGGATCATTTGAAATTTTGTAATATCTAATAAAATAATAACATTTTATTGATTATTAGAAGTGTATAAAAAAAATTGACATTTTTTACTTTTTGATTTTTTGTATAAAATAATTGTATGTATATAATAATGATCTATTTGCAATTTAAGTAAATATCAAATAATATTTGATATTAATATGTAATTACTTTTTATAAACTAGAAAAAAAAAAAAAAAAACTTTTGAATGAAACAAATCAAAATAATAAAAATAATACTTTGAATATAAACGAAATTAATATTATTGATGAAAAAGGTTTCATTAATAAATAATAACATCATAATGGATCATATGATGATTAAATTTAAAGCTATATATATTAAAGATTTAACGTTATTGATTAAAAATAATTTTTCCAATAAATATATATGTTAAAATTTTTTATATAAATATATTAATTTTTTTATTTTATATTTTTTCAAATTTCTGAAAAAATTTATCTAAAAGGAGCTTACTATATTTTATAAATTTAGTCAATATTATATTATTTCTGTCCAAATTAATTTGTTAAAACTTTGAAAACATTTATTTAAAAATATTTAGCTGAGACACGAAATTTAAATTTTATGTAATTAATAAATAATTAAAAAGTATATTAGCAAAATAATTATGATATAATAAAATAATTATAAATTATGAATTAAGATTAAGATGATTAAATGATTTAATTAAAATAAAAAAATTATAAATTATGAATTTTAAAATATGATTAAAGTGTATAATTACGTGAGACGGATAAAATGATGAAAAATAATCATACTTGTCTACGTGTTTTTTTTTTTTGTTTTTTTTTTTTTAATGTTTTTCTCTTAAAAAAATGAAATATTAATAAAAATAAAAAGGGAATGATAAGATATATATTGAATGTAGAATCTGTCTGAGTACACTGCATTCATTATATTATTATTATTACTATTATTATTATTCATTGTCTTTATTACCCCTCAAACAAACAACTCAATTTATTTTATATTGATATTATTTGTCATTTTCTTTTGTCTAGAAGATATTTTATAGTATTATGTGTAATTTCAATAAATTCGATTCTCCATATATAATATTATAATAGTTATTTGTTTTGAGGGCATAAAGGTCATTTCATGAATCTGGTTGGTGTGGGAAAAGTAGCGTAGCCGTAAAGACAAAGCAAATGGGAGTTCAAGGCACGGGACTTCGAAACGTATCGGAGTCCAGACTCTAGTGCACATCTTAGTCGCTCTGGATATTTTATGTTTTTAGTAAGAATAATTATTACATAATAAAAATAATTATAAATTCAAATTCAAATAATTTAGTAGTATAATTAAAATTAAAAAAATTTATAAATTATTTTTTTAAAATAAAATTAAAATTTATAAATTTTTTTTTTAAAAGTGATTATATAAATAGAACGGACGAAAATAAAAAAAATAAAAAAAGAAATGATTATTAAGGTGTGTTTCTCAACATATAAAATATCTGATATTTTATTAAAAAAAATCAAATTTAAAATTGTCAATAAAAAGAAGAAAAATCACATATATTTTCTTACGAATTATGTGTGGCATATATTGATTAGATATTAATTTGAATTTATTGTCTCACTGTTATGAATCTATCTTCACATTAATAAGTTATTATTTACAGGACTAAATGCATTATTAATTAATTTTATAAATAAAAAATCCGAAATTACTATTTTTAGAATATATTTTGAATAAATATTCAATCAAATATAATATTTTAGATAAAACAAATCACTCTAAAAAAAATTATACTCCCTCTCATTTACTGTTGGCGCGATATTTAATAAATAATAGTATTTTAATTATAATGAATAATTAAAAATAATGTAATGATATTTTTGTATTTATTTTTTTTTCTTTTTTATAAAAATAATGATGTGAAATAAAGTAAAAGTATTTATGAAAAAAATAGAATATTTAATGAAATGTTAACGGAGGTAGTATGACATATGAGACTTTGTTCAGGCATTTTATTTTTGAAAAACTGGTATTATCTTTGTTAAAAAATATATTAAATCAAATACATCTTCTCAAATAAAATATCATATTAAATCCCAATATTTTTATTATTTTAAAATTTCAAAACAACTAGAAGTTCATTTTTTTCTAGGGCTTGTAAATATATTTTTATCTAAAAGTACCTAAAATAAATACTAATTTTAATTTAAAATACAAACTAAATATACTTTAAAATAATACAATAATATTTTAATATAACATAAAGTAAGTAAAAAATAACAATAAAGATAACATGAAATAGTTGATACTCATAATTTATAAAGTAAGAGAATAAATTTTAAAAATAATAACAAAATAATTATGATTATGCATAGAAAGAAAAATAATAAAATCATAAAAATAATTAACATTCATATATTTAAAAGACAAATAAAAAATAATTAAAAAAAACACAGTTTCACGGATGAGTACTATAAAACTCTTATAATATAAGGAATTTAAAATACAAAAATATCTGGGAAGAGGCGTTAGCTATTAAAAATTAAAATAAAAATCCAAATATGGACAGCTAAAATCATAAATGAAATATAATAATAACAATAATAATAATAATTAAATACTTAATAAATCTGCAGAAAATACATCAGTACGGCGGCGGCTGGCGAGCCGTCGGCGCCCAAATAACATCCGACGGCTGATAGCTGTAAATCGGAGCGCCGCCGCTGTCGCCGCCGCGCGGAGATTCCCGGTGGTGGTCGCGCGCCGCCTCCGGCTCCTCCTCCTGCTCCGCCGGCTGCAGCCGTACAAACAACGGACTGTCGAACGTGGCGGCGATTAGGTAAATGGTCCCGGCGGATATCAGCGGGCCGACCACCAGGCCGCCGACGACCTGCCCCTGCGGCCCCGCCAGGAACAGTGTGAACGCGCCGTTGCCGGCCGGCAAGCCGCCGGCCGGAACGACGGTGGCGGAGATCGAGAGGATGTCGAACCGGCCGTGGAAGGCGACGGTGGCGCCGGGCGTCGCCGAAGGCTGCTTCAGGGCGACGTTCGCGACGGCGCCGTGGCCGCTGAGAACGCAGAGGCCGACGTTCCGCCGCCGGCAGAATTTCGCGGTGGATTCGACGACGTCGACGCCGGCGGGGAGCTCGAGGATGTATGGACCCATGGATGGCTCCGGCTCGCGCGCGGCCGTCGCCGGCGACGGTGACGGCGGCTTCGGCTTGTTTTTTGAGCCCGGCGGGCGGCCGCGGGGGCGGCGCACCACCTCGATGGTGGCGCCGTCGTTGGTGGTTAGAAGCGGTGGCGGAGGGAAGGAACCCTCGCTAGGGTTCCGGCGGGTGGAGTCGTGGCTGTCGGTCTCGTCGGAGGTGGAGGAGCGGCGGAGGTGCGGCGGCGGAGAGTGGAGGGGGAATTGGTTGGAGAAGATCCCTCCGCCACCGGCCCCGCCGTTGGAGTGGTGGTGGTGGAGGTGGTGGTGATCTTCCGGCCGCTCCCTTTTCATTCTTGAATTTTATTTTTTTTTAAAAAAAAAATTTGGGGCTTTGAATTGTGTGAATATAATTTAGGGCTTTTAGGAGAGATAGAGAGAGTATAGATATATAATATAATAATATATATAGATATTTTTAATAATATAAATATAAAATAAAAAAGTGGTCAAATATTACCCAAGTTGAAGTTTGTAGCCAATCAATATTGTGTTGACCATAGTGGAAGACTTTTATTTTAATTGTTATTTTAGGAAATATTTTTAAAATATATTTTTAATATTTAAGATTATATATACACATAATATTATTCCTTTATAATATCAAATATTGTGTGTAAAATTTTATTTATTCTTTTTTTTTTTATAAGATTATAAAAATAGAAGTATAAGTATAAATAAATGAGTATTCATTCTTTAAATAAGATGAAATGTTACAATTACAGATATAATTTGCATATTTGTAATGTTTGAAAATTGAATTTGGAGAAAAAGAAAATAATAATGAATTTAAAAAATTGTTTAATATAATATTAATATATATTAGTATAATACTTTTAAATGTAGAATTACTTTATAATGTAATATATAGACATTTAAAAAACTCGTGGTAGTTTTAATTAATAAAATATTAGCATATAGTAATAAATAATGTAATATCATATTAATATGTATTATTTTAAAATTGTGAAAATTTTATTTTATTTAATTTAATAATCAGGATATGCACCACTCTTCATTTTCCAACGAACATACCAAAAGTGAATAGTGTATACATATGTTTTAGTTTGAATGATTTTTTTGTACATGATTAAGTGTGTTGGTAATTTAAAAATAATACTATGTTTTTGTCATGCAAACTACTGTTTACTTGATCGAGTATAAATTTTAATAAAAATAAGTAATAATTGTTATTTTTTTATAATAAAAAAGTGTAAAAGTGTAAAAGTGTAATGATTTTTTACTTAAAAAAAAAACGATAATATTTTTCGATGACAATCTAAAAAAAAGTGAATATAAATTTGAATGACGACGGGGAGAGAGTAATATTTATATTGAATTTAAAAATAATGAAAATATGTATATATATATATTATTTAGAATATTAATTAAGAATATATTAATTTTTTTAGGGTGTATTTGTTTGCGGGATTGGATTGGATTTACACTATACATCCAATTTTTTTCCCCAAAAACATCAAATCAAACACCTATTTTTTATTTTTTATATTATACTAAAAATCAATTTTACATTTCAAAACGTCAAATCAACACCTATTTATATCACATCATACAACTATTCAAATTCAAAATTTTTACTATTCTAATCCCAATTCAAAATCCAAACCCCCAAACAAACACACCCTTAATGAGATAACACACTCTTAGGGTGTGTTTGTTTGGGGATTTGGATTTTGAGTTGGGATTTGAATAGTAAAAATTTTGAATTTGAATAGTTGTATGATGTGATATAAATAGGTTATGATGTGATGTTTTGAATGTAAAATTAATTTTTAGTATAATATAAAAAATAAAAAATAAGTGTTTGATTTGATATTTTTTGAGGGAAAAAATTGGATGAATAGTGTAAATCCAATCCAATCCTCCGAATAAACACACCCTTAGTGTAATGTTTGATTGTGATTTTCTTATTCCATAATTATACAAACTGAATATAAAAATATAATACCTTTTCATATAAAATACTCCCTCCGTCCCAAAAATACAGTCTTGTTGTTGGACACGAGATTTAAAAAATATTGATATTATATTGATAGTTGGTAAAAAGTAAAGATAAATGACTTTTTTGCCTTTGTGAGTATATTAGTGTAAAAAATAGTGGCAATTGTGTAATAATAATAAAAAAGTAGATATATTTTTACGGTGATATGATTATTTATGGAAATGAGACTATTGTTTTGGAACGAACAAAAATGATAATACATTGGATTGCGTATATTCCATCCGTCCCACCACTATTGACATTATTTCTATTTTTATCTTTATAAAAATTATTAAATCAAAATATATTTAATAAATATAAATTAACTCAATTGACTACATAACATACAATATTAAATGACGTAAGACCCACTCAAAACCTCTTTATTTTTACTTCTCTCCTCAAAAAAATTAATATTTTTATCTATATTTAAAACTACACATATTTTATAAAATTGATTTATCTTAATTATAAATAAACAAAAATATTTTTTTTATTTACTTGTATTATAGAAAATTTTATTTTCTACCGAATGATATTCATATTGCATATATTTTTTAATTGCTATATAATTTTAAAATATTTAAACATATATATATTAAATTTATTTTAAAAATATAAATACTATTAATTATAAAAAAATAATATAATAATATCATAACTAATTATTATTAATTAATTAAATATCCTCACCTTAAATAAAATACCGTGTCCCTAATCAAATGGTTTAATTCCGATGAGACGGATGGAGTACATATTGGTGTATTATTTAAATATAAAATTATTTTTTAATACAATATAAAAATAAAAATAAATTTTGATAAATTGTAAAATTCGAAGCAGAATTTCTCAACCAAACACACCCGCATCCCAAACTTTTAACGGATCCAAAATTAGCATCCAACATATAGTAATATTTTTAAGATAAGTACACAATTTTTTTAAATATTATACATACAAAAAATACAATATATAATATCTTATATATATTTATATCATATACTCCCTCCAAGAAGGATACTATTAATTTTTGTCTGTTTCAAAATAAATGTTTTTTTTTTTTTAATAATTGTATTATATACCTTACTTAATAAATACATATATAATTTATAATATATTATACAAATATCATTACTTTTATATTACATCCTATTAATAAGAGTTTTACTTTCTTTTTTTATTAGAAATTATATAATACTAATATTAAAAACTCTGCATGCAAAAATCAAATATTACGAGACGGACACAGTATATAATATATTAGATTTTTTTTTACTTTATATTTTTAATGAATGTATTTTTTATATTATGTATTAAATTTTTTTTATTTGGGCTAATTAAAAAAATTAAAAAAGTAAAAATAAAATCTACGTATCCGCTAGGTGTCGCTGATCTAGCGGGACACCTGGCAGACACGTGGCTTCCGGCGAGCTACGCGGCGTATCTGGCGCCGGAGAACTAAAATGTCATTTTTTTGCACAAATACCCCTAATTTACATCATATTATTACTTTTACACCAAAAAATAAGGGCAAAAATGTCATTATATTACTTTTAACTACCTACTATAATTAAAATACTATTATTTTTTAAATATTGCGTCAAAAGTAAATGTATATTTTATGTGTGGACGAAAGGGAAATATAAAATTTAAAATATATAAAAAGTATATAATTATTTTTTAAAAAAAATAAATAATGTGGAACGGATATATATGAAAAAATAAACATTTTATATATATATAAAAGGAATTACTCTCTCTGTTTTACATACTGTGTCTGCTACACTGTTTTAAGGAATGTAATTAGTAAATAATTAAGAATATATTAGTAAAAATAATTATCTTATAATATAAATAATTATAAATTACAATTAAAATAACTAATTAGTTTAATTAAAATTAAAAAAAATAAATTTAAAAAATTAAAATGTGTAATTATTTTTAAAAAAAGAAAAATGACATAGAATACGAGACGACAAAAACGACAACATATTACGTCATAGAATATAGAATATGAGACCACAAAAACGGCAATATATTACGTCAGACGGAGGGAGGGAATATTATTTTTTATTAATATTACTTATCTTTTGTGTGGTTCTAAATTCACTATTGCTTTTGGCAAAAGTCTTGAATTGAATAGATATTTCTTTCTTTCTTTCTCTCTCTCTCTTTATTTGTGTTTCTGTCCTCTACTATCATTTGGGCAGTTGGCCTATCTACCTATCTCTATATATCTACAATTATGTATATATATATATACAGCTATTTATGAATGAATATGAATGAAAGGTCATGTCATGTCAAGTCATGTCATAAATTGAGAAATTCAAAAAATACAGAGAGAGAAAGAGGAGAGAGAGAGAGAGAGAGAGGCCACTTTATTTGACAAAGGAGAAGAGAACAGAAGGGTCACATTTCTCATATTTGTCCCCACCTCATTTTATAACTATCATTTTTCAAATTTTCCACTTCCTCTTTGCTTACACATCACACCAACATTTCTCTCTTTATTTTTATTTATTATAATTATTATTTTCCAATTTCCAATCGTAATTACATATATAAATATTATACTACATTGCAATTTTTTACCTTTTCTTTCACTATAATAGTTAGTTATAGTACTAATATACAAATAAAGTAAAAGTCGAATCATGAATGCGCATACCCTTTAGGGTGTGTTTGTTTTGTTTGGGGGTTTTGATTTTATTTCAAATTTAAATAAATGTGTTTCTTTTGGTTGAATTAGAAAAAAAAAAAATAAAATTAATATTAAAATAATATTTAATTTAAATAATAATATAGTATAATATAATATAAATAAATATTAATGTAATATTTTAAATATAAAATTAATTTTTAGCCTAATATAAAAAAATAAAAGAATTATTATTTGGTTTGATAATTTTAAAAGAAAAAAAAATTAATGAGCAATCAAAATTTGATAAAACTGAATAAAAGAACACACCTAAAAGTCTTCACAGTTTTTGGCAATTAATTCAAATATAGAGTTGTTACCCACCCCCCAAAAAGAGAAAAATCAAGATGCCAATAAAAAAAATTTATTCAGCCTCAAATCGATGCGACAAAAAAAAAAAAAAAAAAATAAATAAATAAAAGGAAGTAAATCAAGAGCATAGAACTAACTAATGTTCCAACAGATCATTAAACGGACCCCAAATTTGATGAGTAAATTTAGCCAACCAAAGATGCTCAACCCAAATTTACCATCATTTACAGTTACAACAAGTCGAGACGAACACAAACATTAGAATTACCTCGTTCATTTTACAGCTCTACCGATGCAAAAAATCCCAATCATCATCACCATTGACGTACACCAGCAAATCCCATCACCATTAAGCATCTAGCATCTACCATCTCAGCCAAAAGCTTCAAATGTATAAACTTTTGGTTCATTAAAAAAAAAAAAAGAAGAAAAGAACAACATAGGTAAAAGAATCATTATTTGAGAAAATTGGGCATAGTGCAGCTAATAAGGAGAGGAAAAAACCCAAGTCCCATAATAACAAGAGCTAACCAAAGATTAATAAATCGTACAACACTAAAACATTGCAAAGAAGAGATTGAAAGAGGGCAAGAAGCATACACAGATGAAGCCGGGATTGCTTTCAGATCCGAGCAACGTAGGAGTTTGCCTGAGTGACATATCTCACCCAGCGATACGGATTGGAGTTTTTTGTCTTTTTAGCTATCTGCAAATACTTCACCTGTATTGAGCATCGACAACAAATCATTCATTAGATTGACACATGAGCATAAATCAAAATTTTCGATTATATCTAAGTAAGGTGTAAAGTATCCAATGCTGAATTAATATAGTTCTTTGGGAACTTCGCGCAACATTCTTAATGCTAACACTGCAACTATACAATAAAATATATTCCCTTCATTATTTAAATCTATGCTTACCTCAATAAAAAAATATTTTCATTCTTTTTAGTAACAAATCACCATCTTCGTCATCCAAATATATGCTCAAACTTTTGAGCACATATTTTAATATGAGTGAGTATTTTTTGTTACTATTGCCTTAGTAGAAAAAAGTAAAAATAGTATATTTTTTACTTAATAAAAACACAACGATAAGATATATATATTTATGACAACCCCAAAAACATAAAATGAGCATAAATTTAGATAGTAGAGAGAGTATTACTTTTTGTATTTTTTAACCATAAAAAGTACACTTACATTAGAAACTTGTATCCAAAAGTTTGAGTACAGATTTAAATGACAGAAAGAATACTATATTACACTTGATTTATATGCAAGATATGCAAAGCAATCGAATTCACACAGCTTTCGACAATTTTTTAATTACTGTACCAACAATCAAGCTTGGCAAGATAACTGAGAGTTGACAAAACTGGTTTCACCGACTATTTAACCATACTTGCCAAAAGATTATCTGAAAAATGGATTGATTTTGATAAGTGAGTTTTTGCAAAGCACCGATCTTTTGCCGTAACGTTAGTGACAAAAAGCATTTGTGAGAAAAATAGCAAGAAAGTGAGGGGAAATGCTACATTTTGAATTTAATTTTGGTCTAAAGAAGCACAAAAATAACAACAGCTTTACCTGCAGCCTTGAAGGATTATACATAGGTATAGTGAAGGTCATACTAACAGGTCCGGCTTCTTTAGTGATGTTTCCTGTTTAATCGGAAAAACAAATAATATAAAAAAAACTGGAATGATTCAGAAGTAATTTATACAGAAGGTGATAATATACTATCAGAACAACAAAACCAGACAATATTTTTGGACTTGATTATCTTACCGTGCAACTCCTGCGAGAAATTTAACTTTGCACGTAGAGTGTGTTCCGAACCCCCAACTATCTGTTAATAATAATGTTAGCTAGAAATTGCTTCCGAATATATGGGTAATTATACAGATAAATAGCAAAGTATGAACATGAGCATGAGTATTGCCTTCTTCATGCTCCATTCGAGTTTCTTCTGTGATTCCTTGAAATCCGCATTCTGTCCAGGCATACCGTGTTCCAAGTCAAAATTGACTCTGAAAGTGCAATTGAAAGTGAGTTAAAAAAAATATCTGGTATTTAACTGAAACTTCAAACATGGAACCATAGGATCTACAAACGCCTAACTCAAACGGTTGAGCCATCTCTTGGCATACTTAGGGTTGGAGGTTCGATCCCCGTGGAGTGATTCCAATGTACAAGAAATTGGCAACATTTGCCAATTAAGCCCTCAATGGCTCTTTAAATATATAAAAAGAAAAAAAGAAGAAGAATATATATATATATATTTGTGTATAAATTATAAAAGCTACTTCAGGCAACAATGTTTCATGGTTTCAAAAAATATTAGCTTAACTGAAATTAAGAAATGTTTGTTGCTCCCATAGGCTTCAGCAATAAGGCGGCAATTTATTTAGTTGTCAATAAGAATATTGAATCCTATAAAAGTTATGAATATTAAGAGCAAAGTACTTGGTTTTCTCCTTTTTCATAACTGGCTAGAGTAAATACACAATCTTCATTCAGGAATAAATTACTGATGACAAAAACCTTTATCAGACCCAGTACACCGCAAAAAGCTGAAATTGGGACGAAATAATCTTGGAACTGAACAAATGTCGACAAAAAGCTTTATGCTGAAACAAAACTTAACCTGTTGGTAAATGATGGCAACGGCATCTCGACTAGAATGGTGTTAGCTGTGATGCTTGAAGGAAACTCCGCGCGAACTTTCAGAATCACTTCAGCCTAAAATGATAAGAAAGCGTAAACTCAAGGCATTTAGTATGAGGATCCAGTGATATCAGAGACCTAAGTTCAAAACAGTCGAATAAATAGAAACGCAAACCTAAGAGAGTCATTTCAGCACAACTGAGATGGTTTGTAACGAGTCACATTAAAACAAACTTTTTTCGACAATGTTAAAGGGGGGAAGAAACACAACATACCTTAAGCGACCCCGCCTCTTCAATTAAGGTGTTAATGGAAAACGGGGGCTTGAATTCCTGGGTGATCCGATAATTCATTACAGGGAATTCACCATCTGGCGGTACCTACAATAAAAAAAAAAAAAAAAGAACTAGAATAAAAACACTATAATAATAATGGACAAGAAAGATCTTAGAACACCATAACAATGGAGAGAATTAATTATGGTAAAATTCAAGCAGTACTCACCAAACTCAATGTACGGTCAACATCAAAGCTATCCATATGTACAGATTCATGAAAATTGCAATCATCCAAAATAACTGCTCCTCCCCCTGAAGAACTATACCCTATGCAGAAAGCAAGTTTGTTACGGTGCAGGCTATCCCAATTCATCCAGGGTCACATGTCGAAAATTTAACGAAAATAAAATTGTTTCATTGCAGTGGTGATAATGCAAATACCGTAGCTAGATACCCCGCTTCTTCCAATAAAGAGATCATCATTGAGCGCTAATCTGATTTCTGGATTTCCAGTGAGATAGCTCTTCATTTGAATGGTGCCATCAATTTCAGAAGTCAATACATAACCCTGCCCAAAATCAGTTCAATCATGGGGTCATTGTGGACCAACAATCAGTATAGAAATTTGTATTGAAGAACCAATGAAAAGCATTTATGAAGTTATGACAGGAAGAAAGATTCAGAAGCAAAAGATTACGACCACTTTCACTTATACCGCAGCATTGCAACGTTAATATATAAGAATAACTTCACTAACTTCCATCTCTTTATCTAGGTGTAGTCTTTAAGACGGTAATATGTAAATAGTGCTTATAAAAAATAACCAATAAATCTAATAGTCAAAGCATCTAAGTGCCTTTCATCTATGATATGTTCTTGTATAAGTTCACTTGCAGTACCTTCAACCATACATAATATATTTTCTTCCGACTGATCAAATCCAAGGCTTAGCTCACAGGTACAAAATAAGACAAGAATGCATGACACAAGATAACAACACATCACAGGCAAGATCTGTGCAAAAACGAGCAAAGCCACCTATTAAAAACTAAGATACACAAGAGGGCAAGGTCATCAACATGGAGCCAGGAGCAAGGCTGAAATAAGCTTTCAATAAAACGAATAGCAAAGAACAAACAGAGGCTCTTGGAACCTCAGTTATGGAAAGTCGATATCATGAAATCTAAGCTAGGGTAGGTGCATATATCCAGAAAAACCCTTTGCACAAATATGTAGCTACATCCATGCATCAATTGACGATGCTATAGTATGACACTGCCCAATAACAAATGCCGAACTCGAGAAACATTAGTGTAAATCATAAAGAATTCAGGCTCGCCTATATGGCATTTAACAGCAACTATTCTCTACCAGTAAAACATTGATAAGTGAGAAGAAATCTAATAAGGTGAATCCAATACTCACACTAGAGCTAAAGGTGACACTTATTTTCTCGATTACATCGACAAATATCTCTTCCCTCCTCCTACCACCAGGTTCATTTGCAACAACAGATTTAGTAACAGCCGTTCCAGGCATTCGTTTGCTTCCTTGCTGCAAGAAATAAATTCATGGGGAAACTTAAGTAGAGCCAGAGAATTCCAATTCAGAAGGCCTACTAAACCAATAAACAACGGAAAATTAACGAACAATAACTTTTTATTAGCACTGCATTTGCAGTTCAAACAACTAGCTACCATAAATAAGGCTGCTGGACCAAGAGAAGGTAATCGTGCAGCATCAACCACAATTGGTTCATTGAATATGTAAGACTTCAAAACTTCAGTAGATGTTGTTTGAACATATCCAAAGTCCTGAAATGACAAGAATCCATATTAGAAAGTAAACCATTGAAGAAATAAACAAACTTCCAGATGATGTAAATGATGTTGCGGATTATTTTTTTAAGTTGTAATACCAAATAAGTTTCTAGAACTATCCTATATACTCTCCGTATTTTAATAAACACAAACAAGAACAACAACACAGCCAGGGCACTGCCTTTCGAAACAAAATCATTACCTAAACCAATCAACTATCATAAGATAAAGTTCAATATCACAGAAAATCATGCCATATTTAGTCTGGTAAAGCTTCCTAAGCTTCCAAATTATCTAAGCCTTTTCGGCTATTTATTTCAAGGAGAAAAAAGGCCCTGGGGAATAAAATATCATCAAAAAGAAAAAGCAGAACATTGTCACAGGGATCAAAGGTGTCCATATTAAAAACATGGGGCAACATGCAACTTCACATCATCGTACACTTTGGGTACTTACTATAACTTCATCAAGCAGTTCATATACAAGCACAAAATTTTTTCTTAATGATTCCTCATTAAGAACACCAAGGTAATCTTTGATGACACGTGCTATCCTCTGCAAAAGCTCCAAGGCTAAGGAAGGAGACAAGTTGACCCTTGTGGTTGCAACGAATAGCAGGCCAACCACCTTCACATGAAAATAGTTTACCCCATCCAGATTCTGTCGATGAAGACATAAAACAAAATGAAAATTAGCATCCAGTACTTAACCAATTATTCATTTATTTTGTGTCTGATATGTCAGGCTCGGGAATCCATTACCCAAAGACTTTTAATTTAGAGCAGCCATTAATTGGGCATATTTCCTCATTACATAACCAATGAACATCAATAAACGAAGAAAATAAAAAATTTCTACTGTCTATATATCAAATGATATGTAATTTGCATTCAAAACCATATTTGATATAAAAGACACAGAGAAAAGTAAAATTATTCAGTAAAAAACCCCACAAAGACAGGCGGCGCTTCCCCCTTCCCGTCTTCTTTCCAGAATTTAACTTTCCGAAAGAATATCTCCGCACTTCCCTTCTGCACATCACCTCGATCTGCATCAATCCATCGTTACATTCACTCAAAATTGCAATCTTGATATCATACATAGACAAAGCAATTCACATAAAACAAAGCCCCATCCTAAAACAATATATATATATATGTATGTATGTATCTTATAATTTCACTCATTCAGAGTTGACCGAACTATCCATAGATCCATTTTTCATTTGTAAAGCTCCTTTTATGGAAATCCATGGAGCTAACAACAATTCGAATTCCCATAATATAAAAATCTGAATATCGCAGATCAAAAAAAGTTAACAACCAATTCATGCATCACAGTTCAGCAAATCACTAAAAACGCATCAAATTGCACAATTGAATTGCTCAAACTAGATAAAGTGCAATCAAGATCATTTTACTTACCCACCCATACCTCGGAAGCCAAATTAATTGTCTACAGAACCAAATGCCCAGCCAAAAATCAAGAAAATCTAGCGATATAGGGTATAATACCAAGAAATTACTCGAAACAAAATTCACTAAATTCTTGAACGAAATACAATCAGCAGAGAGATTGAGGGGTGAGGAACATACAGTCTCGGAAGACGATGTTGTCACCTCGCTGGGAAAGCACGAAGAACTGAGAGATCATGGCGAGAAGTGAGGTGTACCACACGGCAACTCGTTCGCCTGTTCGAGCTCTGCCCTGCCTGTAAATCCTTGATTTTGAATTGCACTTTGCCCCCTCGGAATTTAGTTTATTCGAAATAAGCCATCTTCATCTAGACTTCCTCATTAGGTCGAACCGTCGGTTCGAACATCCCGTTCGCCGGTTTTCGAACCGGCGCTTATGGTTCAAATCCGCCACACACCCCGAACCGAAACCGTCACCGGACAGTTCGATTTCGGTTCGTATTTTTGTGAACCGCCGGTTCAAATCGTCATTGAAAAGAAGAAAAAAGAGGCGAGGAGAACGGTGTGGCGCTCTGGGGCCGTAGATGTGTAATTGTTAAATTGTGTAAGGGTGTGTTTGTTTGAGGGTTTGGACTTTGAGTTGGGATTTGAATAGTAAAAATTTTGAATTTGAATAGTTGTATGATGTGATATAAATAGGTGTTGATGTGATGTTTTGAATGTAAAATTGATTTTTAGTATAATATAAAAAATTATAAATAGGTGTTTGATTTGATATTTTTGGGGAAAAAAATTAAAAGAATAGTAGAAATCCAAACAAATTCCTCGAATAAACACATCCTAAATGTGTTGATTACGATAAAATGGTGTATTTTATAATAATAATAATATATTTATAATTAATTTTTAATATATTAGTAAATTCTTATTAAAATTAAAATAGTACTAATATTAATAAAAATAAATAATTATATATTTATTGAAAAATAATAATACTATAATATTATTTTTTATTTATATTTTAAATTTTATAATTTTGTTACGTTATCTGTTCCATATAATTTTTTTATATATATTTTTTTAATTTTGATTTATCTCACATAATTTATTTTTTATTTTCTGAAAAAAAATATATATTATAACTTTTGAAAATAACTATTAATTTTTTGAATGCATATAGGTAAACCTCGAGTCAAATAGAATAGCTTCCAAAGTAGGACAAAATACCCACCAAAAGTGTGATTAGAAACACAAACAAGCAAATCCTACATAAGTATTATTTTGTCATAACAAAAATTGAAGTCATATAAAAGACATAAAGTTGATTATCGAATCCGCAACGTTTTAAGAAACGTTAAAAAGGGGGTGGGGTGGGGTGGGGTGGGGTGGGGTGTGCATGAAGAGTTCCAATACAACTGTACAATTACTCTCCAAAACAAAACAAGCATCACTTCAAAAAAACACCTGTTCTGGTTTTCTGTTTTTGTTTTTGTTTTTATCAGTGAGAGAGAGGTTATAAACCACAGAGAAGAACAACAATGTACATCATAAATGAGGTTAACGTTGAGTTGATTTGAGTCGATTAAGAATGAAGCAAAGCGCACACATGGCCGCGGCCCTCGACTGAAAATCATGTCGGCATACATATGTATATAATACGGAAAGAAAGAACAATTGAATTCGTTGCGAACCTGTATGATCATCATCATGATCTGGCGAATGATCTTGGATTGAACAGAGCAAGTCCCTTTTCCATCATGGAATTGCTTTCGGACCTCCCTCGTTCCAAGCCTTGAGGCCCTCCTGATTTTCTTCCTTTCTCGGCATTTTGGGGATTCTGGCTGTTGGGATTAGGCCGGGAGTCGTGGCTCTCCGGTTCCTGGCCCTTTTCTGATGACGAAGACTGCCCTTTCGATTCTTGATGCTTGTCGGGATTCTCAGCCGACTGAGATGATGCTTCTGATCCACCTGCTTGGTCCTGGTTTTCCGAGGAATGGCTTGTGTTCCGGCCTTTGTCCATGTTTTGAAGCTCATTTGCTATTTGAGTACGTCGCTCCTTTAGGAAGTTAAGTCTGTTTGTCAGCTTCGACAGAGCAGATGTCGTACCCTGTTGTATAGATCCGAATATAGTTATTATTCCATAACAAAACATAAACACTTTCGAAATTTTTAGAGCTACATTTTTGTTTAACAAATTATCACATCATCAAATACTCAAGGTTTTTAAATTTCAAAAAACTTCTACCTGAACGGAGCTGTAGTTATGCAATTAGAATTTTGATTGAAATATATCCTAAAAAGCTTCCTAGACAGGGGCTTCTTGAATTATTTAAAAAATAGAGATCAATTGAATCTTCAATAAACCGTTTTTTTGTCCCGTATGACGCTGGCCCGCCGTTGTTGACGTAGCGCTGACGCGACTGACACGTTATCGCCACGCCAGTAATACGTCGGAGGACCATTTCGCCATTTAAAGTTTTTAAATCATAAAGGGCCTGATACGGAACTAAAAAAAATAATTTACCTTTGAATATTTTGTTTGGAATCAATAGACTATATTAAGTTTCACCTTCCTATATTCATCTTTATTTTATTTTAGATTTAGGCATAGAAGAAAACACTCTCAAGCATATCATGAGGTATTCCCATTTGCACAAGAGAAAAAAAAATAAATAAATAAAAAAATATCGAAGATGTTAGTGAAAATAGAGGAAATTTTACCTCGCCTTTGGTGCTGGCCTTTCTAGAAACGGATCCAGGAGGCTTACCCATTCCTATTTCCCCAGTGAATGCTCGGGCGAAAGATGCAATGCCTTTCATATTTTGTGAAGAATCAGATTGCTGATTCTGATTCTGAGGTGTATGCAATGAAGATGCACTGTCGTGTCTTTTATGGTTGTCGGCTTCTGACTTGTCCAAACTCGATTCCCTCTGCACACAGAGGAGAAAGCCTCAATACATTTCATGCTGCTCAACTACGCACTTAACTTAAGCTAAGATAAATAATAGATCCGATGCAAGCAGATATGTTGTGATTTATATCTTGTAACGGCTAGCAATTTTACTATAAAATTTCTCAGAATGATAGATCTAATGTCATGGCATAACAGGGTCATGTATAGAAAGTAAGACCGACCAAATTCAGGTTCCTGTTTACTTAAACTGGGACATGTTCAGTTTGATGTTTAGCATCTTATATTTTCCTTCAAATTAAAAATTCGGATCATCGATAATCAATTCATGACATACCTTACTTCTAGAAAATTTTCTACTAGAGAAGGATGAGGCTCTACCATCCGACTGCTTTGCCTTCCTGCTTCCCATCAAGAAAGAAAACATGACAAATGTACTCATGAATCGTCTAAATTTTGAATCATTTATAAAATGAAAGTAACAAAAACAAGCTAGCATGCTCATTTAATATGGAATACACCAGTTTCCGATATTTGTGAATTGGGTCAAAATTCTGATATTGACATGTCAATCAAATCTTTAGTATTAGTCAATATACTTTACAGTGGTAACAAAGATCTTTTCAGGCGGAACAAGCTTTCAAACAAAGAATTCTACGCAGTTATCCTGCAGGCTGGGAAATACTGTGTCGGGAAGGAACTTTTATTTTATCAGGTTCATATTTTGGGAGTTTCATGATCATCTACTTCGCAAATTTGAAATTTTTTGTTATAAAGCATATCGATGCTCAAAAAATCCCTAAGCCCAAGCGAACAAAAGCTGCGAACAAAACATTCAATAATAAAATAGCTATGTTGTCCAAGAAGTTTGACCAGACATAATATGCACACACGCTGCATGGAGAAAAAAATGCCGACAAGAATGTAAGGGAAAAACTTACAACTTCTTTCGGTCAACTGGGTTGAGCTGAAGTTCACCACCTAGTTCGAGCACGAACGTAGAAATCTGGTTCCGTTGTTGACCAAGTTGCAGTTCAAGATCACTAGCCTTTTTCTTCAAACTTATATTGTTTTCCTCCAATTGAACAATTTCAACTAGCTCTGCCTTTATCTATTTTCAATTCAAAGTTGGTTGGTTAAAAAAAAATAATAAAACCTAATCTACACATGCACCAACCAAGAACAGGTTACCTTGTCATCCGTAAGTGATGAAACAGATAAAGGTTGCCAATTTTTTAGCTCAGCTACAAGTGTTGTCGCCAAGTCCATCTCCCTCTGTAGCTGCTCCTGTAGTCTTACCACCTACAATGCAATTTCCACTTTGGTCAGCCTCGATACTAAAAGTAACCCTAGCAAGTGCATGCCAACATGCATGATGCAGGGGTCAAGTCCCTGTGTCAAATGAGTAATGTTAGATACAGTGAATATGCTTGATACTTCAATACTGAGTTTTCTTTCTAATTGCCTATTTACCAGTGAGTTACAAATCTATGCTGGAATGTAAACATGAATTAACCCCCAGTAAAGGTTTTCTGGCAATTGCATGATCACTCAATCCAACAATCTTCCTACAATGTTCAGATACCTAACAATAACTGATACACCAAATTTCTAAGGATAGAATATTTCACATGGTACTATAAACTTTATTTTATTTGGAATAAGTGCAGCATATCATTCCTTAAATGACCGTAATTAGGTAGAAGATTCTGAACTTGGTGACTTCAATTGATTCTTACTTGTACTACCTGGTAGGATCTTATCACTAGTTAAAAAGACAGACTACTTCCTCTTTGTGGGGACAAAAAAAAATAACTACTTCTGCCACAGAGATCCCTGAATAATCAGATCGTAGAGATTAATAAAAAGTTCTTATGTGAAACAAGGAATATTGTTAGAGACATCAAATTAGCATATAATTTTCTCTATGGGGAAGATTATAGTTCCTACTGTGGTCGAATCATAGATAGCTTAGGAGAAAATATAAAGAATGGAAAGAAATTCTACAAAAATTTCTTACATCTTCCTCGAGATGTGCATTTTGTTCATGCAAATCATGCTTTCGCTTCTCTAAGCAATCCTGTATAAGTGATCTCACCGCAGCCTATAGGGAAGATATTAAGACATTATTAAGAAATTGCATAATGCAGAAAAATATGCATTGATAGAATCTTAGGATAGAAATCAACACTTCAACTCTTACCTCACTGGCCTGTGGATCTGTTCTATTATGCTCTACTTTTTGGGTCCCATTCCTATTAAAGATGCAGATTTGATATGATTATTAAGTAAAAAATGTTTCAACTAAGAGAAGAAGGGTGATTCCTGTACACATATCAATAAATGATGATAATGATTCAATTTTAATGCTCTTATCTCTCTCTCTCTCTCTCTTGCTAGGGAAAAAACATACGCACCGACTAGGGGGTGGGGTGGGGGAAGAGGGTCACATATAACTTTAATGCTCTTGTCTCTTGAACATGAAAAAAGAAGCATATTAATAAATTTTGAATTTGTTTCTCCATATACCAAACTTAAGAGGTTCTGAACTAATTTTAAATATTAGAGGCATTTTGTGAAAGATAATTTGATTATGACAACAGAGCAGTAAAGAACAGAAATAGATACCGGAGAATAAAACTTTTTAACAAGCCATGCATAGGTAGCTTTAGATAAATAACTTACTCTTCTCCAAAGGAAACTTCAATGGTCTCCATAGATAGGTTCTTCCTTCCCTGGAGTAATATATGCATTACGTAAGGTTTGTATGTTGTCTCATAATGTAAAATTTCACACTCTTAGTTTTTCTTTTTTTGGGGTAGGTATAAGCTAATAAATATTGTGGACAATATATAACAGTCAGAAGATGCAAAAGATACATTGCACTCACAGGAGCTCTTCCCCACATAGTGGGTCGCCGTGTGGTGCGTCCAGACCCCTGGGACGATTCAGAGCATGCTTGGGCCAAGGATGTGTCATCATCATCCCCTAGTGATTTAGAGGAGATGTTGGATTGCATTTTTTCAGTCTCTGAACTCAAAACATTGTCATTTTTTTCAACACCAGCATGTTGAGGCAATGAAGCTTGTGGTTGACTTGATAACATTTTGCTGGATTCATGACCTTCATCTACTCGAGGAGAGGCAGTCCCTGAACTGTGGCTACTTGCAGAGTCCTGCATACAGCAAGCAGCCTATCATCAAACATTGTAAAAACACTGGACGTCTTTGGTGTAAAAAACCATAAGTCTCCTTAATATTACTTCCAGACACTATATCACATTGCTATCAGAGTAAGGCATACCCTAGGAAGAAAGCCTGGGAAAATGTCAAAATCATAATTAATCTAGGCTTCTCGATTGCAGGATGACAAATACTAGAGAACTGTTTTCCATATAATTGAGGAAGATTGCATGCCACTAGTTAGAATAATGAGTATTCTAGTTTTAGCATCATCTCAAAGATACTGAGATGGAATTTTGTTGCAGTTCTGTAAACACTAAACTGAGCAATTATCTCCATGTGTTCATATGTTAAATAGAAGGCCAATGAAATGGAAACCTTTTTTTGAGATCTTTTTTCGCCAATCTCACTAGAAGTTGAACTTGATTCATGACCATCTTCTTCTACATAGTCGGACTCTCCTTCCTCGTCTTCTTCTTCCTCCTCTTCATCTTCTTCTTCCTCTTCCTCCTCATAGCTTTCATCATCTGTAATTTCCTCGCTCTCACTTCCACTCTCTTCTGAATCAGTATATGGTTCATGAGTTTGGGCACCATCCTGAAAGCAAGTGTTACATGTCAATCATAACATTATCAGATATATATATAACAGAAAAATTAACACTGACGGTGCATTATAGCATAAAACAGACTGCATTATGCCAGAGTTATTTTCTGTTTATTTTGCTGGAATACCTAAATCTACTGAAAGTCTTCCACTCTAAAGGTATGTTTTGGAATAATACTGCTGAAGGCTGTTATGGTGATTTGGTGCGGAAAATATGGTCTAAATGGATTGAATATATTAGACCAGTATTACAGTCATATCATCAAAAGTTACCTAGTCCGCCTCAGGTTTCCTCTAGGTAGCATCATGACCAAAACGAGACACCTTTTTAACCAATATTAATCTCTTCTAGAATATGCAAATATTCAAAATGATTAATATTTTTATGATCTCACATTGAAATATTACCCACTCTCCTGAGTCTATTTTCATTGAAGTGAAATGCCATTATATCAACATATGATTCTACCAAAAAAAAATCACTTTCATATGCATAGATCTATGCTTTTAAAACATTTAATTAAAGAATTTGATCACATATCATGTTATTGAGCCAACCCATCAACTCACTTTGAAGCCTAACGCCTACCAAAATACTTGAAATGAATCTGGATCAGTTCCACGCGAAGAAAGTAAAAAGGTATACAGTTCAACTACAATTCTTCTTACCATTCCTTGAACAACTAAGATGTAGATGAGGACTAGGACTGAAAATGCGAAACCTTAGTATCTATTATTTTACCATCAAATGCAGTGGTTCTGGTGTTTAAGGAGCATGTATAGTTCATATAAGATAGTAGTTCAGGTACACAACATGGAACTGGAAACTAACAAGTAATGAGGCAATTGAAGAATACCCCAAATATGTTGTCGTATTCCTCAAGCAGTGTGATAACAATGGCTTGAGCATGGTTAGCTGCGGCAGCTGCTTGCAAAAGTTGAGCAGAGCTATCAACTCCCACATTAACATCATGCTCAATCTCACAATCTCCAGCAAGAAGGGGGCGAAGAAGCAAGGGAGCCATACAGGCTGCCACAGCTGATACACTCATTCTGTTCACAGTCTTGTTGGAAGCTACTACTTGCATCATATTAAGAATTCTTTTGAAGAGAAGAGAAACAAATGAGAATAATTGTCACTATCAATTATAAAAATAAATAAATTCACACACAATTATTAACATGACAATTTGAGCAACTTTCCAGAAAATTCTTGCACCCAACAAGGGACAGGTCACAGAATCACCTTCATAGACTAATGACCAGTGTCTTCTAAGAGAAGTAGATTACAAGTAAAAGCATGTGCGCAGATCAAGAAACAAACTCAAAGTCTCAAACCATCAAATCCTCCTTTTGATTACCCATTCACCATTTATAACATCCAATAAAATACTCCAACAGAAGAAGACAATAGTTGTAACTCTTAAGTCTTGAAAAAACATAGAAAAAGGATAGAAATAAAATTCAATGTCTCGGGATCATGATTCATTCAATAAATGATCTTGTTTCAATAACTTTGACTAACAAAGGGAAATTAAATAACAATGATAGGAATATAGAGAACTTATACAGCCCAATGTCCTATAATTTCAAAGCTAGTTGCTAATTAATAAAATTTTGAGTTAAAAATTCATCTAACATGCAAATGAACTTTTGCAGGTAAATGTAAGCACATCTCAAAATTTTCCAATACATGCTGTTTCCTTTTTTCCTTTTTTTTTTTTTAAATTTTTTCTTTTTCTTTGGAGAAAAAGATGTACTAATTCTTGGTGAAATCATAGGTAGGAAATATATGGTCTATGAGGGTCAGCTAATGTGAACGACTTTGGAAACAAATTGCATTTCCTCATCTTTCAGACACCATCACAAAAGATGGTAAAACAATCTGATTACCACATCAAATTGGAAATGTGCTTTTTAGCAAGCATAATTATTTAATAATTAGAATTTGTATAGTTATATAAAATTCCTAAAATGATTGCAAAATACCTTTGTAATAGGCGGCGATTTGGCTCTGGAAATGTTTCACATATTGCTGAATGCATGGCACTCACTCTCGTGCTTCGATCAGTTCCTAATCACCACAATAATTTTCCAAAGTTAAAGAAAATGAAAAAGAGATCCGATGTAGCTACTTCATCTTCATTTGAACCTCCTGGGTAAATGCAGAAGGCAGTTATAAATTTACTGAACATTTTATTGACTTCTATTGGCTTTCTATTGTTTTATGTTTGAAAATTGCTATTTGTCTTTAAAATCTACATGTTGGCATTTATTCAACTTACTATAAGCTTCAAGGAGCGCTTTGCAGCAAGAAGCAGGAACTGGGGATGAAGGTAACTCCCGAAGAACATACTAGCCATGATCAATAGCCAAAAACATTCAATTCATCCACCAAGGTTAAGCTGCAGAATCGTATGTTTATATAGCTAAAAGGAATACCTTTATACAGTCACCTATAACATGTGCATCCTCGTCTGGTGAAAAATCAGTTTTCCCTGAACATAATAGAAAAGATTAATGATTTTTTGTAAATATCATGCAAAGTAGAGAAAGTCCCACTTCTTATATCAGGTCCGCAAGACAACCAGTCATAAAGGTTCTACCAGCAATATAAACTCTGGAGATATATGGGACAAAATTCAACAGTCATAATCTTCTATGGGGTTGAATGAAATATGTAAAACTCATGCAAAAATAAAGTAATATTGTGTAACTTTATACATAGTTGTGACTATCTGATCATACAAAATGTATGTTCAAATCTTAATACAAAGTATTACTGAAAGTAGTGAGCTGACAAAATAGATTGATTTCTATGACTTCTTTAGCAATTTAACTTTACCCGAATCTTTAGACTCTAAAAGTGCTACTAACTTCCTATATATATATATATATATTATATACATTATCCATCAGCATATCAAAATCAACTAACCTTTTTCAAATTCTTGTATCCGGCGCTCCACATGCTCAACATCAGCAGCTTGCCTCAAGATGCCTTCTGTTTTGACTCCTATAATATGAGTTTTACATATTAATACCATGTTATAGAAAAATTAAGGTAAATACTGATACAATCACCATATCCTCCTGCCTCCATTAGTACATAAAATATGCAATTTTGATGATAAAAATTTTCAGATATATAATTAGAGAAGATTCATGACTTAATCTCTTCTATTACTTCAAGCATGAACTATGAGTAAATGCTTTCAAAAAAGCATCTAGTAGACAAAGTACCACCCCATTGAAGTCTATTAGTGAAATAGAGAAAGAAACACACCATGATCTTCAATAAACCTCAGAGCTTTTTCCAAAAATGATGGAGTGCCATCTATATCTTCCAAGGCAAGCAAAATTGGTCGTCCAATTACCAAGGATTTAACTGGCTGTTTGTCATTTGCTGTAAGACGAAGAAGAAAAAAAAAAAAAAAAACACACACCAAAGTCATAAGGCCCCTGGTCAAACCAGATAGAGGAAAAAATAAAAGATTCAAGACTGCAGAAATACAGTAATGTCCCGCAGCAATCACCCACTTATCAGCTCCCATTGCTTCCAAAAATTAAAAGTAAACATGAAGATGTACGGAATATATGAGGCTAATAGAGTGGTAAACATCTTTCAGTTTCACACCATTTTCCCAGCCTTGCTGTCAGTCATCCACAGAACTGCACTAGGTACAGCCTAAAAGCATTACTGCAGAAGTTGTATCACAGAAAATAACTGGACAAACTTAAAATTTTGCTGTTCTCTCATTGGAAATAATCAAGAATCTAATTTGGGAACTCAATAGTCAGTTTCATGGAGAGGTAGAATAATGTCAAGAGCTATATCTCTGAATTTCTTCTAGTGAATATTACATAAAAATAAATTTTATTTGGCTAAAAATTAACACTTTGATAGTTTAATTGGAAAGGCAATCAGTAATCATACGTCCTGGAAGCAAAAGACTTACATTGTTCTGAAATTGAATCAGCTCCATTAGCTTGATCACTCTTCACTGCATCGTTTTGTCCTGAAACAGCTGTAGCACTGGGAGCATTTGTCAGGGCTTCCTCAAGAGCAGCCTTCCACTCATGCAAATCCTCCAATGTTTCTGCCTGAGTCAAAGATCCAGGAAAACAGCAACATGTGAAGTTTAGATACTAAGACGTCCGTGGATTACTGGAGTTTATGAGTTTGATAACTAAAGATTATCATAGGTGCACAAAAAATAGGCTAACAATATATTTCTGTCCGGGGGCCAAAGGCAAAACAACAGCCAAACCCCTTATGTCATCAAATAAAATACAAACCCTGGACAGAAACTATCATTGCAGAACTTCAAACTCTAATTGTTTAATTGAGAATGCTTAGAGAACAACACAATGAGATAGATTAAATGGTGACAAAATGAAGATGCTTCTGACACTAATCGCACAATCAGATGACTTCAAAAGGACAATGGAAAACCGAGCATGGAAATTTGTGGAAAAAAAAAAAAACATTAAAGAATGATGGTATCAAGATATAACTAAAATAATCTTCTTATCTTGAGCATACCACTCTTTAGACTTAAATCAATCTAACCCAATTGTTTCAATTGGCCAAATTAGCTAGTGATGCTTCACCATCATTTCCTCAATCATTTTAGCTAAACGCTTCATGAATAAAATCGCCTTACTTTCCCAAAAGACAAAGGATACTTCTAAACGTTTGGTCAAGAAAAGATCCAGAAAGAATTTCACCTTGAGGGTGAAAGATCGCCCATCACGACCATCAGCAAAAGATACAGTGATCAATTTCTTATCTTCTTTCACTACCACACTGGAAATGGATCAATATGTCACTATTATCCTTCATGGCATTTGCAGGACAATTTCAAAATCATTCACAATATAAGAATGTAAAGCCCAACCTGCCAGAACTGTTGAGATCAATACCTCCAAGTGTCAGGTTGACTTCGGCCCCTTTTTGAGGAGCTACGTTCTAAGAGAAAAAGAATAGAGAAACATCGAAACATAAAAGAGAAGAAACTATAAAGATATTTAAGATGTTATGTCAGGGGAGATGTAATTCCACATTCAGTGTTTCTTAAGTTTGAATTGAGCAAATGAAAACCAGGGGTTAGAAACTTGTTGGATAACAAGAATAATGCAAATCAGTCACTTCTGATCAATTTGTTTGTAATGCTTCAACCCTTCACAAAATCAGATGTTTGTGAAAATTAAGATTGTACAACAAATATAGTGTAATGCAGCAATCTATGTGGAAACTGGAAAGCTACCCACCAACTATTATCAATGATAACAAAAATTTGGACAGCAAATCAACAATTCAGGTGAATGTGATAGAAAAATGTGTTTTCAGAATGCAGTAAAGCTTGTAAGGAAAATCAGAAAAGAAACAGCTTACTGGATCACTCCTGTAGAAGACCAAGGAAGTTTGAGTTAAAATAAACCACCTTTTCTTCCATGATGTCCATCCAATTCCTAGATCAAGAGGCAATAGCTTCACAGTGAATTTTGTTGAATTGAATAGTATGATACACTCTTCAAAATAACATATGTGCAACATAAGAATAATTTTATTGGATGTCCTTGCCCTCTTGCAAATGTGTTAATCATAATAAATCTGAATACCCAAAGATTTGAAGGGCAAGCTTATGTTTTCTTATATTTTGCTCCACTTCAGCATACAAAAGTTGCAACATAGAAGAAAGAGAATTTTTACATTGAAAACTAAAATAACTAAGTGCAAACAGCAACAGAAACTTAACACTAAATTATGCAAATATAGAACAAAACATTGAATTCTCTTATCAACATTCATTGCATTGGAGTTAGGAGAAATATTTGTTGCCATTAAAAGAAGAAAAAAACACAAAAAAAATCTCTTTTGCTTTGTTGTTACTGACTTGCCATAGTCTTTCAAGTTCATTTAGCACGGTGAGAAGTCAACCTAGGTTACTACAATGGCAAATCTTATAAATATTATCAAAATAATGACAACACAATTAAGACTGACCATATTCAGATGATAAAAAGGGATCTCTATGTCAAAGGAAGACATCGTAAAACACTGTAAACTAAAATCAAACCTGTATACACAAACATCAAGAGTATCTTACCAGGATTGACACGCAGATGGTTTTTGAAATCGAAAGTAGAAAACAATAAATCACCATAATTTCAAAACTGCAATACAGCTCTCAATCCAAAAAATAACCATTGCTTCAGCAGCCTGCCTAATTTTTGAGATAAAATTGTATGATTTCTTTCAATTGGAGTCTTGTATAACTCAGATGTTATTACATGCCCAGAGAAATGGGATGGATATGAAAATATCTCAATCTACGTCATCAGATCAGGGATTTGCACACAAGTGAAGGTTGTTTAGCAATACTAGTGTTTATTTCAACAAAGTCTTCTAATATTAACTCGCATAAAACCAGATTCATTTATCACTTGCATGAAGAACCATAGAATAATGAGTACAAAAACTATATAACCAGATTATTAAAGTGTCAGTGAATAGCCAAAAATCTAGCATTTTATTGATATCTAAATAGATCCTCATACTTTACACAATTAATTCATGCACCTGTAACAAATACATTATTTTCTCCTACCACTTGACATTGGCCTCAACACAGAAAGTAAAAAAAGTCACACTTAGAAATGCGTTTAATTCCTTCCAATAGGCAAAAAGATCAACTGAAGAGGCAAACAAACCTTTAGATGACAAAAATAATGGGCCACTCTTATAAACCTGCAAGAAAACATAAACGATTGTGCTCAGATAAGGTGAGGCAAGAAGAAAATGAAAAAAAAAAAAAACTTGAAGGCAAATCTAATTGCTATTCACATCAACTGTATAACTAACATATGAAAACCTCATTCCTTAGGGAATGGGTACATTCAAAGATGAAGAACATTCATGGTACCTACCCCCATGGCTTCGAAGAAATTGGAACGAGATTGTTTGTTCGAAAATGTTGCTCTCGCTTTTGTTTCATTATATTATATACATCAACAAATATCAGATTTATGTAATTATTATAGCGTAATAAATATATATTACATCAATCACAAAATCGAAAAAGTCATGTTGCCTGAATTCATAATATCTTATTTTTATATACATGTTACACGAATATGCATTAATTACATGCAATAATTAGTCATGTATATGCATGACTATAGTGCACACATATACAAATAAAATTTTCAAAGTATTCATCTTCAAGGCCAACGGCTCAATCTCTCATGGGTGCATGAATAATCTATTGTGACAAAAAAAAACAGCGAGACTACCTTATTCTTATTGTATATATGAATATAATAACTATCACTACAATATGCTACACATTCAAACTAACATTATTATGTATATGCTATTTCGTAGAGACAATAGTAGCCGTATTTATTTGTGTTTCCATTTCCATTGTCACACTATTCGTTCTACAATGCATCTCTTCTCCCCTCAAAAATATCGTAGCAAACATCTATTTTCTATTCAAAACATCACATCCAAATAAATAAGTTTGAATTTTGGGTTTATTTGAATAGTAAAATTTTGAATTGGAATTGTTATTTGATGGTAGGTGTTGACGTAATATTTTAAATGTAAAATTATTTTTTTAGTATATAAAAATAAAAGAAAAAATAAGTATTTAAGTTGATTTTTTTGAGAAATTTTTTTATGAATAGTGAAAATCCACCAAAATCTTTAAAACAAACACACCTAGTTACCGGTACTATTTAGCACATAGTTATACATGCATCATCATTCATCACAAACATTTTTTGTTTGTTTGGCTGTGCCTTGAAATTAATTTGAAATGGAGTGTGGATTTGAATTTTTGTTTTAATAGTATTTTGATGTGATGTTTTGTGAGAAAAAATATTATATATTTATTAGAAACTATGCAGAATAAATAGTCTTCATTTCAGTTTGTATATTATTTGCAGACATAATTGATATAATTCTTGTTTATAAAGTTAGTGTGTATACTTATTGTTCTAATTGATATCATTCTTTTCTTTTTTTTTTTTAAATATAATGTGAGAATTCGCAGCCGCTATATTTGTAATAAGCTTTGGGTAATTGATATTATTCTTGTTTATAAAGTTAGTGTGTTTTTGTTATGTTCCTACAAGATTCCCTAAAAACATTATCAAGAAAGAATATAATATATACACATAACAATAAAAAATAACAAAAACAAATAAAATATAATTTTCTATAATACTTTCAAGATTCTTCATACCTCACAACAAAAACAACTAAAACTATAAAAACTAAACAAACACATTCTTTACTTTTGCTATAATATCTATTCTTTTTTCCATCTACAAAAATAAAGTTACTTTTCAAAATACAGTTATCGAAATAAAGTTAAGATTATGTTAATGAAAATTGTATACTATATATTATAATAATATTAGGCACAGATGCAAAACAATGTATATGCATATATCAGTAATATTACATATTGAGAGAATACATATATATATTAAAACAAATTTACGGTCTTTTTTTTTTTTTTTTTTTTTTTTTGCAAATCCAAGTCCAACACTAATTCCTTCAAAACATCACATTAAATAACTAGTTTCACCTAAAAATCATTAAAAAAATAAATAAATAAATAAATAAGAAGTACTAAAATGAAGATACATCACACTAAATAATAAGTTTCACCTACAAATTTAGTAGGATTTTTTTTTAATTTATTCATATAATTTGTTGTTACATGCCCATATAAAGAAGAGCAATCCAGTTCCTTATTTCCTTGTCCTTTTACCATCAGGATACCAAATAAAATATTTAGTTCCAACTTGAACCCTTTTCACCAATCATTCTCCTTTCCATTTCATATTCCTTCATCCATACACTTACCAGAAAAATCAAAATTATACACACAAAATTCATGAGCCACCCTATTCCGTTGATGTATTTAACACCCCACTACTAATACCATTACCTTCAAAGAGCAGTTTCAAACAAAACACAAATTTTTCGAATAAAAAACAAGGTATTAGAATGACAGGTCACGACCATACTTATCTCTCCTAATGCCTGAGTTGGTGCCAGCACATCCAACTGTTGATTCCTCAGTCCAATGATTAATTCCATACTTAAAACCAGAAATCTTGGATCTATTTTTCGTTTGTGCTCCTCCACTAACTTTAAGAAAGCCTTTGACCTAAGATCTTTAGCAGATATGACTTGCCTCCGGTTGTGTTTAAAAACCATTTCAAAATTTCATGTTCTTCATTAATTTTATACTTACCCATTAATGCCCAAATGTGTTACCATATATCTTATCCTTTTTCCTAATATAAATTTTCCATGAAACACATTGAAGTTGCTATCTCAATTTTCCAGCTAGATTGTATCAACAAAACCCTTTCTCAAAACCATTCCTAAAACGAATATTGACAACTTGGTCATGTCCACAAACTCTGGAATTTTACAGAGCACTCTATTCTAAAACACACTCCTATTTGGTCAATGAAACACAAATCGATAAGAATACAATAAATAAAAATCAAACAGATACGTGTACGTGATAATTGCGCAATAAAGCTAAAAAAGGCCCAAAATATTTACCTTACTGCCGCCGTGTTGAGTGGGGCTGGACGGCGGCGAGGATGCCTCTGTTTTGACGGCACCGCCTTCCTCCTGAAACAAATTCACACCAAAAAAAATTTAACAAAACTCGACAGAAATTGCTAGCTACAATCACCATTACACACGACATGCATTAGCGATCGGGGACGCACGTACCTGCACGGAATTTGCAGGCGCCACCACGGCTGTATTCGCATTCGTCATTTTGCAACTCCTAATGGATTACATAATAAAAACCCCAGGAAATGAAAACCTGCAAATGCATGCGGAAATAGATCCGATTGAGACCCGAAATACCTTCCGGACACCTGATTATCAACAAAAACAACAATCCGCGACGGGCAATTCAACCATGTCCATCCTCCTGGGTCACCTTATTGAGGAAATTGCGAGAGCATGGAATTGGAGTCGAGAAATGTGGAGAGCGTGCGATTGGCAAATATGTTCCGGTTGCTGTACGACGATGGATCACACCAACGCCATTGCCAACACTCGTGCGCACGAGGAACGGGCGGAGAGGAAACCAAAAGACCGCCTTTTCTTTTTCCTTATATATACGTATATTTATTTTTTATTTTTAATTTTATTATTACTACGTATAAATCAAAATGTACGGGGGAATGGTATATCCAATTTTTTATATTTATATTAAAAAAAAAAAAAACGGAATATTTATGGTGTTGTGAGGAAAAAGATATTTGTAAAAAAAAATATATATAAATATAAAAATATTTTTAATATTAGATAATGACTAAAAGCAACATGATTCGTGTAAAGTGAGTGAACAAACGAAAGATGAAGTACAATTTTATTTAATATATATTTACTTTGTTTCAACTTAGCCTTTCAGTAAAATAATTATTTAATAGATATGAGGATTTATAATTCATTATACAATTATATTAAATACAAATATATTGTATTATTTATTAACATTAATAGTATTTTTATTTTGTAAAATAGTTTGAATGATTTTTTTTTATGTAAAAAGTAAAAAATTATATAAATAATATATATATAATATATTAATTTTTATTAAAAAGTATGTATGTTTGTTTTGCAAAAATAATACACCATTATTTTTTCGATAATAAATTAGTTAAAATTTTCTATTTTATATAAATTAATACATATTATTTTGTTCAATAATTAACTTAGCATGATCCCTAAGGAATGACTTGTGGTGCTTTGAGTTCAAAATAATAATTAAATTCGCGCTATGCTTTTATTTTCTTTTGAATATTAGGGTCCGTTAAAAATCAATTCAAATTTTTTTATTATATATTTCATTAAAAATATATTACATGCATCTAATTTGTAAATATATAATTTTTTAAAAATAATAGTATTTTAATTGTAGTTGATAGTTAAAAATAATATAAATATAATTTTTTTCATTATTTTTTGTACAAAGATAACAATGTGATGATAAAATAGAAGTATTTAAAAAAACTAATAAGATGTTTTTGAAATAATTACCTAGTAATTGATCAATACAAAATAAAAATATATATATTTCGTGAGTGAGCAAAATAAATAGTTATTAAAATAATTAAACATATACTCTCTCCGTCCCATATCTATATATCAATTTGCTTTTTGCACGGAGTTTTAGAAATATTAGTATTATATTAGAATAAAGTAGAAATAAAAGTAAAAAGACTAAATTAAGCCTATTAGTATTGTATGATATAAAGGTAATGACATTTGTGTAATATATTGTAAATTAGAAGGGTATTTGTAATGTTAGGTAGATACTACAATTACTTAAAAAAAAAAAAAAACAGATACTTTGTTATGGAACGGAATAGAAAAATGGATAGATTGCTAAGGGAATGAGTGAGTATTTTTTTAAATTTTATATAGTATTAAATTACACATTAAGTATTAATTAAGGGTGTGTTTCTTTAAAGGGCTTGGGATAATCTGGGTTTAAGTTGTTTTCTTTTTTTTTTTTTTTGTTTGGGTTTGGTTGAAGTCTGATGAATTTTGATGTGTATTGATTTGATGAATAATTAATAAAATAATATAAATGTGTATTAAAATTTAATTGATAAAATTTATATTGTATGATTTGATTATGAATTTATATTATACTCAATATATATATTTAAATTTTTATTTATGTTTATTATATAAAATTTTATTATTTACAAAATGACATATATATATTGTATATTTTTTTCCCTATAATTATAATAAATATTAAATTATATATTAATTTTTTTTAAAAAAAAATTAAGCATGCAGGTTGTGTTCCCAGACGTGGACAAAAACCCGGATTGAATAAACACACCCTAAATAAATTGTTCTTAACTCAATTTTCAACTAAAAAATTTCAATTTTACTTACAATGGATTAAGAAAAGTATTGAATGTTGTAAAAAAATGACTTCCTGGTGCAAGAATGAATTCAAAGTCGTAAATTGATAGGTTCAAACTTTTGATACTTTCAAATTACCAAAAATGATGTGCTAATCCATAAGACATCATTATAATCTTGGTTATGTTGGACACGAGATTTGAAGAATACTGATATTATATTGATATTGATAGTGAATAAAAAGTATAGGTAAAATACAATTTTGTCCTTACGAGTGTCTTAGTGTAAAAAGTAGTGATAATTATGTAATAATAATGAAAGACTAATGGTAGTTATATATTGATATGATTATTTATGAAAATAAGACTATTGTTTTGAGACGGACAAAAATAGTAAACAAGATTATTGTATTGGGACGGAGAAATAGTACTTTAACTAAGCCCTAAATCACAAATGTCGAAGTTGTTGATGTGACAATATTACAGTATGTCGTAAATTGTGTGAATGACATGCGAAAAATATTTAAAAATTATTTTAGGACCATAACAAGACATTATATTAGATTAGTTCTATAATTAAAAAAAAAAAAACTTAAACATAAATTATTTTAGTTTTATGATATTTTTTTTGCTACGAGAGTAATTTAATGCAAAGTCAAATTATAGTTCTTAAATAATAATTTTCCCAAATAATTATATTTTTTATTTAAATTATTTTTTAAAATAGAAATGAATATGTATCATTAAATACAATTGAACAAATATTAGATTCTAAATATAACCAAGTGTAGGCATTTTTTTTTTTTAATGTATTTGTTTTGAAGTTATGTTTTAAAGTAAAATATAGAGAATTGAGTGATAATAAGTGTATATAATAGATTAATATTTTTGAAAAATTATATTGAAAAATTTATATTAAAAGAACAAACTATTTTAACTGTTGTAAAATTTTTTAAAATAAATAGATAAAAGATATTTCATCATTGGCATATATTATGTCACAGTTTTATTTTGATCCATTTTATATCTTATGTATTTTTCTTTTTTAAAAAAATTATATATTTTAATTTTTATTAATATTAATTATTTATTATGATAATTTTAATTTTAATTTTTTTTATTTTTTATAATAACATGATAACCAGCAGCCATTAGCCAAAAACATTGGATATAATTTTAAATAATTTGTATTATAGAAATCAAAGCCATAACACATTCCCAATATAGTAGTATTAAACAAAAATGTTAACGTCATGACAAAGGTGCAACTGCCCCAAGTCCCAAGACCCACCTGCTACCGTTACACCCGGACTCCTGAACACCAAATAAATCTCCACCGTTATTTCTGTCGACCCCATGGAATGAACGGAGAGGATCAGCCCGCCAAGGAACCCTTCATCTTATATTTTATTTATATGTTCACCTGTCGACCTAATTTATACTTAGTAAGAAAGTATTCGTTTTTTCATTTTAGTCTATTTTATAATAAAATATATATATATATTTTTTTTAGTAACGACTTAGTAAGAAAGTATTCGTTTTTTCATTTTAGTCTATTTTATAATAAAATATATATATATATTTTTTTTAGTAACGGTACTGGCTACTTAACATTACAAATACCTTTATAATTTACAATATATTACACAAATGTCATTATCTTTATATCACACGTACTAATAAAATTATTTTAGTCATTTTTATTTTATTTCTACTGTATCCCAATATAATATTAATATTTTTAAAATTATGTGTAAAAAACAAATAGATATTTATTTATTGGGCGAAAAAAGTATTATAATGGATTCCCTTTTGGCACTTAAAAAAATATAAAGAATAAATAATTTAAAAACATATCAATAAAAATAATTATTATATAATATACATATCTATAAATTAATATTAAATTAACTAATTAATTAAATTAATATTTAAAATATTATTGATTATAAAGAGATTGGGAATATATTTAATTATAATTTCAATTAATTTAAAATAAAGTATTAATTAATTTTTATTTAAAAATATTTTAATTTAATATTTTTTAAAATAAAATAATATATTTTTATTAAAAATTATATAAATAAATGATATTTTTTTCAACTAAATATCAAAATATATTACTTATTGTTTTTATATTATTTTTATTTTAATAAAAAAGTAAAATAAATATTGTATTATTTTATTATATTATATATTTATAAAATACTTTATCCATTCGATTTAAAATTATAATTTTAATTAAATTGATTTATACATTTAGAAAATATTAATAATATTATATTAATAATTAATAAAAAATATATATTAATATAAAATTTAATAACAATGGTATAATAGTAATAAAAAAAATATTAATAATTTTATTATAGTACAATGAAACTATTATTTTAAAAACGAACGAAAATAACAATTCCTATAAAAAGTCAAAATGAATATACTAATTTTAAATATTTGCACAAATGCGTAACGAGTATTAAAACTGTAAGCCTGACAAAACTACATATTTTATCTAACCACCAGGTCTCCCGAACTCCAAACCAATCTTCACCGTCCATTTCGTAAACCCCACAAAACAAACGGACCAGATCGATTTGGCGTCGGAGTCCCTATATCCGCCAAGAACGCCATCGAAAATATCGAACCAGGAGTCTGCAAGAGCCAAGCGGGGTCGGCAGGGACAACCTCAGTCGCTCACGTTCTTATCTCGCAGCCATCGCCGTCGCCATCGTCATCATCATCGCCATCAGAAAAAACCACCCAAACAATCATCCTCCAATCATTTCCCGGCCGCCGGCGCACACTCCGACCAATTCAATTCACACCTTCAGAAAAAAAAACAGTAACAGTCTCCAAAAATGGCTTCCGCGATCTCCGCGGGGCTCTCGTTGAAGCTGAGCCCTAATCGGATCAACCACAAGCAGCTCCTCCAATCTCCGATCTCGATTCAATCGCATCCCCCGCCGGGAAATTTCCGCGTTCCACGCGTGGCGCGTGAGGTCTCGCCGACGACGGTTTCCGGATCCTCGAACGACGTCGTTTTGCAGTCGGCTGGGCTGGAGAAGGATCCGCACGCGCTGTGGAAGAGGTACGTCGACTGGTTGTACCAGCACAAGGATCTAGGGTTGTACCTTGACGTCAGCCGGGTCGGGTTCAGTGACGGGTTTGTTGAGGAAATGGAGCCCCGGCTCCAGAAGGCGTTCAAGGACATGGAAGAGCTGGAGAATGGTTCGATTGCGAACCCGGACGAGGGGAGAATGGTTGGCCATTATTGGCTGCGGAACCCTAAACTCGCACCTAAAGCAATTTTGACTCAGCAGATTGAGAAAACTTTGGATAGCATCTGTGACTTTGCTCAGCAGGTCATCAGCGGTAAGGTCAGTTTCTTTTTACTGTTTTTGTGGATGCATCAATGCAGCAGTTCTGAATATTCCTTTTTGAAATGTGCTGAATTATGTTGTCTGATATTATGTTTAGATGATATAGCATATGTATATTTGTGAAAGAAACTATTGTAATCTTTAAGAAAGTTCGATGTTGTATAGGAAAAGAACACAAAAAGTTTCCCAAAGTAAATACAGCTGCTATATTTTCGATATTAGATGTTGCAAAATTGTGAGAAATCAGGCATCGGATCGTCAGCCCCATTTTCCCAGCCCCATTCAGCTCCATGTAATACAGGTGTATATATATACATAATATGTATGTATATATGTATCACTTTGATAGAGGGGTTGTGGTAAATTGGGGCCGACGGTCTGATGCCGAGAAATCAAGATAAACAAAATGCACACAAGAAGACGTTTATTTGGTGATCCAATTTGATCAAATTGATCTATGTTTAGGGCGGCCAAACCAGGTATTTGTTTGAGTTTTGGTTAAATAGCATTTTGATGTGATGTGTGAGAAGAAATAGTGTATTTTTATCGGGAACCATGTGGACTAAATAATGTTGATTTCTTTTTGAAATTAAAAACAAACGAATACAGAGTATACAAACATCTGTAATATGCTGTTTGGATAATAGTCGAAGTAGTTATGCTGTTTTTTGTTATTGAATATGTTGGTAGATGATCTAATACATTGTTGTTATATTTAATTTCTGTTTAGAATATGCACTTATTCATGCGCTAGTTATCGCGTATGTTGAATATTTATATATGAATTGATGAATTAATTAGCTCTGGTGGCAATATGTATATATATATAATTTTTGTATGTATATGTAGTGTTTAATTTGTGGGCTTTAGATGTATGCAGTGTTGCATTTGTTGAGACAAGTAGAGTTTTCTTATATTTTTTCGCGCTGCTGAATTGGCTTTTAGATTTTGTATTTTGAAACTCCTCTTTTGGTTTGAATCTCCGAGATAACTTGTTTCTTGGATGTAATGTTATATGCATGTCTTTAATTTGTTCTTTGAAATTCACAACACTTTATATAGCTGTTGGTTCTGATGTTCTTTGCGATGCAGATTAGACCTCCTATAAAAGATTCATTTACACAAATCCTTTCGATTGGAATTGGTGGTTCAGCTCTCGGGCCGCAGTTTGTTGCAGAGGCGTTGGCTCCTGATAATCCTCCTCTTAAGGTACTTAGAAACACATTTGACTTACTGCATTATATACATAATATTAACAACTGCGGCATTTTCTGGTTCTTTTACCTGATTCCCCAACCCATCCAACCATTCTAAATTTTAACACCTTTTGCTGGGCAATTAGAATAGGATGGCTATGGTACCTTGTAAATATGTGAATATAGTTTTTCATGCTCCACAAGGTAATGTTACACACACACACACACACGTGTATATATATATATATATACACATATCATAATCTAATTTTCCATATTTGTGTACTTCATGTAGTCTGTGTTATATTTATTTGCAGATAAGATTCATCGACAATACAGATCCAGCTGGGATTGATCATCAAATTGCACAGATTGGCAGGGAGTTAGCTTCGACACTCATCATAGTCATATCAAAGGTATTAATCCATCCATTTTCTCTCTCTTTTTTTTTTTTTAAATTTCTAGGTGGGCACCTAATGCCGTTTTACGGTCCATCAGAGTGGAGGTACTCCTGAAACAAGAAATGGCTTACTGGAAGTTCAAAAGGCCTTTCGTGAAGCAGGGCTCGATTTTTCAAAACAGGTCACATTTGTTTGATGGCATTAGCAAAATTATTGGCCCCTTTGTTCACATTGCATATTTTTGTTTGATTGTTTGTTTTATTTTTTCTGGACGACAATTACCTATTAAGTTACGACTGTTTTGAAAATTCATGCTGATGCTGTCGTAGGGTGTTGCGATTACACAAGAGAATTCATTACTCGATAACACTGCACGGATTGAGGGCTGGTTGGCTAGATTTCCAATGTTCGATTGGGTGGGTGGTCGAACCTCCGAAATGTCTGCTGTTGGTTTGCTTGCAGCTGCGCTTCAGGTATATGGCGTGTGTGTATATATATGTATGTATTTAACTTAAATTAGGGTGTGTTCGTCTTTAGGATTTTTCCAAAAATATACTATTCGTAAAAAAATTCTCCTAAAAACATCAAATCTAATACTTATTTTTCATTTTCTGTATTATAATAAAAATTAATTTTACATTCAAAACATCACATCAACACCTATTTATGTCACATCATAAAACTTTTGAATTGTAACAGTTGTATGATGTGATATAAATAGGTGTTGATGTGATGTTTTGAGTGTAAAATTGTTTTTTAGTATAATATAAAAAATGAAAAATAGGCGTCTGATTTGATATTTTTGTGAAAAAAAATTGGATAAATAATATAAATTTGGGAAATCCCCCAAAAGAACACACCCTTAATGAAAACTTGCCCGTGGGAGGTGTATCATACTGTTTTAGAAAACACGACAAAGAGTGGTCTTTGTGCTTTTTTCCTCATTCGAGAATTTGTTTGAACATTTGTATTATACCCTTTTTGTACGGGTGGAATTTTGTCGATGCCATCCAATTTTACCTGTTACTTCTAGGGAATTGATATCAAAGAAATGCTAGCTGGTGCGGCATTGATGGATGAAGCTACCCGGTCCACAGTCGTATGTCCATTATTCTCTCCTTTTTTTTTTCTTTTTTTTTATTATTTTTTTTTTTGTGTTTTTGTTTTCTTACCTATCCATTATATGCTCTGTTCAGTTGAGGAACAATCCAGCAGCATTGCTTGCTTTATGTTGGTATTGGGCGACAGGCGGAGTCGGAGCCAAGGTTTGAGTTATTCGAATAATTTGTTTGCAAAATATTTTTGTTCCGACAACTGAACTTTACAGTTGTCCCATGGCTTCCGTAGGATATGGTCGTCCTTCCTTACAAGGACAGCCTTTTGTTATTCAGTCGATATCTGCAGCAGCTCGTCATGGAATCTCTAGGCAAAGAGTTCGACCTCGACGGTAACAAGGTAATCTTTGTCTATATACATAATATTTGTTATGTTTAAATGTATTCTCGGATTGTAGAAATAGCGGGTGTGTTTACTTGTGTGATTTGATTTTTAGTTATACTATTCCAATTTTTTTTCTTCCTCTAAAAAAATCAAATTATATTACACTAAAATTAAATTTTACATTCAAAACATCACATCAATATATATTTATATCATATCAAACAACTATTTCAATTCAAAATTTTACTATTCAAAATCAAAATCCAAAACTAAAATCTTACCCGAATGCAGCTCGACTTTAGTGTGTTCCTTTTCATTGATGCCCGATTTTATAAATGCTGAATGTAGATCGGAAAATATCCGATCAATTGGCTATTTTTCTATCAAATTTGATCCCGAATCCTATTTTTTGATAGCTTATTTTGTACTGTATGTTTTATTTGAAGGTAAATCAAGGGATCACCGTGTATGGAAACAAAGGAAGCACTGATCAACATGCGTGAGTATTTCTTCGGCAGTCGAAAGTCGATCCACGCAACGTTTTTACGGGAAACGTTCTTTCCATGCAGGTACATTCAACAGCTAAGAGAAGGGGTCCATAACTTCTTCGTGACATTTATCGAAGTTCTACGGGATAGGCCTCCGGGTCACGACTGGGAGCTCGAACCCGGCGTCACCTGCGGTGACTACCTCTTCGGGTTTTTACAGGTTACTTACACTGTTTTCTTGACCATCGACGTCTTTGGTGTCTTGGCCTTTTGTCGTATCTTTCAATTGAGAAAAGTGACATTTTGACGTGTGATGCGCAGGGAACAAGATCTGCATTGTATGCTAATAACCGGGAATCTATTACGGTCACCGTGCAAGAGGTGACTCCTCGTTCGGTTGGCGCGCTAGTTGCACTTTACGAGCGGGCAGTTGGGATTTACGCGTCGTTGACCAATATCAATGCGTATCACCAGCCAGGTAAATTTAACTATTTGTTTTCGTATGATCATCGACGGTTGTGTTTGGTTGGGAGTTTGAATTTTGGATTTGGATTTCGAATAATAAAAAGTTTGACTTTGAATAGTTGTTTGAAGTGCAATAGATAAGTACTGATAAAATATTTTGAATGTAAAAATATACTTTTTTTAGTATAATAAAAAAAATGTAAGTAATAGAAGTTTGATGGTTTTTTAGACGAAAAAAGAATTAGTGAATAGTAAAAATCTTTTGAGACCAAACACAACCATATGTATTTGTTTAAGAGATTTTTAAAGATTTTTTATTAAACTATATTTTTTTTTGAAAAATTATGAAAACAAATATATATTTTTATTTTATTACATTCGAATGATAGCATCAATACTTGTTTATATCACATTAAACAATTATTCAAATTCAAAAATTTATTATTGAAAAGTGAAAACTCAAACTATCAAACAAACACACAATGTTGTGTTTGGTTGGAGGATTTCAATCAAATCGAACATTTATTTATTTATTTTTATATTATATTAAAATTTATTTTACATTTAAAACACAATTTTATATTCTGTGGGCTTATAGTTTTTCGAATGAAATGAAACAACTATAGGAGTCGAAGCGGGGAAAAAAGCAGCGGGAGAAGTTTTAGCTCTTCAAAAGCGTGTTCTCGCCGTTTTGAATCATGCAAGGTATTCCTACCTATTAGACCTATACGCGTGCATTACTTGTCGTCTTTTCATCTAAATGCTTTCTCGGTCGACAGCTGTGAAGAGCCCGTCAAAGCATTGACGCTTGATGAAATAGCTGACCGCTGCCATGCTCCGGAGGAGGTAAGCCCCTTGTTGTTGGGTTGTACATTTAATTTTCTATTTTGTTTGCTCCATTTAATTGGGGAATTTTATCTATGCTTTGTTATTAGAATATCTTCTTTAGGAGTTTAATTTTTTTTGGAGTTTAGTTTTAAGTTTTTTTACTGTGCTAACTATTGTGATTTTCTACAAAATATCATATTCAAATTACCATTAGAAAAGAAGACTAACAAAAAAAAAAAAAATATGAAAGCAAACTCTAAAAGCACATACCTTTACTCTTTGTTTGTTAATTATTCCTCCTTCCGTCCTACCTACTGTATCCACAGTCGTTTTTGTCAGTTTCACATCTGTCTCTTTTTTTTTTTGGAAAATAATTCTCATTTTAAAATTTCTAATTTAATTTTTTTTAAAAAAATTAATTAAACTAGTTAATTATCTTTATTTTAATCTATAATTATTTATATTATAAGATAATTATTTTCACTGATACATTTTTAATTATCTATTAATTATATTTATTTTATATTTCCGTAGACGGTAATCCGAATACGCAATGTGAGAAGGAGGGGAGGGAGTATTATTATTATTATTGTTGTTGTTGTTGTTGTTGGGTTTTTCCTCTATCACCCATTGCCTAGCTGTAAAATCTAGGCTCTGTTTGGACAAGTTTTTTCAAAGCTTTGAAATTTTTTTAAAAGAGTAAAAAGTTCGAGTATTTGATGTAATGTTTTGTAAGCGAAAAACATTATTTCATGTGATGTATATATATATATATTATAAAAGTTTTGTTATTTTTTTGCATGGATGGCAGATCGAAATGATCTACAAGATCATCGCTCATATGGCGGCAAACGATAGGGTGATAATTGCGGAAGGGAGCTGTGGTTCTCCGAGAAGCGTGAAGGTGTTCTTAGGAGAATGCAACGTCGATGATGAAGAAATAATGAACAACAACAACAACAACAACGATGCTGCTTGAAAGCAAACATTGCTTTACTTGCTGTTTGAAGTAAGACTTTTTCTTTTCCTAAAAAACACACACTCACTGACAGAGAGAGAGGAGTAGAAAGGGAATTGTTTTGCTTATATATATATATATATATATATAAATTGTGATATTTATGTCTGTCTTCAATCAAGCTTAAGGAAGGAATAAGGAGTAGAATTGTTTGTGTACGGTGATGTTGATGCTGAATTGGAAGGAATAAGGAGTAAATTATACAAAACTTTATGAAATTGCCATTTATTTCCGAAATTGCTTTCCTCGTGATTTCTAAACTCTGCCTCTAATCTTTTGACTGTCTTTATTTAATGGTGTTTGACTTGTATGCAATTAAAATATATTTCAAAATTTTTATTTTTAAATCTTTAAAATTACAAAAATATTAGTTCATTATATATGCAATTTAGACGCACACAAGTCAAATACTGTTAAATAAAAACAACCGAAGGATTAGATATAGAGTTTGTGAAATCATGAGTAAGTTTGATGTGAATTTGGCACAATTTCATAAAAGTGCAATTTTGTCTATTTCTTTGTGGAATTCCAAAGTATCTTTACTTGTCTTTTTGTTTATTAGTATTTTTAATCTTAAGACATTTTTGGAGATAAAATTTATTTTCTTTTAAGTTACACCTTCTCATTTTTTATTATTTAAAATTTGAATTTTCATTAATAAATATTATATACTCCCCGTTTAAAAAGAAAGTAAAAATAAAATCGGTTATAATTGAACAAGTGAGTTTAAACTACAATAACTATAAGCTAAGCTGATGAACAAGACAAAGTTCTCTCAAGATCTTATTATTATTATGTATTTAAAAATGGACAAGAATTTTATCAAATGCAGATCCAAACCTGTCGGGCGAGTTCTCGATGCTGCATTTGGTTTCTCGCCAACATTTGAAAGGTCACGATTCCTTGGAACCGTCTTCGTGTTCAGCATAAGGCGAAGATTCACTTGAAGAGTCACTATCGAAGGAAGTCATCTCCGTGGGAGATTCAGGATTCGAATCTTTCAGATCGAACGACAAACCTGAAGCACATCATATTATGATAGACAGATAGACAGCATACAATAATTTATTAATATAATACAAATGAAGCATATCAACTAACAATACACACAATAATCTACACAACATATAATACTACCTCCGTACGGCTCTAAGGGTTATAAATGTGACCGTTACAGACGGACGGAGAGAGTACTATTGATCCTAACACATACGTATTGTATAGCTTCTACCAGCGTATGGATAAATAGAATAATCAACGGCGCAAGACAGCATATGGACGGACGTACCTTTCTGTCGACCGCGTAAATTTTTGGTATGGCGTCTGATTAGCCGTTTAGCTTTTGAGACACTGAGCTGTCGGGCAAATGGCGAAAGTTCTGCTTCACCTTCACTCCATTCCCCGTGTGCCTCGTTCTCTGCTTCGCCCCTCATCGTCCGCAGTACAAAAGCCTTAGCCTTGCGGCGCTGATTACTGAAAAGCCCCCTCACAGAGGTGACGAAGCCATCTCCGGCGCCATCGGTACGCTTTGGCAGGAAGACTTGGCTCTGATCAGTTTTCTCGGACGTGCCTCCGTCACTATCACTGAGGGTGAGACCCTCCGGAACAGAAATCGTCGACTTGTCTTTAAACTTCTTCCCCTATAAATTCAAAGTTGTCGAACATTATGGTTTTACGTATGCACTTTTGAAACTTTTGACACAATTCAGTAAAAGTCATGTCAAATACATTTTTCCTCATGTAAAACATGATATCGAATACTCAATTTTTTATTATTTTTAAAATTTTCAAAACTTCTATCTAACCGGAGCTTTACTGATTGAAAACAGAACAATTAAATTTGCAGTGTCCATCTAAAGCGCAGAAACAAATACAAAATATTTTCACCTGTCGATGGAACAGTAATAATAAAATTTACCTGCATCCCTGTCATAGACTTCAAAACCCCCCAAATTATATGCTTCTTTACTCGCGAGAACAATCTGCTCCAGGTTCCAGTGAACTCAGCGCGGTGGAATGTGTCCATCAGCAGCCTTACGTCGCTTACTGCAAATCTTGATCCTTCATAGGTGAGTAGCAGCTCAACCTAAATCATTTTTCGAATGCATTCAGTTTCAATAATGACAAAAATAAAAATAAAAATGGCATTACTTAAACAAACAAGTAACAGCCAGAAAATCTTAAAATGCACGTCCAACCTGACTAATCTTGATATTGCGAAACTCCCTCAACCTTCGAGGTTGTGTACTCTTAGTATCTTGTACTACTTTTCCGGCTTTCTTCTCCTCCTGAGCAGAGCGACCTGTTTTTACTTGTTTCATATCTTTTAGTTTATTTTGAGCAATGTCTTCTTGCTCCATTTCCATTACGAGTTCATTAGCCACCGATTCTGCTACACTTTCTTCCCATGTTTTATCAAAGGAGGAGGTTCTTCTTAACCCAGGCTTCGAACCGCCAGTACTGCCTGTTTTATGATGCTTTGACGTCTACATAAAAATAATTTTTAAGGAAAATTAGTAAAATTTTATTGTTATTACGACATATAATACTAATCAACATTCACCCCTAACATAAAGACTAGTAGAAGAAATCAATAAGTTATCACAGCGACTATATAAATATCACAAACATGACATCATGGAAAACACCAAAAAGGATCTTAAAATTTTAAATAAATGGATATTTCTAACCCAGTCCGAGCACATGATAACTCAAAACAATGACAAGGCCAGGAGATGATACCAGACAAGAAAAGTGAGATGCACCCTCTGTATATACACGATTGTAATAATATATAAATAAACAATTATCATTTTGATTTTGGAACTTAAGCCATTTACTTGAGAAGATTCCGATGTTTCAGCATCTTTTGTTGTTTGACTGACAGATGGAGATCCTTCCTGAGGTGTCGGGCCTTTCTTCACGCGTCTTGCCCCTGCTGTAGTTGAAACTTTCCATACTTCCTGTAAATAACAGAGAGGCATGAGTTAAGAGTTTCCATAGCTAATTACGTGATTGGAAGATGAAAGCAGTAAACGGTTTACAGACCTGACGCCTTTGCGAATCCTGTTGCTCTTCGGGAAAGAAATATTGCCACATCACCTTGTAGAAAGATTCAGCCAAGTGTATTTTCAAAGGGTAAATCTCCACCTATACAGGACAGGGGCTCGTTATACCATTTTGAATTCTTCAGCTACATAAAATTTGATTGCAAGGGAACTTTTGCATGTTAATATAGACATGTTTTTGCATCTTAAACAAGTTTGAGATATTGTCTCTTGAAGTCCAACTACATTCCTAAATACTGAAACAATTTGGCCGACTTTCTTCCTAAGCACAGAGCTGCTGACGGGGAGAGGACACTTCTGGATATAAGGAAGGATTTTCACCTAGAGATTTTTACTTTCCTATAAAACTAACTAATCGAAACTTTTTGGTCCTTTCACATGAGTGTTTGATGCGATGTTTTAAATAAAAAAATAATTTTTGATATAATCTAAAAAATGAAAAATTAATATTTGAATTGATATATATATAATATATTTTTGTAGTGGAGGAGGTGGGGGGCATGGGGGCTGCATCTTTGTCTACCTCTGTGTTTGAGAGATTATTATGGTAGAAAGACAAGAAAAACACACAGACAAATAGACGGATATTGATAATACAAATACGTACAAGGAATTTAAAAGCAATACTGACCTGAAATAATTCAATAGTAGAGCGTCCCTCTTTCGGGGGCCCTTGTTTGGAATCCACACGAAGCATCACTTTTCTACACCAAGAGAAAAAGCCCGGCATGATCAGGTAAATCAAGCAAAGCTGCATGTATTTCCATTTATTTACCACAGAGAAGCATTTCGTAGAAAATTGTTGTAAGCTTAATGAGGAGGATCTAGTACAGACACATATGTATATGCCATTCTACGTATTATATATACAATGTTGAGGAGGCTTCGATTGATTATCTGAACATCTCAATCTTAACACTAATAATAGAAGTCTAATGATAGTACCAAGTAGTATAACCATATATCATAACGAAAAAGTATGTTCAATGTTGTTGGTTGACTCCCGTATAAATAAATAAATGATACGTATCCCTTTAAGCTTAAACTTTTAGATGAGACAGTCATTTAAAAAAATATAACTGATTATGGATTCATTTCCCAACCAAATCCCTACAAACTAATCTCTATATCCAACTTTATTGAATGACACCTATTAAATCCAAGTTTATTTGAGTGTAATGGTTACATTGCTATAATTGTTTACTAAGGGTGTGTTTGTTTGAAGGATTTTGGAGGATTTTCACTATTCATCCAATTTTTTCCCCCCAAAAACATCAAATCAAACACCTATTTTTCATTTTTTATATTATACTAAAAATCAATTTTACATTCAAAACATCACATCAAACCCTATTTATATCACATCATACAACTATTCAAATTCGAAATTTTTACTATTCAAATCCCAATCCAAAATCCAAACCCCCAAACAAACACACCCTAAGTTAAACAAATTAATGCGATGAGTATGAGATCATGGCAAACTATGGTGCAGAAATGATGCTTTTTCTGACTACAGAAGTTCAAATTAATTACTGCAATTGATCATTCAGAAAGAAATTTAGCTACTTGGATTAAAGAGAAAAAGATGAACAAGAAAAGATAAATGTAGAATAAATTCACGAAGAGAGCATGCTTACTTTCCCCATTCAGAAGGAGGGTTCCAAGGAGCCAGGAGGCTGTCAGACTTGGCATTGGGAAGACAGTTTCTTATAACGAAGAACTTTATAGTGAACTTAGCAACACCAATATCTTTATAGTCTCTGTCAAAATCGTAGATCTGCAGCAAGAGATTTCAAACTAAGTACTAAAACTATAAGAGTTGATGCATAAAAAGTGACATTCAACACCTATTTTTCATACTAAATATCACATCAACACTAAAAAAACCAAAAGAATACATGAAGACATAATATTTCACGGGAGGTAACCCAGAAACCAGAAGTTTGCATATAGTTTTATCTACAATTTCAGTATGGGCAAGTGAATGGAACTCAGTAAAATTTTAACAAACGAAAAGACTCACCAGGTCATTTATCTCAGTTTCAGCAAAAGATTTCCCGTCAACAAGCATGCTCAAGACCACTTTATTAATTTGAAAAGAGACATGCATAGCACATGAAGGAGTTTTATTTTTTTCCTTTTCCATTAGCCGTACTTGTGCCGCTTTTTGCAAAGCTGTTCTTAATGAAGCTGATGCAGCCTTTCTGGACTTTTGTGCACTTGAGAGTTCTAGTTTCAATTTTTGCACCTGAGAGCAAGCTCATGTCAAACTCCAAAATCCATAATATAGCATATGGTCACGCAATAAAACAAAATAAAAACCTCTTCAATTGATAGATAAAACTATCAAACATATGCATATCAGAATTTATCTCATTCTTAATTAAATTTAGCAATTACAATACCGGCAATGCCATTTAGTCTTAGTTCAACATCTTTAGGACATATATGGTGGACACTGAAGAGTCTTGTATGTTATTCTCCTGTTCTAATGGGGATATTGATATTGTTAACGATGATATTTTCTGAATAGTGGATTCTTATTTTCCAGAAATTGCTGGTAACTAGTTAGAGCCTTACCAATGTTGACATTCCACAATTTATCATCCAAAGATCCATTTCTGTCTCTTGATTTGGCTCTCCAGACATATCAATCCGCACAGAAAATTTCTTTATATCATTGATGATCAATTGCCGTATCCTCTCTTTCTGTTCCACATTAATTTTTTCTAGTTCAACTTCTTCAATACCATCAGGAACCACTTCATCTGCCTCCTCCTCCTCATCTTCATCATCTTCGGTTGAATATGTCAGACTGTTTGTTCGTGGCCTGGGCATCAACTAAATAGCTTGAAGTCCATGAAGTAGAATTAAATAACCTGAACTAAAGCTAGTCTAAAGACAACTGTAATAAAATTATCACTCCACTAAGAAAACAAAAATCAAGGTTCCAAGTTGTACATGAAACACTGAAATGTGTGAAACAGAGTGGATTGCAACAAATATGATTAAAATTCATTATTGAATTATGGACTAAGGTTTTTCAACTTTTTAAACAGAAATTAAATTCATTGAAGCGGTTATAATATGAATCCTACTGCTGGTTGCACAAACACAATTCAGCAGCAATCCATGACCATTCACACTTGCAAATGTTTCAATTCTGCGAATCCATTAACTAATATATTCCACACATTGAAGTTTTTAACTTGTCACATGTTGAGATACGCCCCCACTGGATTGTGTTAAGTTTCCACTTTCGATTGTTAGTTTTATTCGAAATCAACAATAGTACAGCATGCATCTCATCACAATAGTACAGCATGCATCTCATCACAACTATGGTTTTGTTTCTGTGTACAATTTATAAGAAAGATCTCGTCTCTTTCTAGGATTCCGAAATGAGAGGTTAATTGTGAAAAATCATCTACTCCTCAATGTTCATTAAAAGCTGCTTATCATTTTAACCATGAAAGTCCAACCAAAGGTGTTATTCATGCACAACAAGAGGCCAGTAAATTGTAGGAACTGATATCAAAACAAGACTAATAAAAAGTACTAAAAAGTAATAATTATAATAATAAAATTCACAAATAACAGATCAAGGTTATTCTTACTTAGGAGTTCGAGCAAATAGAAGATTGGTCAAAACATCAAGCATAACTTGAAATTGTCTAGATGTCATTGAAGCCGTTATATTATGAGAATTGAATGCAAGCTCTTTCAGCGGTTTCACCTGTGACATGATAAATAGGACTTAATACCATACAACTCATACTTACTAATTTATTTTAAAACTATGCAAATTATTCTCTTAACCTTAAGCATACCTTTACATCAGATATTGCCCCATTGTGCCTTGTGAACTGAAAGTACATGTCACAGGGCATAAACACCCTTTCTAGTAAAGCTCCAGTACGCTTCACTTTTGGTGAGCCCCGACGAATTTTCGGAAGCCACTGTATTCCAGCACCAGGGTCCACATCAGTTGGGGCTACATGAGCTTGCACATGCTCCAACATCACAGTGAGTTCCCTACGGTTCCATGCCATTGCAGGCTGTGTATCAGGAACTTGTATATTTTCTCCACCAAGTGCTTGTTCAATCATCTCATGTCCAACTTGAAGAACGGAATGGAATGATCGAGCTAAAACACGGCCACTTGAAGCAGCAAGTAAGAATCTACCCTGTTCATAAGATTTTATTATTAGAAAAACCCTGTGAATTCATAATCTATTATTTAGTGGTAATTCCTCAGTTGACAGAGAGATTGATAATGTGCTGCCTCAGAAAAGCAGTGTGTTGCTGCTGCTAATAATATACTGTGCCCAAAAGAGCTTGCACTTTACTTTCCAAATAAGAAAAAGAAACCAAGGGTATAGTTTGAAAAATGCTGAGGCTAAAAGTGCATCGGATTCCCATAATAATTGTTTGTTTGTTTTTTTGTTTTTTTCGCACTCATATGTGCCACAAGTAATAATGCACATTCCACACAACATGTATAATGCAGAGGAATAACTTACATTAGCGTCTTCTGAGTGAAGATTGAATTGCGGCTCTATAACATTCACCATAAAATTGCGCGTGCCTTCCTCCTCAGACTCTTCAGTTTTAGTAGATTTTGCTGTACATTAATATACAAAGTGCATGATTTTCAAATAAAATACAAACAAGGACACATATATGCATGAACAGCTGCTCATATGTTTTGCATGTTAACTGTTAGGCATAGAAAAGAATGGATCCATAGTACTCCCATGCTGCAGATAACATGTATGTGTGTGTGTGAATGTCAGATAGGGGCATGCAGGAGGGAATTCAACTTACAAATTGCAGTAGGGAAAGGATTAGCTCCAGTCCCTGAACTAGATTGAGTAGATTGAGAAGAGACTGGTTTTGAATTCTCAGTGCTCTGGGAAGAACTTGTACTTTCAATGACAGGATCTTTTTGGTCATCTTTCTTCTCATTTTCGGGGCTATCTTTTTTCTGCGTGTCAGGTTGATCCTTTTTTCCCATGTCGGGGCTATCATTTTTCTGCGTATCAGGGGGATCGTTATTCTGCAGTTCAGGGTTATCATTCTTCTCCGTGTCAGAGCTAACACGGGCATTTTCCTCACGCAATTTTCTTTGAGCATATGCACGAGAAGGAGAAGGTTTTGACTGGACTGCCTTAGCCATTGCGCGTGCACAAGACAAAACAGCATCTCTATTTTCAAGTGTCCATAGAAGCTTCAGACCACAGACAGAAATCCTTCCACAGTCGTCAGCAATAACCTCATCACATGCATCATCATCACTCTGATCATCAGACTTAGACTGATCATTACTTTCACTCTCATTTTCAAATTCTGATCTCAACATCTCTAGATTTCTTTTACCGGATTCTTGCCATTCCAGCAGCTTGTCAGAATCAGCCTTTGGGGATTGCTTGCGGATTCTTACATAAGTGGATGATAAAAAAAATCCATCATCCTTAGGCCTTTCAGTGCTGGTTTTGGCTAAGCTGTTTTTATCAGCTGTGTTCCGTCCCATAGGTGCAGACTGGGAATTTTTGCCGGTCGTTTGAATTACATTTGAAATAGTAGTGCAATCTTCTTTTTCCGTGTATACATTTGGCATATTAAAGTCAAGGCCCATGTACACAACTTTAGGAGGATCCCGTTCACAGTCAAATGTAAATTTTTGCTTACCCCTTCCAAAATAAACCTCAACCAACACCTTTGTCATCTTTAGTGTCAGTCCCTTTGACGGGTCATCCTCATGTATAGGAATGTGCCTTATCCACAATGGGATTGCATCAAGCCGAATCATGATATCTGTCATTACCCTATCTAGTGACAGATTTCCAGATCTGGGAATTAGAGGAATCCCAATGCGCTTAAACCTGGAAAACATTCTCAATTTATGAGGAGGGATGACATTTATATTAACAAATTTGCTTAACCATGCTACATCATGAGGGCCAAGATTCACTTGGGGGGAATCACTTAGCTTACTGTCTGTTTCTGACAGTCTAGTAGAACCTTCACCCTGAGTAGCTTGATCCTTAAGGGAAGAGGATTGTGACTTGGAACTATCAGAGGATGGAGAATGCCCAAAGTAGATATTAAAGCCCAGGATAAGAGCAGTGGATCTAAAGGGATCGAAGACCTTATCACGAGGCACACCTTCATTGGGGAGTGCAAATAAATAGTGGTTAAGTGGACTTCCGGATTCACAATCCCATTCCATTGTAACATCAAGATTGAAAGCTGGAACTTCAAGGAAAGGTGGTGGAGAAAATTCCGAAGCTTGTTTCGACAAGCTGTTCTTCAATAATCTTTCTAAACTACTTGCAAAAATCTTGAAATCCTTAACAGAAGCATAAACATGACCATCTGATTGCTGAATCTCCATATAGCCAGTAACAACAGTTAGTTTATCTGTTTTCTCATATGGATCAGTGGTTGCAAATAAATGCCATGTTGTCTTAGAAAAATACAAAGTGGTGTGCCCATGGATGTAGTTTCTCATTTCGTCCCACCAAGGTAAGCTCTTTTCCTTTTTAGGAGGTTGAACTGGTGGGTTTGGATTCCTAACACATAAATTGGCCCGACGGAGAGCCACAGTAAATGCATAGCTGAGATCAGCAAAGGGTGGTTCATAACTGACACCAAAAGAAACCTCGCCCTTATGGAAATGTACAGGCAAATCCAAAAATGTTTTCATGGGTGGAGTTGTGCCACTGGCGGAGCGAAGAATGTCCACTTTCCTCCATCTTCCAATGTAAACATCTTGGTGAACTTGGGGTTGGAAACAAGTTGCCTGCAGTTACAAAATGGTAAGCTAAAACGCTTTTACAAATAAATTGCAGAAAGTATGAATTAATAGAACTAATGAACATAAACAAAGGAATAGATGCAAGAGTGTACTGTTTAAAATACTTTCAAAGTAGCAGTTATTCTCAACCATTCCCTAAAATCAGTGTCTATATTTATATATATATAACTTATTATACAAAATCAGAAAGTAACAAAGACTCACTGTAAGTGGAACTGAAATATATAATAGCTGCCTGCTTGACATTATCAGTTTCAACACTTAAGAGGGCTACATTACAACTTGATCCACAACGCAAAACATTTATAAGAATGAAATATAAAAGGAATGACGTCTCAAGGACATAGCATAAATCTTAAGCTAATGGTAAGATGGATTATTTCATATTTAGTTACTTGTTTGGAGCATCACCAAAAGAAAAGGACAGACCTGTTGAGCTAGCACAATACGTCCTTCGCAGCGAGCATCAGTGGTGGCAAGTAATGGATATGTATAGTCTCTTATCTGAGCAACTATAGAATTTGCACGCAGTTTGATGTTTCCCCCATATAGTCTTGCAAATGGTATATTATGGGCACGGCATACTGGATCCAGTTTCTGAAGAACCTCGATCATCCCAGCATCACCACCTTCGATTTTTGTCACACTACAATCTAACTCAGAAGCATAAACAGTGAAAAGAGAAGTTCTGGTTGTGCTAAGCTTGAAACCAGATTGGAAGCCTTCTTTACAGGCACCAGATCCTTTTGATGTAAAAATTCTCTGGCAAGCTTGGTAATATGACTCAAATGATTTTTTGTACATTTCATCTCGCAATTTTTGAACAGCTGAAGCATCCTGAAAATCAATCTCCTCCCCATTATATTGTGCCTTCCCTTCACAAGAATCATTTTGATCAGCAGCACCAGAATTTTGGCTGCCCCCAGATATAAGGTCATCAAGAAAACTTAACCTAACAGCTAAATCATGAGCTTCTTTCTTCATAAGCCGGTAATGCTCATCTAGCCAACCCTGTATTGGTTCTTCCTCAATGTCAGCAATCAGTTTACGTACACTAACTTTTATGCGTCCAAATTTTGTTGAACTAGATTTTTTAGGTGGTCTGGACACCTCCTTCTTGGGAGGAAGAATATTTTTTGTTTTAGCAGAACTCACCAGCTTCAGAACTCTAATCATCTCTTCCACAGCATCATCAATTGCACGCAATTCCAACCTAAATGGCAAGCAAATATGCACATCAAGAGCTTGAATTACCCAATCCCAAATGGTTACCATTTCAGATTTCCCATCTGATACACTTCCAGAGGGATTAGGGACTCGAGATATTTGCATCCTGCTGCTCCTAAATAATCTAGCTCCATTTAGATGTAGCAAAAGTCCCTCAAGAAGTATTCCGATTCGAGCATTCTCAGAAAAAATGGATTGAACCTGGATAAATGTTTCAACCCCATCTCCAATCTCAGCAGATATACTAAGCATTTCCACGTCAACAGCAAAAACAGGTTCTTTTTTCTTTACTGGTTTCTCTAACTTCACCGGTTCTAAAGATGCCTCCTTTTTCTGTTGATCATCTTTTACAGTGTGAATTTTCTCCCCATCATTGTTTTGCTGAGGCTTGTGTTTAGCCATCATTGACTTCATGCGCAATCCTAGTTCAAATAATGCAATATGCATATCAGGCTCCCACCGAAGAGATATATCTGTGGCACTGAAGAGAGAACAGACTTCAATTTCCTTAAGACCTCCAGTTCGTTTGACAAACTTTACATTCTGCACATCAAGCAAGGGCACTTTTGTTCCAGCATTATTATCTTCTGGATATTCCTGATAGGTGGATTTAGCATTTTCTAGATCCACCTGTATGGACCTTTTCTCCTTGTTCGTGCAAAGCTTGAAGTTGTAAATATCCAGAGAGATAGAATACTTCAACTTTTTGCATTCATCTGATACTGTAGGCATTATGTGTGCAGTGCGCAACGTTCCATCTGCAGAATTGGTAATTAAAATCCTGCCACCTTGGGAACCATAATTCACACGTTTGGGGTCTGGAATAACTGAATCATCCAAGCCCGTATCTCCACATATATATAAGGAGCACTTTTCAAGATTGAGTCTCAAAAGCTGAATCCCTTTTCCTGATGGTTTGGATGACCGAGTTTCTTTACTTTGAGGTGATTTCTTGCTTGAAGAAGACATTTTTTTCATTAAGATCTTTAGGGATAGCGCAGTTGAAAGAAGTGATTCAATGCGCCTGAAGGTCAAGTACACACCAATTCCAGCAACACCAGCACCAAGAACCATCTTTGAAGCATCTTCATTGGAATCAGGATCCCCTTTGCCCAAATTCAAGTTGACCTTGTTAATGTGCAGTAGTGAATCATTATTTGTTTCCATGCTATACAAATCTTCTTTCAAAGACTCCTGATATTCTTCAGACATCTGTAAGTTCAGTTCACCAAGTTCTGCTCGCAGTTTCGTACCTGAAGTAGTGATGTTGTCAGCGTGCAAGTGGGAAGATTGCAAGCAACCCTGCAGGTAGGATAGAGTTCTGCTCGCAGTTTCGTACCTGAAGTAGTGATGTTGTCAGCGTGCAAGTGGGAAGATTGCAAGCAACCCTGCAGTTAGGATAGAGTCGTTAGTGTTCAGTAGACAAATGATGCATGAGCCGTGGTATATGAGAATAGTTTCCAATATCAAAACTTTACATAAGGAACCTATAATTATTATAACCAATAGCCATCTTTATCTATACACGCTTACAATGATGCTATAATGTTCATGCTAATTTCAAGTAACAAGATTGTCAAGGTACAACTGAAGATGGATTTTGATTGTGCTCCTAATTAGGTAAATTTGATAATGAGGATAAATTATAAAAAGACAGATTATGTAGTCATCCATCTCAGCAGAACCTATGACTCTCGATGTTCCAGGATGAATTTCATAGTTCTAGGCCAAGTTATAATATAGAAAGTAGGGGCAAATCCCTTATCATAAAAAGGTTTTCCATTTCTGTTGTCTTTGTGCTCCTCCATCTTCTGCAATGATCTAAACTTACTCGTTTTCCTCGGGCTAACCATACCCAAAGATTTTTGCATAACTTATACTGGTTGTTCACAGTTTTCCTTAGCACAGTTTCACCTATAAATGATCATCGTTCTCATATAACATCCAGAATATTAAGAAAAGTAAAAGATACTATTGTAACAATCCAAAGAACTATAGCAAGAAAGCACAATTCAGGGTAAAAATTAGTACACATTAATATGAAGACAAGTAACACATTTTCAGGTAGATCCTTACACATATTAGGGGAGAACCACTCAAACAATAAAGCACAACTGTAATCTCTGGGGCTGAAAAAGTGCATGTCCACATGATTGCTTTCTGTTCAGATGACTTTGATTCCCCTTTGGAAGAATTTTCTTCTAAAACTTTCTTTTTTTGTTTGGGAGGTGGACGGATGCGCATCCATTGTTCTAACCTGTGCAAAACCAGATTGCACTGTGTCCCTCCAAGCTTCACGTTAACTTCAGATTTTATAGGGGAGTTAGGCTGCAGAGCAAAGCAGCCATGCAAAATCAATGATAAGATAGAATATAAAAGGGAAAAATCATCATGACAAACATCAAACTGAATAAGACACCTATCCAACTGAGCTTAGAGTATCATGATATCGTTAATCCATTAACACATGGAAAACACAACCAAAATGTCACCCTACCTTGGTAATGCAACTATTCAGCAAGCTGATAAATTTATAATTTTCAGAAAGGTATTGCAGTATATTTATCCATGTATCATGCATTTAGTGCTCGGGTCACTCAATGCAATATATATGTGAGAGTGTGTGTGTGTGTGTGTGTGTGTTTGTATATAGTGTCAGGTTCAGAATGTAAAATTACAAAAATTGGAATCTACCTCAAAGAGCTTTTATCAAGTTTTTTTAAGAAAAGAAGCTGCTATCACACTATACAGGTGGTTAAGAGCCAAGAATCCATGAAAAGAAAAAGTAGTAATATCTTCCTCCTTAAAGTTCTATAATTTTGCTCAAAGAGGATCATCTACTCGCAGTCCTCATCCAATTTACAGTTTTTGTTATTCTAGTTTATCTTTCTTTTATTATGCTTTTGTATCTTTATTGGATTTTGTTTCAATTCTAGTAGTGTCAGCAAGGCTCTTCCTTCCTGAGAGGTGACAGTGTATGTTGGATAATATAGTTAGCTTTGCATTCTACAATCCGTCTGCAAATATAGGTATGGATGCTGTCATTTGAGACCACCATGAGCACACCATATTCTTTCTGTCCAAATATATTGAATCACCGATTCAAATGTTGCAAAATCCGATTGTCCAAGCTTTTGAATGTTTCTTTAGGAAAATCGAAATATATCTTATTGATAGAGATATGGGTATAACTTTAGAAGTTGCAACCAGACATAAAGATCAATATTTCCCCTAGCACCCCTTTTGCAAAGTAATCTGCAATAACATTTGCGATTCGGGGAATGTGCTGGAAATTGATGAACTACGTTTACCCTCAGGTGGTGCTGACTCTGGCCTGGCTTTTGTCTCAGAATTGTTGTAAGCTTATCTTCAGCTCAAGACTATTGCCTTCTTGTTTCTAAGCTATCCTATGTATATTTTCCTATGCCTCAAATTCAACCACAAATAATAAACTTCTACTTAAAGAATATACTTTTACCCTAAAAAAACATAACCTCGCTCAATCTCTTATTTCCTTTAATTGAAGATTGAACAGAAAAAATTAACACTTTGCTCAACAATCATTAACATAAAAATTACATTACCTGTAAAGGTATGCAAGCGGAGGTGGCAATATCAAGTTTCAGTATTTCCACAACAGGGATGCCGATCTCTCTAAGCAGCTACAATGAGGTAAATCATGTAAGTTGAAATGAAAACATGTTTCCAGTTAAAAGATGATGTCCTAATTTGTATGCACTCACATGAATTTCACTAAATTCCAATTGAACGCCAAGCTTTATACTTTCCCCACTATCTTCAACAACTCGAGATTTCATACACTTTAGTTGGATGCCTATAATGTCATTCTCAAACAGTAGTCCAAAACTTCGATGTGCGAACTTCACACCAATTTTAGGCAGAATGAAGGAAGCCTGCAAAAATAAAAGTCAGATTCATCCAAAGGTAAAATCAATCTCATGACCTAATAAATCTAATAGCTCTTGTAATCACTTCCCCTTCACAATTTAACTCCTGAAATTCCATATGCAATCTTTCCTCTCACGTCAATTTTCATCACTTGTTATTATAATTGTAACAGTGTAGCACCGCAAAAGTGTTTCTAAGGCTAGTTTCACAATCCTCAATAAATTGGAATTTGATTCAACAAAGAGGCGGACATAAAATAAACAAAAAAAAAAAAAAGATGACAGTTATGTATTAACCTAGCATGATATTAGCACGGAAGGAGAAAATAATAGCACCAATGTTAAAGCAGTCAGTTCAAGTCAACCTTTTCTGGAAACATGGATGTGTACTTGAGCATTACAGCAGATAATGGTTGTTTTTCCTTTGGATTTTTAGTGGACACAGAATTGGCTGCTGGTACAACTTCAGAGGGAGGATGAGAAGTGTCAGACGAACTCTTTTCTTTAAGCAGCAATTCCTCATTTAAGTTTGCACAGATTTCCCCAGTTGTAATATCCAAATTCCTAACAACCAAACCTGCCTCCCTGCATCAGTAGTAAAAATGCAAGACATTATAACACAGCTGAATTATTTATCTTGTTTGACAAATTTACATTTGAAGAAAGCCCCTATTCAGTCTCTCTTCTATTTGGAGTTCTATTTTCATGAAAATAGGTGAGTGAATCATGTAATGAATTTGTTTCAGAATCGTGATGTTGAATGGTATCAGAAATATCAAATATATTGAATCAAGTAAGGAATATGTTGAACCACACAAGAAATTTATTGGATGGTATAAAACATCGACACTATACTGAAATGTTGAACCATGATGTAAATCTTTTGAATGCCAAAAAGTTGTTGAACTATGATGTAAATCTATTAAATGCTTATATATTGAATGACAAAAGGATCTTCTAAACCACAAGCAAAATATTTTTTTTAAATAATGTGATTCAACACAGAATATGGATCATGAAAATAGCTGTATCTCTCATTATTAAAAAGCATACACGAAAACAGGAAATAAAGATAAGAGCAACTGACAAGAATTCTAACTTCGAATTCATTAATTTCCTGTTTAGTGTGTGATATACGTTTATATCTGTATTGCATTGAAATATTTTCTTACACAAAGGCTAGGCAGTTGTACGCCAATATTGAGCTGCTCCAATGTTTTTGTCTACTCAACCACTTCCATCCAATAAAAACTAGAAGTTGCTAATGCATAAGCATGAATTTTGTCTAGTATCTGCTTATAGGTGACAGTGATTCCTCTCAGTAACTATTTTGGTTTCTGCTTTATATACACCTGCCTTGTTATGAAGAATCTGCGACCAAACTAGGTCCACCAAACTTGTAAAACCAGTAGGGAAGAAGTGATCAGGTGAAAAATAGGATTGTAGACGCCATTGTTCATGTGAGAAATAGTATAAGACAAACGATGCACGTACAACAATTATCATCTAAGAACTGGATTCTGAAGGTCAATACGATAAACATTTCTTTCCATTAATCGTTTTCCTCTATTCCATGAGAGATGGAGACTGAGGCAGTGTGACATGCAACAGACATGTGCTGCACAAGAAAGGGATTTCTTTTCTCTTTTTTTTTTTAATCTTCAAAAATAATTAAAAGGAAAAATTAGTAAATTTACTAGTTCACTATATGATATCATGCTGAGACAGAATGAAGTACACATTACTGATTTTGACAATATGATATCATGCTGAGACAGAATGAAGTACACATTACTGATTTTGACAATCTTATTTGAGAACTACAATACAGAGTGAAGTTTAAGGTTGGTACATCTAACATATTACCTGATATGATAAAGAGAAAACTATGTGGTAACATATACAGCAATATTGTTTCTGATTTTGAAACCACATGAGCAATAGAGGACTGAGGAGTATTATATAGATGGCATCTATTGAATTCAAGAAAAAAATTCAAAGACTTCCGTCAGTTGATTATCTCTATTTTATGAATAAAGATGCAGAACCAGCAACGAGTTTTTAGTGTACACGAGCAGGGGAGAGAAAACAAGTTATAACTTACATACTATCATCATTAGTGCAATAATTAGATCAAAAAGAGAGTGACAGATAACATAAATGTAGAAAAACACATTTAGTTTCAATCCTTTGCAGCAGACCACTTATATGACTACGTAAATGAATCAACAGTAAGATGTATGGGAAAGGATAAACAGATATATATATATATATATATAATGGATACAACCATTTTGGAACAGACCACAACCTAGGTAGATTCCAGCATTTAATTAATAAAGCTGAAGACAAACACAATGGTATAAGCATTAACAGTCGGAGACTCCTAAGGCAAGCACTACAAACATCAGCCAGGCGTTAAATTTTTCATTGATCCAATCCAATCCTTGAATAGCCAGTTATTAAAGGATGAAGTTAACCAACCTTATAAATGCATCCAGAATGTCTTTCCAGGTTAGTTACATTCTTCCCCACCCAACCAATGCAGGACCTTGTGAAGTGTAGCCCCATTTTACACTATTTGTGCACCATTTTTAGGTTACCCTTGAATCACACACAACTTCCGCTATTTGGGCATCACTAAGTCCTTTAGCAAACTCCATAACATCTTCATCCACACCCCAGCTCTAATCCAGTTATAAATAAAACCAATTATTCAAAAAAAGAAACTCAACTTAAATAGTAATATGCAACAATATTCTCTTATCAACATGAATTGAGCCTGTCCATTACCATACAATGTGTGACACACTGATAGACAATTTTGCTTTTTTCCCCCACACTTTTTTTTTAGAATCATGGTGGCAATAAGATAATCAATCACTAGAAGACAGTAAATTTCACTTCATCCACATAATTTTAATAACCATGAAGGTAGAAACACCTACCTACAATGACCAAATTCGCACAAGAGAGCAAATTCTTCGCAGGTGAAAGCAGAACAAGCGCCAGCAGTCAACTGGTTGGAGAAAGATCCACTGGCATTTTCTGACAGGCCGGCTGCCACATGTGATTTTCCCAGGTAAACTTTAATAGGAAATATTAGCATCTTTACAAACACTCCTGGCTCAGATCCCCCAACTTTAGATATATCCACTCTCAGTTCTTGAATATCTAAAGATGCCTTTGGAGTCTGTGGTATGAAGTAGAGAATCCACTATTAACTGACGATTCACAGAAAGTTTAAAGCATGTAATCAACAAATTCATCAAGATCATGTGTTATAGCAAAAAACCTATTTAATAATATCAACAAAGTTAATGACACTACTTATCTTACCTTTAACCCAAATTCAATCAGAGTAATTGACAAAAACCTCGCCATGTTAGCCAAAACCATGATTTTTTTGGCTTTTCCTTTACCAGAGCCACTAGATTTTTTTGTTCTGGGTTTTGAAGTGCTTTTTCCTGAAGACCTGGTTACAATTTCTAAATTGCATATGACGAAATGCAATTTTGGATTACCAGAACCAAAGAAAGCCCCAAGTGTAACCAAAGATTTCCGCAAACTCAGCCTGATTTCTCCAACACAGATGGATTCGACAGCGCCCTGAGATCATCAAGCAAATATAAAATTTTCAATTTTGCTGATCAACTTTATACTGAAAACATTTCCATATACCAGAGACTGAATATATTAGCATACTTCTGCCAAATTATTGATTTAAATATGAAATTTGATGTGCTTTTGCAATATTCTTAGGATTCATGTTTAACAAAAATGCCATTGTGCACTTTCCAAACTTGCCAGAAAACTACTTTGCAAACTCTAGCCCAACTTTCGTGATGCATATGCGAATTTGATAGGAACTTCCAATGAACAATGAGAGAATGAAGAGACTGATAATTTTAATGACTTCGGGTTTCTTTGAAAATGCTCGGTAGTTCCAAATACAATAGTTAAACCCATCAGTGTAGAGAACGGAAAAAAGGTAAAATAAAAAGAAGGGAAAATTCAGTTTTAGTCCAAAAATAGATTGTTCTGTGCAAAATTAGCTATACGTTTGTATTCTAGTTCTAATAATCATAATAAAATCATTGAAATGTTCCAAATAAACCACTCTATGAAACATATCCCAATAATAATTCATCTAAAATATGCACAGTTGAAAATAAGAAAGTCTTGTCCTATGTTTATTTTTGTTTTTTCATTGTATTTTACTATTCAATCTCTCAATTTTTCTCAAAAGTACCACATCCAACCATTATTACCTAAGAAAAAAACAACCAAAAAACACAAATAATTTTTTTTCCCTATACAATATACAATAATAAATAAATAAATAAATTCACCATAGGTTCCAGTATGAGAATTCCTGTGACACAAATGGGCATTGTCATATGCAAAAAAAAGCTCAGATTTGAGAATCATCATCGCAATCATAGAGAACACCGGTTAGTGTATGAAATAATGGAAAGGTAGAGGAAGTGAGAAGGAATGGAGCTTATACTCTGGATTGGGCCACTTAAGAAACTCATCACAATAAGTTGTTCACATTAAAGCTTTCATTTAAATTCAATCTTCAGAAGAGTGCTCTCCAAGGAGTAAAGTCTCAAATTCAGTTGTCTCAAAGCCTGCTAATGATATCGGATCACTGCTCTGTGAAGAGGTTTTAGTGATGCATCGTATAAACTACTTTTTATGTATTTCTAGGTCTTGCATAGTTCTAAAAGGATCTCCATTCATACCATGTAACCTATGATTACACCAATAAGTACCATATATTTCTTTCTCTCTAGAAGTGAAAATATGGACCCACAATGAAAAGCCTCATGTCAATCTAAATCCATCGCTTGCTTGTATCATCTTCAAGGGATCCATTGTGAGATGAGTACCCTAACACACACTACATCAATACATCCTAGTGACTTATTCCAATCCAAGCTTCTTTCCAATGATCACCTTAATAGAAAGTTTCCACTAAGCAACCAAAGTTCATAAGCATTCCAAGGGTAGATCGATATAGAATCCGGTTATGAATTTAAATTGTACGTAAATTCTCAAAAGAATGCTACATTTACATTAAGAAGTATATATATATAGACTTATAATTTAAACTAAATTCTACAATTAATATCCATAGTTTATTCAATCTCTCTAGTTAAGTTAATCAATCAACCTATAATTAAGTTTATCACTGCAATTAAACCATTTAGTAAACGTCAGCAATTAAAACAAACTCTAAACTTTCATTTGCACATTCATAGAGTGGATACATATATATATACATAGACAAGTCTCGAATATCATAACCTTATTTAACTTCAAAACAACATCTCTCAAGCAATTGCATCCGGCGAATCGAAATGCAATTGATGCTCCCATAGCTCGCGTTACGATTCGCAACACTAACTTGGCAATAAACCTGAAACAAGAAGACCACGGCTAGTTACAAACAACTATTAGCATTTAACAACCTTTAGTTCACAACAATTTTTGAAAACAAAAGAAACATTATGACCAACATTGAGTTAGCATGATCTTTATCTAATTATGCATTCCTTCTTAATTCACTAAAACAACTTAAAAATTACAGAAACCGCTATATATCAGCATGATCTCTACAGAAAACGATTAAACATAAAGTAAGGCATCATTAATAATGGAGAACGTACAGGAATACAATCCATAACACGATGGATACAGAGATAAATTTGAACAGGAACCCCATGATTTGTTAATCGAATAAAATCAAGCGCCGATTATCCCCGAATCTTCAGGCTACAAAGATATGATCGCACTGGCTTTGCATGTCCCCGTCGCTAAATCCGACAAATAAACAACGCTGCCATTAACTAACTCGACGAAAACGAGCACGGTCAGTGACGATCAAGCGCGAAGAAATGTAGAAGAGACATGGATGGAGAGATTGGCAGAGGAAAAACGAAAGTGCTGGAAATGGCAATGGAGATGACGCGGGAATAGATCCGTCGTCTTTGCGCAGTTAAGGCGGAGAGGTTAGGGACTTGATCCTCTGTGCGCGGGTGTACGGTAAGCTGCAACATTAATGTTTTATGAGACCCTTCGTCCATACTAATTTGTACATAATTTCGGTTGTATTTTTTATTTTTAAAATTATAATTATGCATTTTAATCGTATTTTAAATTTTAAATTTTAAATTTTTTAATTTTAATTAAATTATTTATTTATTTTAATCTTAGTCTATAATTACTTTTACTAAATAATAATTATTTTTACTAATATATTTTTTAATTATAGAGTAATTAATGTGTTAGTATTATTTTGTCTAGTCATCTTTTTTTTATATCAATTTTACTAAATTTTGTATAATATTTTTAATATATTTTTATTCATATTAAAATATTATTATTTTTTAATTTTAATAAATAATATAATCGTTTCGAACGAAAAGAATAATAAATTTAATTAAGGAGATGTATAGAACATATTTTTAAATAAAATTACTGGGTGCATTCAATTTTTTTTTTGTTTTTTTAAATATGTAGTTTTGAAGCTGAAATTGAGGTCGAATAACCCGACCCGAAAGCCCAAAGCCTGCCCGGATTATGAGACAGTGGGTAAACGGAGCATCGACGGCTGGGGAAATAAGTCAATAACCGTAGCAAAAGTAACGGCGACGTAACGTCCGTTACGGAGAAACATCCGACGGTTGAGATCTCATCATTCCAGTCATTATCCGCACACCTGTGGAGATTCGGCAAGGCAATTCAGAGCATTCCGACCACCGCCGGCGCCGGCGCCGGCGAGATGCCATCCCACGGTCTGAGCTGGAGCGCCGCCCTCCTGAAGGTCTGGGAAAGTGACCCGAGGCTGTTTCCGCTGGGAAATTTCGACGGCCGATCGCCGTCGGAAGCGGCCGCGCGAACAAATTCGACGGGAAAATATCGGCGTCTCCGGTAGTGTCGATCTGGAAGTGGTCCTATCACCATCAATTGGTGGTGATGACTGATGAATATACTTTACTATATCAAAAATAATACTACCTCGTTCACGTCGATTTTACGTTTTAGGTGTTATTTAAATATTAATTATAATATTAAAATGTAATATAAATTTAAAAAAAAATTATAAAAATATTTTCATAGATGTTATAATATTGCAAACTGACGAGAGAGTATGATAATATAACAAATAATACTTTATAATAAATTATCAGATTTTTGTTATTGCCGCCATCGAAAATACACGCCGGATAACACATGGTCGAATTTAATACCCTACACACAAGGCAAGGCGAATCACTTGTGGCAGGGACCATGATCCCGTAATCATAAGATTATTTTCCACACCACAGGTGTAAACAATAAATGATTATTTTTTTTATATACTACTATGTAATTGTGTATATACAATGTACTTTACTAATATACAAAAAATTATGGAGTAAACACACTCGTATAAATATATAATTATTTTTTATTTTTTTATTTTTTTATTGAAATCAATTTAATGTGCATCATGGAATTAATAAAAAATTGCAATATATATCTAGTACCTCAATTATTATTTTTGTTTTTTATTTGTCACATTGGTGAAATATAACTCATTGGCGTTACTTTTTTACAATTTTCATCTTCTGTCGCATAATCTCATTCGAAAGACACATAATGACCAACATGCATTAGATTGTATTCGTCATAAACTTTGTTAATAATTTTAGTGTAATTGAATTTATTCGAAACCAATGAATGTCGGAATTGAATAAACTTCAGGATGATATACATGGATTGCGCACTCGAAGAAGTTAGTTTCCGACATAATTTTGACAAGTAATACGGCCTTAATCATGGACACGACTAAATCTACCGTCTACAAGTCTGGAAGTTCTGTAATTAAATTTTTAGGACATAATGTAATAGCTAACTTAGTCATGGACATGGCTAATGCTAAGGCTATTCTCGAACTTTTCCTAAATTAAAATTTAAATTGAACAACTAAGTTTGTTCAATAAATGAAATTACTTATGATTTATAAATAGATAAGGTTGATCTCATTTGCAAGGAAAATATATATAGGATTTTATCTCTACAAAAAATTACAGTCTCCATACACATTTTATTCCCAACGTTCAACTTGTCTCGATATTTTTTATCAAAATACGAGATCGAGCTTTGTATTATCCCATACGAATTTTATGTAACCCTTTGTATGAATTAGGTCAAAATATTGTATTCTAAATTGAACTCATCGCGATACAGAGTTATATCAAGTCATTTTCGTTGTTAACACAATAAAATTCCCAACAAACTTGACGTGCAATTAGAGAACAAAAATCTCGAAAAAAAAAAATATTTATTGAACTGAAATCAACACTACATAAGTATATTTATATGGGATCATATTATATATTGTCATATGTTATTTGTTGTGTGCTGTTAAGTACCCTTCTTACACACTAATTCCAAAACTAAAGAAATACATATAATATTACGAACAAAAAAATATAATTATATAAAGACAAAATATTAACAATTTTTTTCAAAAGAAAAACCAAAATCATACTCTTTAAAATACCTCACCAAAAGTAAAACAAAGGAAGCAAGCAATTTTGGTAAATGAAGATGAACACACTATAGAATAAACATGCAATTTTATCATTGAGCAATATAACTAATTTTGTTATCAGCATCACACTTACAAACAAAAATGTATGGAGGAGCATTCGGCCATGGAGGAGGTATTCGTTACTTCATGCCAACAGATATTCGGGGACGCAGCCGGCAGGCTTGTCCCGAACATCGTGCTGCATGAATCGAACCCTTTTGGCTGGATGCTGCTCGCTACGTTCAGTTAAGTATTCATGGTCGATAAAAGTTGTACCTACTTGGAATCGAACTTGTGGATATCTTGATGCAAGATTGTTGGAGGGATTCTTCGAGAAACCGGGGTTGCTTGATCGATTGCTTTTCCTGAATCCGTCGAGGGATTCTGCAGCCTTATGCAGTTCTTCTGCGGAAAAAGGATAATATATATATATAATGTATATATATTATCATGTTAGGAATAGCATTTTTAAGGAATATCTACAACAGAACAGATATATTGAGAGAGTCATTACCTGATGCTACTGGAGATGTGTGTATTTCCTGTCAAAAAATATATGCAATTGTTCGAAGAATTTCACACGGCATATCATAAAGCAAAAACCACAATAAATATTGGCTTACAAAATAAAGCAATCGTTCAAAGATTTTTCAACGAGATACTGTTTACTTACATAAGTATTCATATCACTTCTGGTACTATTCACTAAACTCATCTTTTTTTAAAAAAAATATCACATCGAACACATATTTACATCATGTCGTTCCTATTTTTTTTATTCCAACTTTTTGCTATTCTTAAAACTCTTCAAATTTCCAAAACATGTCTAAAACACTTCTATTTATGTTTATGTTTGATTCTAGATGTTTCTCTAGATTTAGCCTCGGCAGAGATGCTCGTATATCGCTTCTCAGATTTTGTACTCTCTTATTATACTTTCTACTACCTTATCTAATAAATTTTCTTTACTCGCCAAGTTCGATAGGAAAAGACGAATCATTTACAAAAGAATATCGATGGTGTGTGAAGTACCTCTGTTTCCAAAGCAGATGTTTGCTCAAACAACTCTTTCCGGTAAAACTCTGAAGTTCTGTTATAGCGAAGACTTCTCTTAGACATGGCAGGAAGTGAAGTCTTCTCATTTCCCTGCCCAGCTTCACATACTGAGCTCTCATCGCAACCAAACAAAGGACCATATTTGACATCATTTTCGCAGTCGGTAATAAGGTTTGGATATTTAAGGGAAGACTGAGCGCCTCGCCCAGAAAATGTGGTATGATCCGAAGAGTGAGTTTTTAACAGACTCTTGATCAATCTTTCAATATGAACTCGTTTCATGGAAGCTTCAGCTGGAGGGAACCAATCTGACTGAAGCTGGAGAAACAATCACTGTAACGTTAAATTGTGATATCCAACAGCTCGTAAGCTATAAAACATGGAAAAAAAACACATGGATTCAGTTTGACAATGTGTCAATTCACTCATACTGAAATCCATATTCTCCTTCATGTGCTCCCGACTAGTTCTAGATATCTATGCCGATTTATGTGAAGATAATAATGACACGACATTATGGGTGGAAATACTTACAAATTTGGAGGATGGTGTAATCTTGTAAATACTGAAGTCGGAAGGAACTTCCGCTAGAAAAAGCTCTATGTAGTGAAGCAAAAAAAGACCACAATCATACGAGTTTTGCTGCTGCGGAAGCTGCAACAATTATATATACATAAAACAATCAAAGATGACATAACTTACAAAGTATGCATTGAAATCGGAAGATAGGTTTGTAACATATACTAAAGTACACATAATTTCCAATGATCGTTCAAACAAAGAAAAAGCAAAAGGGATAAAACCTGACAATCTGCTGACGTAAAGAGTTTTAACTAAAGAAGCTCAAAACAGTTGAAATCGAATCAACATTACTGCGACTATGACTAAAAATTTTCACACTACTGACATTCGTTGAACCATGTAAATAGATTATGTAGCCTCTCTTAGAGAAAGAAATGTGCTCAAAGGAAAATACAACATATTTAACATTGAAAGACTACACTTTTAAATTTTTAATTAGGCTTATCACAACTTCAGAGGACGCTAAACAGCAAAGAGAGAAGGTGACTTGAAAATTTTAGTGAAGGGAATATTTATCGGTAGCCTATCAGCATCAGCAAGTAATGATGATCTGCAACCCCCAGTTTTATCAGCTCAAATTGCACTAAAATATTGTATAAGAGCTCTTCATCAGGACTACTTTATTATATTTCAAATAAAAATATTAGGAAATTATCGCTGCTGCTTCTTTGTGTATCATAATTAGCCGGACAACAGCTTTTCATGCATCTAAAAAGGCCACAATTATAATTAATCACACCCATGAACTCTGTCTCTATTGTGCATCTGAGTGCATGCATGTGTTCTAGACTTGCCTCAAGAGGAATGAACTTTAAGTTTCTGAATTTTGAAGACAGATTTTCACATGTTCCTTTCTGTCTTTCTTTCCACTCCTCCCATAAATAGCTACAATTGAAAATTAACAGTAAATAAGCATCTCATTTTGTCATGAACCGAATTTAAAAAAATAAAAAATAAAAAAATCACACACTATTTTTTAACACTTTAACATAAATTAGCCTTTAGATGGAAATCTTTACTGCAATGAGATTTCTCAGAAGTTAAATCCTGATGTGAATTTTATACACAAACAGTTGATTTCTTTGATATATATTGTGAAGCACACTGCTCCCGATGCAAGCAAGCGAAAACTCAACTTCATACACACTAGAAAAGCACATAGAAACTTTTGCAGGACAGCAAGAGAGTCTCAACAGACATTGTTGGGACATAATTGCCTGCTCTAACGCCAAAACCAAGCTTTCACATATATTTCTCAACACAAGAAAAACGAATCAAGCTTGTTCTACAATTTCTGCCACCTATCATACATGCAACACAACATGAAGTTCAGTGACATGCTTCAACTAAGCATGCTTCTACACCGGGAGTTGTAGCTCAAGCGGTTGAACACTCATTGGCATATTGTGAGGTTGGAGTTCAATTCTCGTGGAGTGCGTGAGTGTGTGGGTAAAAAAAAACAAGAAAGAAACTTAGCATGCCTCTACCAGTGCACTGATACAGAATAAAGCATGCAAGAAAGTGCACTTGCTATGCCTTATAAACACATAAACACCTTTGTATAAGATCTTTGAGGCCAAGATGATTTCCTCTTAGAGAATCCATATGCAATATACAAGGAGTTTGCACTGCCTTGTTGTCTTCGGTATCTAAAACATGCAAAGGAAAAGCATAATAACAAAACTGTGAAAAATCCTTTATCAGATCGTGCACAAGTCAAAAAACTTGCCTTCATAGCTGGAAACTTTTGCAAAGTAACAAATTACTATAAGACTCCAGTGGTAACTGTCACACCATCGCATTGTGAATCACACTCTCATTGTCTTGAGGCCAGAGATAAATTTTCAGAAAATTGTGATACCAATAGTCCAAAAGGCTTATAAACTTCTTACTTGTAATTTACTGGGATAAATATGAAGTCCTTTTCAAGCAAGTTTACTTTTCTTGTCCATTTATGAACATGCTGAAAAGCTGCTTTGCCATCAAAAGCACTGGATGGATCTTTATCCATGTTGGCAAGCTTTCGAAAGAAAAAACTATTAAAAAAGTGAAACTTATTCTGCTCTTTCACATTAACTCTTGTCTTCAAATATCTGTTGAAAAGCGAAAACTTCAGGTGAGAAAAGTAAATCAAAATATTAGTATTGCAACACATTCAACAACTTTGACCCAAAAGTATGAAACAAGTGGAAGCTGAAAATATTGCCACCAGGTATGTATCATTAACAAAAAATGTAGAAAAAAACTTTGTATATATATTGAGAGAAACATGACCAAACAGGCTAAGAGAAAATTAATTATCCTGCTCGCTCTGGTTTATCAGTTCCTTTCCATGTTATTTATGTCACAAGATGCATGAAACTGAATCATTAGTCCGTCTCTAAAACAAGATATCATGTGAATGGGGGTTTTATAAATTTAGGCCAGAGGATGTGTTATAAATTTCCTAACCACAAACTAGGATTTGACAAGCACATTATACAGTAATGAATAAATGAATAATTATATGATTGTAAAAAGTAACCAATATAAACTTACTGGATATAAAAATCAATGATTGTATCATTGACAAATGTGCCAGGCAGTAGGAGATCTACATCTCTCTTAGTTAATGAAACAGCATCAGGATCACCTATGGGATAAATCAATTCTTGAAACGGCTCATCAAAACTGCATAACTTGAAAAAGGTTAATCCACAATAGTAGATATATATATATATATATAAAAAAAATTAAAAAAAAAAAAAAAGAAAACCCTTGGCATGGAAAGACATCTCTTATGGTTCTATGTAGATAGAAACATAAAACAATATTTTAGATCCCTTTAGAAAAAACAGATAATACTTCGGTGGCAGTAGCAGAAGGGCGCAAATAACCTCATGATCAACAAAACAGCATAAAACTAGAGAAAAGTTGTGTATTCTGTCTGACAAAGACAAAAATTAGCTACACACCTATGATAACTAACAGAAGCAAACAAATAGTTTAGAAATATGTTTTGGTAATATACATTATATTGCCAGATAACAAGGTTAGACTCGTGATCTGAACTACAAACCAAACTCCTAACTAATTATGTTTGTTTGGAGCTCAGAGCTCTAATTTGCAATTTCATATTTGTTGCAAGCACACCGTTTAGTTGTAGTATTCCATTAACAAGTGATTGCATGGAAGTGAAAATTTGGCAAAAACAATTGGATAAAGGTTCAAATAAAGCTATAAAAAAGATAAGAGTGTAGAATTTGATGGGTATCACAAAATAATAATACGGTAGTGAAACAGAATGTTACAAGTATCTAATGAATATTAAATTGTCCAACCTTTTATGCACTCTCCCATTTAAATGAATATAAAATTATTAAACTTGATTCTTAGAAAAGCATGCAATACAACAAACTACAGTAATACAAATATCACATCTTATAAATAAAACAATTTTCTAAGACCAAATAGACGAAAACATAAAGAGCATTACTCACTGAGGAAAATAGGATCTCGTAAACATCATTTCTCCCCCTGTCGGAGAAGAAGACAAATTCTCCTTCCCAATGCTTCATAAGAAAGCAAACAAATGATATTCATATATTCATAACCATCAAAATGATAATCAGTCAACAAATACATATATAATCACAAGTTACAAAAAGTGAATGTGAAATACAAATGATTCAATGTTACAAAAAATTTTGTTTGAACATGTATACATACGAGTATTATATTAGCACAAAATACATACAAAGTAACCTAAACAGGTTGTGGGTACCAAATAAATAATTAGTCTATATCAATAATGAGTGCATGCTAATAATTAGCACAAAAAAATATACACAAAATAACCTAAACAGGCTTAAATCTAAGAACACATAGGCGTATGAAAGACTCACTCAAGTACGTCACTCCATACTGCCTTATATCTCATATCCAGATATTCTATTGCCTCCAGCTTTTCATCCCAATCAGAGACAACAGCCGAAAATTTTAACTCTCGAATTCCTGAAACTTTACAATATAACAAATAAATGAGACCTATATGTTATCAGCGATCAAGAATCTAACACAATGATCAAGATAGATTAGTATTTTGGAAGGAACGCTCAACATAGACTGTCCATGGAGGCTAATGTTCAAGATTATGTCAATGTATTGCATTTTTAGGTGTGTGGAATCTCTGAAAACAAAAAGTTACTGGCCATCTTTCACATCTAAAAGTCCATTATTAGCTAATATACAATTTGATGTTGTAAATGACAATATGCTCGAGGAAGTGAAAGATGGCCATTTTGTTTATTTCTTATCATGAGAGGTTTTAGGAGCCAAGATTCCCCGGCGGAAAAGATATACAATACCTGAAAATTTACCAAAGCACGCAATTTAATTAAATTACAAAACAGGATGACTACAACCATTGCAAGTAGCCATGACATGCATTGGGGAGAGAACATGCTCGAGGAAGTGAAAGATGGCCATTTTGTTTATTTCTTATCATGAGAGGTTTTAGGAGCCAAGATTCCCCGGCAGAAAAGATCATACAATACCTGAAAATTTACCAAAGCACGCAATTTAATTAAATTACAAAACAGGATGACTACAACCATTGCAAGTAGCCATGACATGCAATGGGGAGAGAACATTAGACAATGCAGATTACTCGTAGTAAATGTAAGGAGAAAGAAGGAAGGATTAGTAACCAGATATCTGAGCAAAGAAAACAAGTAAATCACTATAAGCAAGCACATCCAACCAACCTGAAGCATCGCAAATGATATTATCTTCTCCTGCATCTTTTGAGATGAAATAAATATTTATGGTGCCTGTCTTGTACTGAGAGGAGATCAAGATGACACCTTTCATATTCATACGAAAAGAGAGACAATTTTGATATAGCAGCTTGTTATACTTACTCGAGCACTCCACTGAGACTCTATTTTGACAATATCCTCGACGTCCAAATGAATATATAAGGTCCTTTCTTTTCCATAGATGATTTTACTTTTAGCTTCAATCTGACCTCTGGAAAACCTCACAACAGAGTCCAGATAATAAGTACCACAGTACTCTAGGAAATCAGAATACAGAATTACCGCCGGAGTTTCACCATCCTGGCATTTAAAAGGCACAAACACAATGAAACTGCACAATGTGGATGATTGAATGATACATTGGCATTATTAAACTGCAGGCAATCAACTAGCATGAACAAATTATGAAATCTGTTCAACCATACAAGCTTAGGATAAAAACAACATCTCAATGCATTAAACTCACATAAAGCAGTATGCATGCATTGTCAAGCAAAAACAACCCAGACTGTCAAATCATGATGTCCACAACGTTGACCGATATCACAATCAAAAATTTTTCATGCTCCAGATCAAAAAATTCTGGCAACTCAAACCACTTAACATGCCAAATCCTGGAATAAATTACACCAACCCTAAACCATTAGTTATTGGATAGCATTAGAATTCTGTCGATGATATTATCACCAGCATCAGATGTAAGGAGAACAGTCACATCCTGCACATCACTTGAAAAGGATTTAAAATATCTTCGGAAAATCCTAGCTCTGCCAGGTACATAAGGCAGAAAAATAGAAAAAGAAATAACCTGGACGGGTATCGTCAGAGTTGGACTCCAATCATAATGGCAGCTTGAACTACATACTTCACCAGTAAATATACTATCAAAATCAATGATATTAGATTTGACATCTGTAGGTTGTTCATTGCTTTTAAATCCATTGTCCGGAACATGGCTTAAATCAGGTGTTGCAGCAAAATCCTCACTCTCAACAGAAGTAGGTGAAACAATAGCATCAAGATTGCAATCACTGGCAGTAGCATCAGTGCCCAAGAACAAGCATGTTCCAATTTCAGTCTCCTTGGGTTGAATTCCAACTACAGAACCTAGAACAAACAACCTGACAATGACTATCATGGAATTTTAAAAAATTAAATTCATAATCCTACTAAATAAAGTAAGTACATTTGACTTCCATGAAAAGTGTGAATTAAGGTTGTCACCGGCACCGCCAGGACAGGTCGCCTCGCCGTTCCGGCGCCAAACGGCGAGGGGGGTCAGCTCAAACCCAAACCCGATTTGAACATTTTTACGACCCGATTTTACCCGTATTTGAATTATTTTGATCAAGTTGAATTTAATTGACATGGACCAAAGTCAAATTGTACGGTCGATTGGGCCGGCTTAGGCCCGAACCGTCCCTATTCACTTTAACCCGGTTGGATCTGGATTAATAAACTTGGATTTGAACCGGGTCGCAAGCCTTAACACGGGCTTATCCAAGCTCATTAATTATAAATAATTCAAGATAGTTAACACTTAACATCATGGTGAAGTGTGTTATTTTGATACTTAGAATTTTTTATATTTTTATCAAAAATCAATAAAATTTAAGTGATTTAATATATATATATATATATATTATATTAGATAATAAAAATTAAAAAAAATTTAATAGGTATGTCATCTATCACCAAAGTGTCACCATAATGGGCACCTTATTACCTAGACAATATGACAGCATGCATCGACTTATAAAAGGAAACTTGTGATGTACCTTGGAAATCCCTTAGTTAACTAGCTTTACCAATTTGGACTTTGGAGGTGCATAATAAGATCACAAATATCACAAGCATTATTTAAAAAGAACAACATTAAAAAAATAAAAATAGAGGACAATGTATTTAAGGGTCAAAATGACCACATATTTTAACTTTTAATAATACAGATAATAATTCATACAATACATTATATTATTTATTTCAATACAAGATATTTTAACACAATGCACAAATAAAATATGAATTGATAGCATGCAAACAACTCATATTGTATCAATTTAAAACAAAAAGAAATAAAAAGCAAAAACGAATCCAAAAAGTTTTGGATTCATTAAGTGCGAGTTTGTTCACTTAACGATTTTGGGTTGACATAATTACCGGAAAATATTAATAAAATATATATTTTTTATTATTTAATAAAATAATAATAATTCAATTCAAAATATTAATTTTTTATATTATTGACACGACATACGTTAAAAATATATATATCAAACTAAAACATTAAACAAACTAACTAAATTTCAAACCTTGTAGTTCTGAGCTATTCAACTCAGGCCCCAGCAAAACAGAATCAGATGATACAGGTTCTTTAAAGATACTATATTATTTGCTAGTTTGATCACTGTACGTCATTAAGTGTAAAATAGTGAAAAATAATACACACATGCTCAAACCATAATGCATTTCAGTTGTAACATATCAAGTTTCATTGCAGATGTAAATCTCCAGATTTGGTATTTCATAGTAAAAAATGTATGAAAAACACTTGAATGTGTTTTATTGGTAAGGAAATTCAAATTTATAATGCAAGAAATACAACCCAATAACTCATCATACACAAAAGCACAATAAGGCAACATATAGTCATATACACATTCCAAAAATTACCTATGTGGTGCACATAATTGTTAGGGGAACTGAATTGAAGGTTAGTCAAATTCAATGGCGGATTTTCCTTTCTATGCCCTAAATCACCGATTCTAAATTAAGGGTCAAAGTTAAGTATCTAACACAACGTCTTAACAATACTCACACAACAAAGTTCCATCTCTCATTTCTAATCAGGCTGTAGTGGCAGAAACTAAACCATGTTCAAACCAAAAGGCGCCCTTAATTCCACGTACGGTTCTACCGGGAAACCACGGATTTTTGAATTTTCGCCGTTGTGCATAAGACTTTCGTCACAGAGTGATAAAATTAACGTAAACACACAATTAATTTAAGAAAAACGATTCACACGACTGGGAATACTGGCGATGATCATCGAAATTCTACTTACTGTGAGGGTAGGCAATTTTAGCGGACGAGATTTTCACCGGCGCTTCGATCAGCTCATCTTCCTCTCTGAACTCAAACACATCGAAGGATTTGCCCAGGCTCTTCATCCTCATCGTATCGATCACTGATCACCACCCAAGCATGAGATGAAATCACCGATCATCGCAGTTTGATTTGGTTAGGGATTTACCGCTCATAAATTTGGGGGAAAATTCTGAACCAAATTCTATATATACATAAATTTCGCGGGGTTATAATTTTAAAAATTTTCAATTTTCTCCCCAATAATACTGATATTAGTAATTGGCTACATTGATTTCCTTTTATTGTTATTGAGCCCATAGTTGAGCCCATAGTTGTTTTCCTTCGAAATAAACCTCTCATATTTCTAAATTCATACTGATTGTTTGTATTTTTTTTATTATTTTTTTTTTTTGACTTTTATGCTCCCTCATTGTTTTTTGAGACAAGCTTTTGGAGTTTTATAGTATATATTAAAAAATAATATTAGTATTTTATCGATAGATTTTGACATTTTTATTTTTTTGACTTGATATAAAATATAAATATATGTGTAATGGTATATTTGTGATTTAAATAAAAATTAATAGTGTTGAATTATTTTTATTAAGAAAAATACTTTAAAATAAAACAAACGAAATAATAAAATAATATTTTAAATTAGAACTGAAGAAATATAACTTATAATAATGTATATTTTATCATAATAAAATACTATAGTATTAAAATTTTATATGTGCAAAGAAAAAAGAAAAAATGAATTATGGATGTGTTTACTTGTCAGCTTTTACGCCTGATTTTACTATTTAACTTTTTTTTTTTTTTCAAAAACATCAAATCAAACACTCAATTTTTATTTATTGTATTACCCTAAAATCTAATTTTACATTAAAAACATCACATCAAAACATATTTATATCACATCAAACAACTATTTCAATTTAAAATTTTACTATTTAAAATCAAAATCCAAAACTAAAACCTCGTAAGTAAACACACCCAACAAAGAGAGTATAATTTAACCAACAGTTTAGAGTGTGTTTGTTTGGGGGTTTGGATTTTGAATTGACATTAAAAAATTTGAATTTGAATAATTGTATGATGTGATATAAATATGTGTTGACGTGATATTTTGAATGTAAAATTAATTTTTAGTATAATATAAAAAATAAAAAATAAATATTTAATTTCATATTTTGGATGATAGAAATGGGATGACAGTGAATTAAAAATCAAATCTAAAAAAAAAAACACAATAGAACAATAGCAAACAAATTTCAAGCCATTTAGGGACATGGTGGTCCCACAATTTTTTAAAAAATTATTATTTAATTATTTAAGATTCCTCCCTTATTTTATTATTGATCACTGACAGTTTTCTACAAATTTAGAGAGGAAGCAACCAAGATCTGCTTACCAAAAAAAACCAAGATCTGGGCACAAATTTTATTTATTTTATTAATTTATTTTCAATAATTACTAATAATAGATAGTCAATATTAGAAAGCGTCAAACAACTAGTTTCTAAAATTGTACTATAAAATTCCCAACTCCACGAAACAACTGCTCCCTCCGTCCGTCCATGTAATATAGGTGTATAACTGTATACACGGGAATAAAATAAAAAATAGGAATAAATTACGTGGGAACGGAGGAAGTAGTTTGGATGTAGGCTTTGGTTTTAGTTTTTTAGATTCTTATTTTTTATTTAAATAATATTTTAAAAATGATATTTTATACTTTTTATTTTTGGTAAAATTATGTAAGTTTAGTTGAGTATGAAAATTAAAAAATAATGATATTTTTATATTAAAGTGTAATAAAAGTAGTGGAATGAGAAAAAAAAAAACATTGTAAATTGATTATTATTTGTTAATATAAGAAAAATAAAATTATAAATGGATAGAGTTGTTTATTATAAATGAATTGTGTATAAATTTAGTGCACGATAAAAAAGAATAGAGATATAATTTTGACAAAAAAAAAGTATAAAAATTATACTACTCCCTCCTCCCAAAACTATAGTCTTATAATTATTGTTATTGATAAAAATAAGACTATTGTACAAAAATGATAAACAAAACTATTGTATTGGGACGAACGAAATATATGTTATAGTTGTGGTTTTGATTTAAATCAAAATCAAACACATTCTTTGTTGTTTTATTATTATTATTATTATTATTGATGTTGTTGTTGATGCTGCTGTTTATTGTTATTGTTGTTATTATTATTACATATTATTCATCGTTTTTCTTCAAGAATTTGATTTCACGATGTTGCCTTTAGAATCTGCTCTCAAGTCTGTTCTCCCATATCCAAATGTGCCATCGCGTCTTCTTATTTTATTTTAGACGCTATGGTCTCCTATTAGATCGGCATAATCCACAATTTTTATTTTTTATTTTTTAAAATATGGTGGTTGGTTTGATTGAATAATTTTTCCACATGTTTTTAGGATCTCTCAGATAGGTAGATTCGACTTGAGATGTTATGAGAATGATATGGTAGTTTCAAAAAAAAAAAAAAAAACTAAAAAGGAAATAAAAATTTGTATATATATATAAATCAATCGGTTCACCTCACATTCCTCAATGAAACAATTCATAAATATTAGTAATTAGTATTTAAAAAATACAAATATACACACATATTAATATAATATATATATATTATCCACTCATAAAAAATCAATCTTTAACACACAATATTATTTTTCATATTACAAATACAGTTCCTTGTACCAAACAAAAAAAAAAATCAATTCATTTAAAGATGCTGAGTAAACATACTAAATGTATATTTTATTATATTAATTTGAAAACTATATTTCTTTCCGTTCCAATTCAAAGTATATTTTTTTTATTATTTTTGTTTGTTTACTCAAAAGTATTTATTTCTTATTTTAGTAAAAGTAATCATATATTAATACTAAGATACCTAAACTTTTACTTAAATTACAAATATATAATTACTTTAATTATCAAAATCTTTTACACATTTCTACTGACCGATAAAAAATTATTATTTTTTAAAAAATTTATTATAAAGTCTAAATTGTACATTGGAGTGAGAGAGAAGAGGGAGTATATTTTTTTATTGTGTGAACACACCATTATTTAGTTGTGGTTTTAAATCAAAATCAATAATATCCACTTAGTACCATTCTCACTATTACATTAAAATATTACTCCCTTCGTTCAGGATAATTATGTCACATTTCATTTTATAAATTTCCGCTAAACAAATACGTAATTCATTTTAGTAAACAATTTCATTCATGAACAATTTTATCATCCTTAATTTAATAAATAATAATTAATTTGTCACTATATTTTTTGCGTTTTAACTATTAATAATTTTTTTATAATATTTTTATTTTTTTTATTTTTTTTATCTAATTTACATTTACATTAAAATATTATTGGTTCTTAACTACTATGTCCGAACAAGATGGCATGATTATCCCTATGAAGTGATTATTGAAACAAAAATTTAAACTAACATTTTATTTAAAATCCCAATCAAATATATATATATATATTACATGAATCTTCAAGTTGTTTTTTTTTTTTTTTTTTCCAATAGATATTTTTTTAAAAAAAATAAAAATAATAACATTCAAATTGGAAACTCACAAACAAACATAGCCTAATATTTGTGATTCTTTAATATTTCAACATAAAGTTCCAACCAATGATTCTTCAATATTTTAATATAAAGTTCCACCAATAGGAAGTCCAAAACACACAACACTTTTTGTATACTAACTACTATTAAAAAAATCATAAAATTTTCTTTGATTCCCACTTTATTTAAAGAGAAATAATAAAAATATTTAAAAGATGTAAGATCTGTTTGAAAAAAAAAAAAAAAAAATTCTTAAATTTCATTAACTAGAAATAAAAAAAGGTTATTGCAAAATAATACTACCTTTATTTATATATTTATATATATATTTATGTATACACACCCTTACTGGATTTGAACATAGATCACAAGGGTGTTTATTTATTTATTTATTTTTATGTAAAATATAAAAAATTGTATAATTAATATAAAAATAATAAATATGTAATATATTAATATTTTTAAAAAATATGTTAATTTATTTGATAGAAAGAATACATTCCAAGTCTCCTTATATTTTTATAAATTACATTTAAAAACTAAAATGAAAATTTGAGTGTGTATACAAAATTGAAAATACTTTTAAAATTTCTAAATTAAAAATAATAGCTTACCAATAGACGTTATTTGGTTGCGATTTGAAAATAATTTAAAATAAAATATTGATTTGAATTTTTGTTTAAATAATATTTCGATTTTTAATGGGAAAAAAAATAAAATATTTTGATTGAAAATTGTATGAAATAAATAATAATGATTTTACACTAAAATCACAACCAAACATACTCATAATACCGGAACAACCGCCGAATTTTGGAGGCTGACACCGATGTAATTTTTTCGATTTGATTATATATATATATATATTTTTTATTACAATAGTAATAGGTGAAAATAAAAAAAAATATATAGAAAAATGATAACTTTAAATTTTAAAAGATAAATTAACATAATTATATTATATATATATATATAAAAATTATACTAAAAAATTAAATAAAATTTGTATCCCCCAACTGATGGTATATGAATAATCATTAGAAGATAGGGGCAATTAATATGAGGTTTGCTTATTTATGATGTGTCCTATAAGAGAAGCTATCATTTTAAAAATTATTTTGATTTGTTTACGTAATCAAATTTTACTTATTTGACATTATTTATTTTCGAAAAAATATCATATTAAATATATTTTTTTTCATAAAATTTTAAATTTTTATTTTTTTTAAACTTTCAAAATCTCCAAAAACATCTGTTAAATAAATAAGACATATCATCAAATAATTAGTCCCACATTCAAATATATATATATATATATATATTTGTGGAATTTTATTTAAGTTATCAAGAATTGGCGAAAGTATCTCGAGGAATTTTGAATTTTTTTTTTTTAAATAATTTTTTATTTCTAGGTATTTATAAGAAAATTAGTGTATTTTATTGGTAAATATATATACTCTCTCCGTTCCGTTGGAAGGGTGGCATTTACTTTTTGCAAGTAGATTTTTGAA